AGTCACTCTTTACTTCCGTGTCCTACAGGTATTTTATACAGCACTCGCTTTATTCATTCGAGGCTGAGTCACTCTTTACTTCCGTGTCCTACAGCCCTCATAAATTTTCACCTCGGACAATACAGGTATCACCGCATCGGGCACTAAGCTTGTGCTCGCAACACCCAAGCTACGGATCGTCGGATCTATCATCTCCATCGAAGGCTGGCACGTCGATCACGGGCTCGTCAACAAAATCGCGAATTGGCCATATTGCGAATCGATCCCAGAAGTTCACGGATTCCTCGGGACAGCAGGCGTTGCCCGGCGTTGGATCAAAGGCTTCTCTCTCATTGCTAAGCCACTCACAAGCTTGCTTCATGACACAGAACGTGACTTTCACTTCAGCAACGAACAGCGAGCGGCGATGGACGAGCTCAAGCAGCTTATCTCCCAAGCACCTGTTCTCAAGAAGGTCGACTATGAGCTCGCTAGCACGATACACCCGGGTCCCCGATCGTCACTTCATGGCCTGGTCGTCTTGGCAGTCGACTCTTCTATTCATGGGGCAGGCTGGATCTTGTTCCAGTACAATGAAAGCGACAAGCATCCTGTTCTGTATGGCTCGTACACATTCAATGACACCGAATCGCGCTATTCGCAGCCGAAGCTCGAGCTGTATGGTGTCTTCCGAGCTATGAAGCAACTCAGACATCGAATTTGGGGCATATTCTTCCACCTTGAAGTTGATGCTAAATATCTGCGACAGATGTTGAATGAGCCTGACCTTCCCAATGCTCCGATGACGCGCTGGGTTGCATATTGCAAGCTCTTCACCTTCGAGCATCCCAGCGGATAAGCATGCGGCGGCAGATGGGCTTTCTCGTCGCAGACCATCTCCGAACGACTCCGACGAGTCAGACGGCAAACAGCAGTTGGACCGCTTGGTCGGACACTCTCTGGGCACGACAGCCCGTCTCTGGCTAATGCTTCTCTATGACGATAATCCAGACTATTGGGGTGCAGGGGTCAACGTTTGTGTGGCTTCTGCAGAGAGTCATGTGGTCTCCTGCATGGAAGGGATAGCGCATATGGGCTCCTTCCACTCCCTCAAAGGGGAACGGCTGTTGGAGATGGGCGACATGGGCAATACTGGTATCGATTCAAACCTCTCTGGCCTCGTTCCTCGATGGTGGAGCATTCATGAGGCGCGATATCAGTCGGGTCGCTATCCTGCAGAGAATCCTTCCCCATTTCATTCATCGTTCCTTCGGAACATTGATGATTTTTCATATATTGGGACCGAGTTTGTGGCGCGTAAGTCTTGCCGTGAGTTTGCTGACATCGTCAGTTTAGGAACCGAGCACCACCTGGCCCTCTTCCATCAGCATCGCCCAGTATTTGACCATCTCCAAGCCTTCAACGGCTCCTCGCACGTACATCGCATTGAGGACAACGATGATGAGGGGCTGTTCTCAGACATCCTTTCATATCTCCATTGCGGTTCACTGCCGCAGCAGGCGCAGCGCAGTCCGGATGCTACACGATCCTTTCTTCGACGTGCGAAAGGGTTTGCCTCTTGCGATGGTCGACTCTGGAAGACCCACCGCGTCGAACTCCCTTGCTTGGTTATCATCGACAAGGCTAGGCGTATGGATCTTATCAAGGCGGCGCACAATGACTGTGGTCATCGTGGGCGCGATCCAACATATAAGAAGCTCACTGAGCAGTACTACTGGCCTAATATGTACAGGCAGATTGCCTTCTTCGTGCGATCGTGCAATAGTTGCCAATACCGCGCACGCAAACGGGACAAGACACCCTTGTCAATCACGATCTCCCCGAGCATCCTGCGCCGTTTTGTGTTGGACACAGTACACATGCCAAAAGGCTATGGAGGGCAGAAGTATCTTCTGCATGCATCGGACGACGTCTCGCGGTGGCCGGAGGCACGTGCGGTGGCGAAGAACACTGCAAGAAACTGGGCGAAATTTCTCTGGGAGGACGTCCTGTGCCAGTTTGGTTGCATACCCATCTGTGTGTGCGACGGCGGCCCAGAGTTTAAAGGCGCAGCTAGGGAGATCCTGGAGAAACATGGTGTATCGGTGATCATGAGCTCGCCGTATCATCCGGAAGGCAACGGTATTGCAGAGCGAGACGGTCAAACACTTACACGAGCGATTCTCCGATCTTGTGGAGATGCTGCGTCAAAGTGGCCCTTATATGTTCATGCGGGTTTGATGTCGATGCGTATCACAGCGTCTCGCGCGACTGGGTATACACCCTACTTCCTTCTTTATGGAAAACATTGTCTCTTTCCGTTTGATATGGCTGATCGCACCTGGTTTTCTTTAGCCTGGCATACTGTCACTAGCACAGAAGACCTCATTACCCTGCGCCTCCAGCAGATCACACGGAAGGAAGCACATATCGGGCAAGCTCTTGACCATCTACGTGAAAGCCGCCAACGCACGATCGACGACTACATGCGAAAGCACGATGCTGCGATATCCTCTGGCATATACGATCCTGGCACTTGGGTCCTCGTTCACGAGACCTGGCTGGATGCGCAGCATGGCAACAAGGGCGCGTTGTGATGGTCTGGCCCGTATGTTATTCACGAACGCTATGCATCCGGATCTTATTGTTTGCGGAAGTTGGATGGCACCATATTGAAGGAGGCGGTGGCCGCGAGTCGACTGAAGCTTTTCTATTACAGGGCATCTCACCAGACCTTCTCGTCCTTCTCTCAACCATGTAATTTTGACACTCGACGTCTTCTCGACGCAAGTCTCCTCAACTCATTCGATACCGAGACACTTGGCGACCTCCAATTCTCCCCACTGCATCTGCGCGTCGATGACTGCGACCTCTACTTCTATACGAACATCCTCGAGCTCGCAGTTCTCGTTGTCAACTATTATATCCCTTGGTCGTCGAGCGGTCTTGGGGACAAGACTTGAAGTCTACCCCTCTTGTAGGAGAGATTCGTGACGGTGCAGTACAATCATCAGTTTTCATTATGGACCTGTTTCATTCGGACTACAAGCTCACTACTTTACATTCGACTCTACCAGCGTCATCCGTAGGGCCGGACTGGCGTGCGGGTGAGGACGCAAAAAGGCGAAAGTGAGGCTCACGGTGACGATCGCGCGCTTGAGGGCGGCAGGCTGCGAATCGAAAATACGATCTCCTGTGACGACCGAGCTAGCCGACTCAATGCGCTTCGACTTGTACGCTGGAATGGTTTGGGGAAGACGTCTGTATGCCCAAGGACGACAGCTCCCCATCTTTTTCGTTAGTTTAACCATATTTGGCATGTAGCACTCCAATTCCGTCGATAGCCACGTCATGCGACCGGGTACTTCTGTCGTGTCTCATCGCATGTCGCGTAAGGTTCCTTAGGATCAGCATGTATAAAGGGCGCACTCCCGCCTGTTAATGGAGCAGTTTTCCCCCCCCTTGAAGTCTCATTGTGTCTAAGAAAGGCTGTCTTTCGATTCAAAGGTCTGGCGACAATCGTCTCGTGTATACTGAGAACTGGGTATACTCGCGTATTCGTGGACTGAGGCTATACTGTGGACACTCTGCTAAACGGCAAATCTCCTTATTCATTCCCTAGGCGACTCTCCTCAGTCGACGACCCTATCAGAGCCTCATTACAAGAGTCTAAGCCTCGGTGCTTTACTCTACTTCAACACGACATCGTTTGACATGGTGGAAGCTGAACGTTAGTGTGCACAAATTCGCAGGCTTCAACGTTACTGTACACCCGATGGCTTGGTATAAGATCATGTCATGAGGTCACTCCAGCGGCCCGAAGGAAGCCTTCGTAATTCTCCAACAAGCTACCGAATCCACCATGCTTTGTCCTCATGTTCGATGTGCGGGCTTCTACAAGTTTTCATGCTTTCTGATTGTCGGCCACTTATTGACAGCGTGCATTTGGCAGTTTCATATCAGAGAGTGGCGGTGACACCCCTCTTTCCCTTGATTCCATTGTACTACTCACCCTGGCAACACGCCAACATGCAATGGAAATCGGCGCCGCCTGATATCCAGGAACATGCTGTCGGACCGCAACACGCCTGCCACAATGACGAGAATTGCCCTTATCGAGAAGTGAGAAAAACAGCAGACTGCTTGAGCTGAAACTGATCATGCGGATGAAGGAGCTGGATAGCGTTCAAGAGATAGCAGCCGCAGAGAACGAGCGAGCCAACCGGTTGAGCGAGGAAGTCCAGAATGAAAAAGAACGCAGCTCGTCACTGGAGCGAGAGGTGCAAAGACTGGAACAGATTGCAGGGGAACAGAGAAGTGAAGCAACCAGGCTAGAAGAATTAGCCGTCGAGGCCCAGAAGGAGAGAAACATTGCCAATGAGAAGGTCCGTGAATGCACTACTGAGCGGTAAACGCTTGTCTGAGATAGATGCCACCCTGAGCAGGTGCAACGGCTTCGTTGTAAGGTGGAGATGTCCAAGCAGGAGGTCCGTAACAATGGCAGTCACATCGAGAGCGAGCCTCAAGGCTCAACGTAGTTCACCAACAGGTCGATCGTGCATGCCGCCTTCTCGAAAGCACCAGAATGGAGGTTAGTAGACATCTTACTGAGACACAAGTCTTGCTAAACGGCGATGACCATCACGGACAGCTAGATCAAACTCGCCGGCAATTTGATGCCGCTATGCAAGAGCGCGCATCGATGAAAGAGCTGTTGGAGACACGTCGAATGGAGGCCGACGCTGGATTTGCATACTCCAATACTGCCGATGCGTGCTCAGAGCAGGACATCGTCCGGCTTGTCAAGTCCCTGAACTCGGAGGTATTCCAGGTGGTGAAGGGGCTCGTTGATTCTTTCGCTGCTGGCAGCCCTGAAAGTTCATCGCAGCTCGCTGAGGAACGCGCAGTACGGCGTGTTGGATCGTCAATGGTGGAAATTCTCCGCGGGTCCCCTCGTGATGACACAATCATACTCGAAATTGCCCTGCAGCAGACGATCGTCCTCATCCTTCAGGGAATCATATCAGCATGGGACCCACTCACTCTCGACAAAAAGCCATTCGATGAGATTTTCAATCGAATGATCCGTCTCGGTATGTCCGCGGGACCAAAGCATAGGCCAGAACTCATTTTAAGCCATAGAGAACCAGAGTGTCGCAGGACGGTGGCGAGCGCTCACGCGCAAATACCTGCAGCCCACTTCCTCCGAGGAAAACCACTGGGCTGCAAACTATATCCAACGACTCACCAAATACGTGACTTCGATACTCATCGTCGCCGGAGGCGACGGCCACGTCCCAGGACACGTCGAAGAGAGCCTCGGCGTACTCGTGCGCATGGCCATCCAGCTCCGCAGCATGATCGGAGAGCGCACTGTGGGGAGCAACTATAGCATCATTCTCGTTAAATCCAATGTGACATTCGCGCCAGCGGTGATGGAAGACGGGTTTGCAGACAAGATCAAACCGGCGCAAGCGGGTGAACCTGTACTTTGTCCGTACGAGCTGGGCTTGAAGCGGATGGAGAAGGACGCTGACACGAAGGGCGTTCATGAGGTAATCCTAGTGAAGCCGAAGGTCATTCTGGCCAGCTTTATTAGCGAGCTGCAGTTGAATAGCGGTGAGGGCTCACAATGAGTTTTTCAGTCCGCACGTAGTTTGCCTCCCTTGCAATTATGTCAGTACATATACGACAAAGAAATTCGCCATGATATGACTCTCCTTTCTAACTAAAAACCACCTTCCTCCAGTTCTGCAGGCTTGCTCTCGGAGAACAAGTTTGGCTGCTTCCATAGGACCGAGCACACACATGTATATTATGTCTACTTCTTGTGCACCTGGAACGTTTCGTTGTCACTTACCGATGATGGCTGAAGGACACTGTGGGCATCAATGTTCAAAACTGCATATTCACCCAGACGGGCTGCATTTTGTGGATATCATAATTTGATCAGAGGCGATAGGTATGACCGGCCAGACTCTCCCCCCATTTATGACCTCACGGAGGTCAGCATGACGAGCGTAGACAGCGGAGAGAAATTCCTGCGCTCGAGATAGGTACGACGCGTGAAAAAGCTGGATAAGTGGCCATCCGCTTGCAGTTGGGGGCGATAGGGATCGTCCGACGGAAAAGACTCGACGAAGTGCTGAATGTCACTATTGACAAATGGAAGGCACGCGTCAAAGACAGTCGTGCTATGCGGGGATAAAAATAGATCGCGACATACCTGGCTAGAGTCGATCGTGTAATACCTGGTGGAGCTGTTGTGATGGCCATCACAAACTCCTATAGCGCGGCCGTTATATTCGTCTAGCCAGTGGATGTGTCCAAGCGTCTTTCCTACGTCAGCTGCAACCTTCGAGATGACGAATAGCTCACCATGCCCGCAGCAGGTTAGAACATGGTGCCGATGTAAAAAGGTGAAAAGTGCGCGCGATCCATAGCAGATGCGGGAGAAGAGAGTGAGGAGTGAAATGCGTTCATCCACGGACAGGCGAGGATTTCTCTTGAAGGAGACAAAGGAAAGGGGAGGGTGTCACCGTGGGCTTACGGTATGTGACGAGGCACGGCGTGCGGCGAATAGCAAATCGCAATTCCAGCTGAGACGGAACAATTGAATCTCATCACGGTTTCATTTGCGTGCTCAAGATGGTGACCTTGAAGACGAAAAGCCGTTCACGGACTGTTGGGGTGGGCTCCCTAGCCGCAAAAGCTCTGGCTCGTGTAGGAGCGAGGACTCCTCAATGAAATAGGCTATTGGAGAAGTCATAACAGCAGGTCATAGAGGAATGTGACGATGCAGGATGTTGGTGGACGCCAGTGAGAGCCGATGTTACGACTCAGTGCTCAGTACTCAGTACTCAACCTTGGTACGCAGAAGGGATCCGGTGAGCGGTTGCTTACTAAGCTATGGGCAAAGGACGGAGATCTCCGCTAGCGACTCCATGTGGGGGCCTGTCAACGCTTGCTCGCTCACATCGACTAGGCTCACACCGACTAGGGAGTCCTAGGCTCGCTCGGTACATGGAAGATAGCCGTTATTATAATATAGGCTGTTACTAACAATATAATGCCACAGGTAGCTCATCCGTGGAAACCTCAGAGTACGGCATCTCAACGCGCAAAGCACGGCTTAAGCAGATCAAAGTTCCCCCAGACCTCGAGACCTCACGACTTGAGCGAACACACTCGCCGTTTTTTGCCGAGGTTTTGAAAAGTCAGCCTTACCCTCAACAATGACGAGTCTGATGTTTCATGAGACATTGCGCCCACTCATCAGATCGGTCCCATGTCAAAGCCGCAAGTCTCGGTTAGATAGAGAATACATGTGGAACGTTAACCGCCAATGGCGGCCCAGGCACCGGCCAGCCACGATGTCAACATGCTTCACCGCTCCGCCTATGCACAAAGTGGACTCTTTGGTGCTGACGGCGCGGCATCTTATAGCTATTCACTCCTCGAACGAACAGATAAGAGTTACTTCACTTACCTAGAAGATGAACGTGAAGGTGACCATAAATTTGCTGAAGACTTGTTCATCTCCCGTACTTGTTTCACACACGGTGTGCTTGCTATACAGGACACAGCAGTTCATGCACAGAGATGATTGTAAAGCAATTCAAGACGTCGCGGGGACCCATGCAAGTTTATCGGTGTCGTCCTCGTAAATGAGGGTAGCCGGACTTCTATATCAACACTAAACAACGCTTGGCATTTCGCAAGACGCACGAAAGCATACCTTTTCTCCTGAACCTAAGACATACCCGTCAGGATGAGGTGCCCACAAAGCATGTAAGAGGAAACTCACGCCCTCCATCCATGATAGTTGTGCCTTCAACTCTTTTAAGCCGACAAGGAAGATTATCTCCGGCTTCTGCTCATAATATTCGCCTCGTGGACCTCGCTTCTTCTCTTTCGGTAAATGAGAAATATCTGCGCGAATGGTGCATACTTTGTCAAACATATCTGGGAGAGTCTCATTTACTCATATCAGCTGAAACCTGCGCTCAAGGACTGACCCGGTTCTTCATCCATCCAATGCGGATTATTGGCAGCCCCCTTGTAACGAATGACATCACATGAGAACTCGGTGTTTGAAGAGGACCAGGTCGTGACGAAGGTTTCCTTAAATTCGACTTCTTGCGAAACGAGCGCTCCCTGGTCCACGTCGCTTGTCCTTTGATACTGAATACATGAACGGAGAAAGAGAAAGGCGTATTCGCGGTATAATCGTCACAAACCCACCGGGAACGACTGCATCCCCAGAAAGGTTTATGAAAGCCTTATCCAGCCGCTCCTCAGGATAGCTCAAAGATCTGTCGTACACATGATGCCGCGACACGCCATAGGTGAACTTAGCCACACGTGCGGGCAAAACGCTATCGAGATAATGAGAGAGAGCACCCTCCGCGACGGCTTTGGCGCTGTGGGACACATGAGAAAAGGATTGTGGCGATGATTGTTATACCTACGTCTGACACTCTGGAGAGAACAGCGATAGGCCGGAGCGGTGTGCATAGCTTTGAAGTTCGGCACGCAAGTATGGGCTGGCCGCGAACCCTCCCACTAATAGCACCATCTAAAAGACCTCGGTATGAAAAGCTCCGCAAGAATGACCAGATGGTAACTCACGTTGATTCGTCCGCTGGCTCCTGACGATTGCTTCCTTATTGCATCCTTGATAGCGCTAATGGAAGGCCGGAAGAAAGCAGCCATGTCCGACCTTGGAGCACGTTGAGGGGTCGCTAGCACATCTCAGGTCTAAAAGTCTTACCCAGACAACGGTAACACTCCTCTCTTGATACCACATTGCTCATCGGTATCTCGAGGATGACCAAACCTAATATAGGAAGCCTTCGTCGAGTCCCTGAACGTGGGCTTGGTCGAGTTCTCGAAATACTCGAGCATCGTGTGGATGTCTTCGCCGTTGCCAAAAGGGGAGTTCCCAAGCTTGTCTGAGGCACGTCTTGATGAGGAGAATGCCGGGACGCGCAGAAATGTGATGATTCACCTCTGAGGAATTGTTCAGCTCTGGCGTTGACAAACGTCGAGCCCTGCATGACGCCTACAATCCATGAGTCGCATCTGGCAGCTGACTATTATGATCCGCGACTTACAATCCGGAGCAATGCTCTCAACGGCCTTAGCTGGTACCTTGCTCGTGATCCTGTATGTATTGATCCTGTATGTACTCATATCAACGGTCCCTCCTCCAGCGTCGACGATCATCAATTGGTTGCCGGTCTGTGAAAGCACTCAGAGCTACGGAAGGTCCTACAATAACTGCTAAACTGACCTGGACGACATTTCCGGGAAGACCATTAGTTATGCAATAGTGCAGGCTAGCTTCTCCCTCTGTCACGAAATGGATCCGCGATTTCGCAGCGCCCGAGTCTGGAATGAGGCCTGCAAGTACAGCCGCTCGCCGCATCTTTGCTTGTTGTCTGCCACCCCATCCATTAGGATGCGTCAGAACGAACTCGACATCTGACTCCGACTTCAGCAGTTGAGGTCCCATTGGGTGGTTCTCGGATATGTACTTTTTGGCGCATTTGTATATGTATCGCATGAAATCCGCCAGGATCTGTATAACGGTCTTATTCGGCGGAAGCGTTGGCAGATGTTCATCGTCCGACGCCAAGTCGCGAGGACGAAGATGTAATTTGAACCTGTGTCCTGTCAGCTTTCCTAGGCCACTCGGTGAGAAAGGGACCTATTCACCATTCGGCCAACACCCAGCCTTCATCCTTGGCCTGGAGTCGATTGGCGTCTAATCTGGCCTCCGCCCCTACCGCACGAACTGTTCCTTCTTCGTCGTAATACACGATCGTGGGGATCTTTGTATCTCTATATTTGTTCTCTCCTTCTTGTCCAGGATAGCTAACACAATATCAGCAACGATTGTCCAATAAAACCATCGGTAGCGTACTGCATAACGCTGCGAATTTGAGGGATCTGTTCCGGGTCGAGAATGCAATACGAGACGCCGCTGTAGGTCGTTCCAACGTCTATTCCCAGCACGAGCTTTCCTTTTCGTCCATTGTATGGCTTGTCGAGAGTCATAATGCTAACAGTGGGCCTGCGAGTCCGGGGCACGGAGCACGCGCGCAGTAACAACTATGCACTGTTGTAACATGGCGCTTACAGTCTCAACAACAATTTTAAGAACCAATTCAGTTACTATGAATGGGCTTATCAGCTCGAAGCGCGGTTCCTGTGGGCACCTGTTTTACACGAGGCGAGGAGTCTCTCTCAGGCACATAGCGAGGCGGCTAGCGCTAGCTAGAACTTTGGAATGTAATCCGTTGCGTGTTCCGCAAAACCACCACAGGAGACACGGACCTATTTGTAAAGACAATTTTGGCAATAGATGCATCGAAAATTTGGTTTGTAATGATTCTGATTATAGAGGAAAATTCAGTATACCAAGCCGAGTTTGCAACCTACATTATGGGGTTAAAAGGTACTGTACCGGATGGTAGTACAAAGCATGTTATCGGTTTAGACACTCTGCAAGCGCCATCGGGATGGAACAGAAATCGAGGATGAACCATCGCCGGTCTATCACACAGCGTGGGTGTATAGAGAACATGCATGACTCACGAGATATGTACTCTTTGTTTTGCCAACCATAATCATGTAAAACGCTGAAGGGAAGATTCTCGATGTTTGAACAATCTGTTGATCCGCATTATTCGGCCAATTGACATAGGGAGAAAGTACTTATACAGGATGAGCCATAGACACATCGATACCAACAATAAGCTTGCGAGTAGTGCCACGGCACGAGTTCTGAAGAGACATCGTGTCGTAGGGTGGGGCACAAAGCTAGCGAGTGCTCTCGTACAGGGCATACCATGTATCTCATCGTTTTCATATCCGCAATGTGCCAGCACACTTTATCATACATTTTTTGCACGCCTGGTAAACGCTGCAGGGGCCTCTGACCATGACGACGGAAGTCAGCATGTCGCACCCTTTTGCTCAAATGGCAGATGAACAGGAGGGGTAGCTGAAGCGTATGTATCATAATCTCAGTATCGCCGTATGAGAAGCGCCAGGAGTTTAGCAGAAGGGAGACTTATTCTCGTTTAAATTCAAGCCCATGTGCCTGCCACACGTTCTATAGGAAACATGCGATAGGTGCAAGGACTATGTACGACAGTGCAATGTGACGTTCGCAAATCACTCATGACTCACCAGTGAGCATAGCACAGAAGAATACTCGGAGGGCAAGCCAACCTATAAGATGCTGCACAATTTGGTCCTGCAAGTCAATGCGAGCATGGAGGCCGACGATGCCATCGATGCACGCGGGTTTTGCTTCACATGCAGGAGGCTGGCCACAATTACGACATTCATCAGAATCTTGGCATTTGGAATGGACTTTCTAGAGACACCCTGTGCCGTTTTGTGGAGACTTTGCAGCACCCAGACGACCAACCAGCAGTGCTCGCCGACACCGCAGACATGAAGTGATTTGCGCATGTGGCAAATGCTTAGCAAATGTCGACAGGTTTTTTGCCTTTGTGATCTCAATTTGCTATGGTTCCTTTCCACATTCCATATTAAGTATTTGCATATAATATGTTAGAGGCAGAAATTTAAAATCATTTATTTTAAGAAATGACACCATTTTCAAACTCACCAAATACATTTAGAATTTGAGCACTGTTGAATGTAATCGTACATTTTTGAACTCCAAACCATCACATGTATAAAATATCCAGTAGCAGATGAAGGTGTAATTATGGTGAATGACTTTCATTCTAGTAATCTTGGTTAGAATGACTTCAGTGGGGAAGTAGGATGTAGGCATAATTACACCTTCGTCTGCTACTGGATATTTTATACATGTGATGGTTTGGAGTTCAAAAATGTACAATTACATTCAACAGTGCTCAAATTCTAAATGTATTTGGTGAGTTTGAAAATGGTGTCATTTCTTAAAATAAATGATTTTAAGTTTCTGCCTCTAACATATTATATGCAAATACTTAATATGGAATGTGGGAAGGAACCACAGCAAATTGAGATCACAAAGGCAAAAAACCTGTCAACATTTGCTAAGCATTTGCCATGTGCGCAAATCGCTTCATGTCTGCGGTGCGACAGCAGGCTCACAAGCTGATCACGTGACCATCAAAGACCTTAGCAAGCAGGTAGAATGCTTCGAGACAGAGTTGGAGACAGCGAAGCAGCATGCAGAGATTGAAAAGCAGAGACGGGTCGAAGACGAGAGTAGATACATACCCGACACGCGACGGTGAGACGTAGCCTTGCAGAAGGCCAAAGACGGAGTTTGAACACTGGAGAGCAGGGTCGAAGTTCAGCACGAGAAGCCAGCGTGTTGCGCGGAACGGTGAAAACACGTCTGTCTCCAGCTGGTACAAAAGGCTGAAACAATGCCAAATATCCATAGCTTGTGCATGCCCGAGAACGAGTGGAAGTGTCTCCTGCGGGTCGTAGTTCATTGAGAATCCTGCTGGAAACACGTCACTTCTACAGGAAGCCCAACGATACTCCCAAAATCCAGAGAGACAGCGCGCGAGCCAGCATTATCAGCCATGCACAACCTGACTGCGTGAAAATTCCAGAGTGCTCGAGAATAGCGTGTCTTTCAGCGGTGTTGCAATGAATGTCCTCTTGAACATTGGGTCGATCAAGCCTGCGCCATCCACCCAGTGCTTCTCAGTCTCCTAAACGCCAATTCGAGCCCATAAGTCCTTACCGCACGCGTCCTGGTGCATAGGGAGGATGAACCTTCGTATGCGTCTTTATGGAGGCTATTCGCTGCTGATATGTGAGACCAGTAAAGTGTCGTGCTGGGATAACCAAGTTTAACTGAGATTTGTGAGAGCTAAAATGTAGCAAGGAAGTGGAGGACGTTGACCATAAGTAAGAAAGTCCGGTATCACTGAGTGGTCAGCCGTGGAATGTGCACTTGCGCCCGTCGCTCCAGTCGATCATTTCGACGGTGCTGCTGACTGCTCCGGCAGATGGCACAAGCCGAGGGCAAGCAGATGCAGGTCTTGACAGCATTGCAGAGAGATGCAAAGGATCATCAACAGAGGAATCATCAGTAGCGATTATACCGTGACTCTCCGATCTGCTGCAGATATTTGCAAGGTGTAAAAAAAGAATACCCCTAAGAGCGAAGAGAACCGTCCGTATAGCAGTTTAAGTGCTCGCTGCTGTCAAGATGAGATCTGCAAGGAAGGGGAGAAAAGCAGGCATGGGATGTGTTGTTCACACAATATTGTTGGTGAAGGCCAAGCTCGTACTTGAGATGGATGTGAAGGAGCCGCTGAAAACAACAGTCGATGGACACAAGGAACCGTTCTTGTGGAGAGCCCCACGGCTGGGTCTTTGAGGTATATTCGTTGATGTGAGAGGTGCAGCGGCGGGCGAGGGCGAGAGCGTAGTGCATGTACAGTGAGGAACTGTCGCGTCCTGGAAAACTGTGGGGCAGCGCTGAGTCCGAAATCCATGACTCCGCAACAAACGCCACCCAACGCCCACTGGCACTGTGCGGTGGCACTCACACTCAGGTCCTGGACCTTGCACATACATGCCGTTTTTCAGCTACTAAGGTGCTTCTAGCAATCATTGCATGGCCCACCATTTCCACCTGTAATACTGATTCCGGTCATAAGGGATTGGGTTGGGACATGCTCGAGTTCAGCTTGATCCACTAGCTTTTCCTTCGACTCCGCGCTCTTGTCGCTGAGTTGAAAAAACTCGCTTTGACAAGTAACCTTTCCGTGGCCTGGTCACTTTCCAGTGGGTGCGAGATCTTGAAGAACAGCCCCCAGCCTCCTGCGTGGACGAGATGGCATCATAAAAGGCTCACGGTCAACCGTGAACGATGGACATCAACCTGTACACGCCATATGAGCCACATATTAAGGACGCGCGGCGTGGGTACGACGGAAAAAGTACGGAACGAAACACGAGTAGTATACTATCCGCGTTCGTCACATGCATAATGGCACAGACGCCGTATAGTTGCGCTCATCTCTCCAGCGCTGACAGGTTGCCCCGCGTCAACTTCAATAGTTGGTCCAGGCATTCACCACCACCGGTGAGATGGCAGGCATCCTTGCCATAATATGCGACATCGCACGGCTATTCGCTCGAGCGGTGGCATACATCTTCGTTGGTGTCGCGAACCTCCTGCTCTCAATCGCAACACTCTTGCAAGGATCGACGGACGTCCACGATTCAAATTTGCAGCCCAAGGATGAGCTGGAAGGGGGACGAGACGATGTAGAGCGGCTGAGGTCCAACGTCAAGCGACTTCAAAGGCAGTTGGCGGACGCAGAGAAGCAGATCAAAGAGGAAAAACGCCGAGAATTGGGAGAGATGGATCAGATCAACAATGAGTGGAAGATCAAATTCAGCCAGCTTGAGCAGCAGGTCTCTGTCCGTGACCAGAAGATCGTGTCGATGGGCATAGAGGTATGTAGCTTCGCTTTAACTACTTCAAACTTACCCTTGAACTCTGGATCGGCAGCTTCAGAATTCTCAGCGCCAGAATGCAGCATATGTAGAGGAACGTGAACGCATTCAAGCTCTGTCGGAGGCTCGGCGCATCGAACTCTTAGCTGCCCAGAGCTACTTCAACACTGCAGATACCACATCGGAGAGCGATGTCGTTCGAATTGTACAAACTCTGAACGCTGAGATTTTCAAGACTACGAAAGCTATTGCAGACCTGTTCAAGACCACGCATAAGGAGAAGCCGGATGACGCCACATTAGATCAAGCTCGCAAAAGGGTCGGCCAACACACTGCACGCCTCCTCATGTCTTCTGTGGATCATGAGCAAGACACCGTTTTCTTGGAGACCGCAGTACAAGCAGCTATAGTTGAATTCTCCGCAAGCCTTACCTCTGCATGGGATTTGGAATTCCTACATGTGGACACGATGGCTCTCGCTCACCGTCAAATGCGCATTACAGGTGTGTCTTCTTGATGTACTCTTATATGCGTAGAGTTGATGATGGATACCACTAGAGACCCCCAGCGTAGCCGGGCGATGGCGCGCACTCGCCCACAAGTATGAACCGCAATCATCGCGCACTGGCCATACTTGGGAAGAGATGTTCTTCCATAGTCTGCTTGCTTCCATCGCAGCAGTCTTGACTCTTGCGAAAGGGTCTCAAGATGCTATAGCATCCGTTCAGGACAATTTGCGTGTCCTTGTGCGAACCATCTTGGCACTGCGCAAGATGATCGGCGAGGAGATCGTTGGCACCGACTACGTCGTTACGATTGGTGTCGCAGATGAACGGTTCGTTCCGGACAACATGGAAGATGCGCTCGACCCGGATGTTAAGGGAGATGCAGACAAGGCCGGCTCTCCCGTGTTCTGCCCCTCCGACCTCGGGCTTCTACGAGTCGAGAAGCCAACGGCGGACGTAGAAGAGAATCAGTTGAGCATGAAGACTCTCATTAGGCATAAAGTCGTTCTTAAACGCACAATACAAGAGTTACTGGCCGAAGCGAATTTGTCCGAAGACGAGATCGCGGAGGTGGTGGCACAGTCAGTCGCTGTCGCCGAAGGATATTTGTAAAGTGATGTCAGAATGATCGTGATCTTGAGTCAATTTTCTTGTTTGATCACTTTGGTACAACACTGACGCTCTTCATTATCGCGGGGCTGTACGTTGTTTGGAATGGTGCAGGAAAGCGACAGGACGCATCGCAATGTTACTACTCCACCAGATCGCATCTGGCCGCCGTGTAGGATCGACCGCTGACCAAATATTCTGCCTCCATTTGTCGCACAAGCTTCCTCGACGACGACGACGTTTGCCGCTTTCTCCTCCCTTGCATGTCGAGCATCGATTGCACAGATTATTCTGGTCACGCAGACACCTTTGTGGCCGGCGGCGATGATAACGCCTATACCGTCTGGTTTCGCTAAAATGTAACAGTGAACCTTCATCAACCTCCTTCTGAGACCTGGTTAAGATCTCACTAAATCTGCGCCCTAATGAAGTACGTACATCAGGCACTCTGAAGTGCAGACTCATTCTGTGAAAAGTGTTATTCAGTGCACGCGAAGACGAACACGTTCGCATGTCACTGGCACACGGGACATGGGTTGGTTTTTGACCACGTAATGTGCCATCAAAATCCGCTTTGGTGCGATGAAGTCCCCTTCTATGGTAATTATGACAATGAATTTCCTCCAAAAACGAATGGGTCCGTGTGACCAAAAACGAGAAAGCGCGAAGTTCCGAATTCTAGACTCATGGGCCTTGAATAGGCTTCGCCGGCGTTGCCACTGTAGCAAATGATGAGAGAAGCTCCGCATACACCTGTAGAACCATGTGTTATCCGCATGCTTGCCTGTTTGAAGTGGCGAGGTAGCCATGCGGGAGGCAGGTTGATATCAATGAAACCAGGAGCAGCCCTCATGCTTCGCGTAGAGTATCCCCTCCATCTGCAGTCTCGTCCGTTGTGATTGCTTCACTAGTAAACGGGTACTATCTGACATGGCTTGGCTAAACACCTTGCTGGGTACCGACATCACTCTCGCTGACACCCATGTGGCGCAGCCTCCAAGGTCAAGCCTCAGGAACGGACAAGGCGGCGCTGAAACTAGTTTTGAACAAGTGAGTTATAGAAAATGTCATGTCGAGCGGTGGTTGATCCCTGTGCATCGAAGGAATTGGCTCGATTGAGAGACGAGTTAACGAGGGAGAAACGGCGCGCGGAGCAGGCGGCGCAAGAAGCAGCCATACGAGAGCAGAACGAACGGAGGCGCACGGAGAAGGAGTATCGTCAAGCGATAGAGCACAGAGATCGCTGGAAGGATGAAGCGTTCAGGCTGCATGACGTTGCAACTGATACCGAGAAAAAGAGAGATGTCGCCGTGAGGCAGGTCCGTAAACGTCTTACACGTACAGTTCTGCACCCAAGCTCATGAAGATCTCTTGCAGCTCAACGAGGTATACTTGCAGTATGATATCGCCAGGAAAGATGTCTGTGAGAGTAGTGCTTCTACTACGGCGGAGAAAACTGACATTATCCTGTTTTTCTAGTTGGATCACGTTAGCGTCAAATACAATGCCGCCATGAAAGAGGTCGGTACTCATTCACGCTATCACATGGGTATTTTAAGATTATAGCAATGGTTCGCGCTTATATTGTCAGATCGAGCAACTGCGCCGTCAGCTCGATGCTGCAAATCAAGAGCGGGAGTCGTTGATTAAGCTTTCTGAGACACGTCGACTGGAGACGGAGGCTGCACTGACATATTTCGACACCTCCGGCGCTGCATCCGAACACGACGTAGTTTGCTGCATCCGCAATTTGAACGCGGAGATGTTTCAGGCTGTGAAGGGAATATCCGATTCCTTCTTAGCCGGGCCACCTGTAGGCTCACTGTCGCGTGCTGAGGGACGCGTGAAGGGGATCGTAGGAAAACCGATATTGCAGCTTCTACGCAGGTTCCATCGCCATCGAGATGACATATTCATCGTCGAGATCGCCAGTCAAGCAATCATTTCCTTTATTGTTCAAGTGATTGCGTCGAGTTGGGATCTCACAAAGCCAGAAGATGCTCTATTCGGCCTTGTTTATGACAACATGCTCCTTAAAGGTGCGACGTCATGATCCAATGCGTATAATTTATTTCTCACGAGTTTTCATAGAATGTCAAAGTGTCGCTGGGCGATGGAGAGCGCTCTCCAGAAAACATCTGCGGCTCCTCAACGAGGAAGACAGTAAAGAAGATTCCTTAACAAGGTTTCTCCATGAGCATCTATCCAGTGTCCTTCTCATCGCGGGAGGTAGCGGTGAGGTATCCCAGAAGACCACCGAAAGTCTACGCGTCATCGTACGGTCCGCACTCAACCTCCGACATAGTATAAACGAAAGAATCACGGAGAGCGAGTACGTTGTGACAGTGGGCCACTTCGACGGCGAGTTCTCTCCAGAAGAGATGGAAGACGCGTTCGCTGTTAAAGGCAAGGCGACGAAGGAAAATGAGCGTGTCGCATGCGCCCATGAACTTGGCCTCACACGACTGGAGGCGGAAGGTGGTACGGCGGGCGTTCTCAAGGAGGTCGTCCTTGTGAAGCCGACGGTAGTTCTGATTAGTCTCCTGAATGAGCTAGCCTTGAGTGAATAACTGCGAAGAGAGTAGTGTATACCATGTTCAGCGCGATCAAGTCCATATGATTTCTCAAGTTATTCGTATTTTTTCTATCCGACGCAGAGTTGAAGTCATTCCGGTGTATTTCTACAATTTGTCGAGCCTATACCGTTTTCTCACAGGCAAAAGCGATTCCAGGACTGTTGTAGGTGTTCTTATATTGTGTTCGCCCGCCGGTAAGGGACTGTTGTTCGGCGCAAGAGTTCTCTTGAGAATCCAGACATATGTAAGTGACCGGCATTAATCGGCCGTAGAACATCTTTTGTAACCATTCCCTGTTCATATTTGGGCTCGTCCAGTATTTAATCGCTCATGCAATGCATGACAGCATAGCATTCAAAAGTGGTTCCTCACATGGCTCGGCACGACCAGTAACACAGCCTGACGCATGCATAACAGCTGTATCTCATCACAATGCAGAAAATACGACGATAATCATAACAATGGCATGTTGAAGGGCTCAACAGACAAAGTAAACATTCAAGAAATCAACCGTCTGCAACAAACACTCATCACCGCTGCTCACTTCGCATCGTCCTCAAAGATGACCTTGGCGGGGCTCCTTTAATCGCCATGTCAGAGACGGTAGACACCATACTGTGGCAATCGCGTACCTCTTTTCTCCCCCCTGTGATACCAAGCGATGATCGGTAAGCGGTCATTCGACTTGTATTCAATCAAAACACGTACATCTTCCTTCCAGGCCAACTGCGCCTTGAGCTCGGTCAGGCCGAACAAGAGGACGAGACGAAAGTTTTGCACTTCATACGGACCGAACCTGCCGGTCTCCTTCACCTTCGGCACGCTGGATGCGTCGGCACGAATGGTACATAAGGTTTGGAACATTTCTGCGCTTTGTCAATACGGGCTATTCCGTCGAACAGCGTAAGGATAGGCTTACTGGGCTCGTCGTCAATCCAACACGGGTCCTCCCTGGCGCCCTTGTAGCGGATCACCTCACACGATATGTCTTCGCTTGACTGGTCCCAGGTTCGAGAGAAAGTCTCCCCAAATTCTTCATCCTTTGAGACCAGTGCACCCTATTCGTATGAGTGCATGAGAAGTATAACGACTGTGGGTGTCGCTAACAAATACCTTTGGCAAGATGATGCAGAACCCTCCGGGGACGAGGGGGATCCCCGCGGCATTAACTCCCACCTTCGCCCTTCGCATCATGTGATCAGGCAAAAATGGGATCCACGGCACAGCGCAGGATGAGCCGTAGTGGAACTTCGCCACGCGCGCGGCTACCACGTCGTCAAGGTGAAAGTAAAGAGCACCTTCTGCGACTGCTTTGGCGCTGATGTTCACACGTCAAAAAGGTAGGCGAGTTTTTATCTGCAGCGTACGTACGGCTGGCTTTCGGGACAGATTAAAGTTAGCCCTTCTCGTTGAGAGTACGTCTGCAACTTTGCGCGGAGATATGGGCTGGCGGCAAAGCCCCCGACGAGTAGCACCATCTGGGAGCATAAATGGTAGTATCAGCATTGACATATCACCCGATACGGTTAAACAAGCACGGACGTGGACGGTTCCACCAGCGCCTGCGACTTGCTTCTTGATAGCATCCTCGATAGCTTTGATGGATGGATCGAAGAAGGAGGCCATCTCCGATCTGGAGTCCTCAGTTATGAACCGATTATAAAACAACTCAGGATAACGAGCGTACTGGATCAAAGTCAGTCTACCGCGTTTGATGCCGTACTTCTCGTCTGCTTCGCGATGACCAGTGAATTCAATCTGTGAAGACTTTGTGGTCTCCCGGAACGTCGGTTTGGTGTAGCTCTCGAACTTATCCATCATAACGTCAAGATACTCCTCATCACCGAACCGAGACTTCTTAGACTTGTCCCGACACGCAACGTTCAGCTTCTCTGCGAAGCCAGTGATCAGGACAACAGCAGGGTCAAAAAGCAATGTTCACGCACTTCGCAAAAAATCCTCGGCTCTGGAGTTTACATAGGTAGAGCCTTGCATGAGACCTGCAAACATCGAACGACATTAGATCATTCACGGTAGTAGTGATGACGACAACGTACAATCGGCAACGGTGGCCTCGATCGCGGATATCGGAGCAGTAGACACGATTTCATACGTGCTAATGTCTACTGTACCGCCACCAGCGTCCACAATGACCAGGCGTTTCCCAGCCTGAGATGAATGAACACATGTAGGGTTGAATCGGACTCAAACTGATGCGAACCTTGATAATGTCTGCTGCAAGTTCCTTTGCAATGCAGTAATGAAGGCTCGCCTCCCCTTCCGTGACGAAATGAAGACGCTCTTCGCCTTCCTGATTGTTCGGGATCAGACCCGCCAGGACTGCAGCCTCTCGCATGCAGGACTGTTGGCTACCTCCCCAGCCATTTGGGTGGGCCAGCACGAACTCAATGTTGGAAGATGATTCCACAAGCTGCGGGCCTTCTAGATGCGCCTGCGAAATGTGGTCCTTCGCACAAGTGAAGAGGTACTCGAGGAAGTCTGCGATGACCTGTACGACGGTCTTGTTTTTTTGGCAGCTTTGGCAGCTGTTCGTTTTGACCTGCCAAGTCTGACGGACGTAGGTGCAACTTGAACCTAGAGGTACTTAGCATGAACCAACACACATAACCGTGCAAGATGAAATGCTGCTCACCACTTCGCAAGTTTCCAGTTTTCATCTTCAGCGTCCAGCTTCGAATTCTCCGCCTCTGCACCCACAGCACGAACTTGTCCATCCTTACTGTAGTAGATGATCGTCGGGATCTTGGTATCTCCCACTTGCTTATCGCCCTCTTGGCCAGGGTAGCTGAGGGATCGGTAAGCGCACGGAATGCAATCTCGCGAGGACGAACGGACATACCGTGTGACGCTCAAGATCTTTGGTACTTCACGGTTATAAAGGATAGCGTATGAGACACCACTGTAGGTGGTACCGAAGTCAATCCCAATCACAAGCTTGCGGCTGGCACCGCTGTACGGCTTAGTGAGAGGCATTGCTCGTACGAAGTGGGGTGTCGAAGAGCGAAGGGCAAGCACAATGGGGTTTTGCACTGCACCAGCAGGCCCCGGCTTATAACGGGCTAGCAAGGCGAAAATTTGCGCAACCGCGTGCAACAGCTAAACCATCAAAAACAGCAACGCTTGGGTATTCCACGAGGTGGCCATGTCTTCTCCGACGGTCGACGGCGTCTGCGTCCACTTCGGAGGCGAATATACTCAAAGAAGCCATCATATCGTAACCAGAACCCGATCGGCGCCTTGATGGTACCACGGCGAGTCAATGCGACCTATTCAGGCTGTGGCCCTGTCAAGAGGTCTCGCGGAGAAATTTTCACGAACCCTCACTATCGCTGCGGGTGACCTCACCAGTCGCCGCCCGTTTCCCTCCCATATTACCTTCACTTAAGCTTCATAAGCTTCATCCCTCACACTCACGAGACCGCATCCTCTGATCTCATCCATGCCGCGGTGCAAGAAACACAGCTTCCTGTGCCAGCTGCTCAAATGGCGGAGACATAGAGGAGAGAACAAAGTCGATCCAATTGACCAACAAGAGAGTCAGAGATTTCCGCACCGCCTGGTGAAGGAGACATCCGAGTTCCAGCATGGAGAAGATGCCAGTGCGTGCCCCGAAAGATGCGCAGGATTATCAGAAAAACAAGTCGAAGTCGAGAGCCTGCACACAACCGTTGAGAAGAAACAGTCAGACTTCGACGCAGCGCTCAGAGAAGATGAACTGAAGCAGGCAATTGCGAACGGAGAGACGTGGAAAGCCAGAGCAGAGCAGTATGAGAAGGAGCTCTCTGCTGCTCAGCAGAGGATCGAAGCAGCGACAAGAGAGGTACGCTTCTCGGATCGTGGTCCATGCAAAGAGAACATTGACCATGGCGAACGTAGCTCGAAGAAACCCGCGTCAAGAATGGCAAATGGACGAAAGAGCGTGAAGAGATGCATACGCTGCTAGAGCAGCGTCGCATCGAACTTGAGGTAGCGCATACCTACCTCGATTCCGTGGATACAGTCACAGAGAAGGATCTCGTATGCTCCCTCGGCAATCTCAACGCAGAGATATTCCAGACAGTCATGAGTATCACGGAGTCATTCGCTACTGTCGAGAAGAATGGCCTAAACGAGCAGATCGCGGAGGCGGCCCTTGGCATTGTCGGCCAGAAAGTCTTCAACGCATTGTTGTCCTTTCCGGACCATCAGCTGGACCCACTTCTCCTCGAGGTCGCCCTGCAAGTCACGATAGTCCGTGTCATGGGATGGATTATAGACGCATGGGATATTGAGCACTGGGGTTCGAGCGTGATAGCACGCACCTACGAGCGGATGGTATCATCAGGTGAGAGATACGACAGTCTATCAAGAAATAATTCTGAGATCTAGCTTCAGAGAATCACAGAGTCGCAGCACGATGGCGCATGTTGGCGCACAAGTACCAAGAGCCACAGCCGGCAACTGGACGGCAATGGGAAGACGACTTAACGGAGAAGTTACAATTCTGCATTTCGGCAGTTTTCCTCGTCGCGCGAGGAGAATATGATCCAGAGAAGGAAGAGGACAACGTACGCATCATTGTGCGCGCTGCGCTCCGCGTTCGGAAGATGATCCGCGAGGATATCAGCAGCAGTGATTACCAGATCACTGTTCCAGTCGTAGGAGAATCGTTCGACCCAGAGAGCATGACAGATCATTATGCGACGAAGGGATCCATCCCGCCAGTAGGAGCGCGCTTGCTCTGCCCGTACGAGCTGGGTCTGCGACGGGTCGACAGGCGAGAGGAGGACGGAACAATGGTCGTGCGCCCCGTGACACTCGTCAGGTCAAAGGTGCTTTTGGAGAGTGCGATAAATGAGCTGGTAGGGAGTCCAGTCATCGGCGGATATGATGTTGATTGAGGTAGCTGCAAGAGATGTTCTTCGCAAATTGGAGCGACCCGGTAGATAGCTAAATCTCTTGATTTTCATTTTCGCATAAGGCCCATTCAGTCCGTAGTCAATTCGTGAGATATTCTTGTATGCGTCTTATACAAAGCTTGAGCCACCAACAGTACGCCAGTGAGAAATTTCGAGCCTTGTGAACGTTGAGTCAAGCTTGAATGTCGATGGCTGAGCGCTCGAAAGAGCAGCTACAAAGCGCGCAGATTTCATTTCAGACTCCGATAGTCCCTCCGCGCGCTGCCCATCGCGCTAGCGGCTAGGTATGTAATTATCTCTACCTTTTCCACTATTTGTCGAACCTGAAGAAACGCGAAACTTTGTAGAGGTATGGCGTTGGCCGTCCGTAAAGACATCAGCCTTCTTCAAGACAGAACGAGTGGTGCTCTGCGGGTTCCATTACTTCCATATCAGAACAATTGACTGCATAGTCCGGTGAAACGGTGCAACTCGCACTGAGTTACTTCGCATTCATATGCTATAGTGTAACCATGTGCACCGGAGTCGGTAGGCCGTCGTAGTCATATATTCATGATTGGCGCCTGTTGGCTCGACGTGGTCGGCACACACACGGGTCAATCGGGGAACCACCGACACAAGGTCACGTCGTGACCGTACAGGCACGTTTCAATCATTCTCGCGATATCACTCACGAAAGTGATAGAGTGTTCGCTTTTCCATCGTCCATATCGCAGCATCCTCTACCGCTATTCTGTCGTGCGATCGTACAGTTGACCATGGTACTAACGTTGTCGTCTGGTCACAATGCTGACCCTGGAGCTTCAGCCCAGAGCGCCCAGAGCCAGAGCGCCAGCGAGTATCCAAGCCGACAGATTCAAGATTTGGAGAGGAGTGCGCGTTCCCAAAGCGCGAACGAGCATACAGATGGACGAACATACAATACTGAGAGAGCCATGGTTCATGTCAGCGTTCAGACGTCATCAATACCGGTGCAACGTGCAAGCGAGCATGGAGACAGACTCGTACAAGACTCCGAGAGGAATGTGCTGGAGGAAGGCCCTAGAGAACATACACCTGGACGAATGCACGGTGACGGGAGAAATGGGCTCGTACGAGGCGCCACAGAGCATACGGACAGACGGACTCCAGAGTCTGATCCTGCGAATGAAGTAATCGCAAACTTGATGACAAAGGTGGAGCAGTTGAGCCTCTGCGTTGAGGCGGAGAGGGATAGGGCCAATAGATATCTCAAGGATGCTGACAAGTTCCTCCGCGAGAAGGAGGAGTCGGATCAAGAAGCTGCATACTGGAGAGCGAAAGCACGTCGATACCGACAAGGCAGACACTCAGCTCTTGTAGAGGTGAACATCTCCTAAACTATCTCGCAGATCAGTTGCTGATGTACAATTTCATCATGAGCAGTTGGACCAACTTCGCTTCCAATATGAGCAGGCGATGAAGGAGCGGGAGTCTATCCAAGTGCTATCGGAGCAGCGTCGACAAGAGTTGGACGCTGCGCAAAGCTATCTGAATACAGCTGATGCATCAGAGCAAGACGTCGTCCGTCTTGTCAAGAAGATGAATCATGAGGTTTTTCAAATGGTCAGAGCGTTATCGGATAGCTTTCAGCTCTTGCACTTCCCGAGGCGAGATGAAAATGCAGATGAACTTGTCACTGAGCTTATCGGACCATCGATGCTGGAGCTCTTCCAGTCTGTCTCAGATTGTAACGACACTCTCGCACTCGAGACCGCTCTTCAGCACACTCTCATTCTGCAGATCCACAACATGATATCGTCGTGGGACTTCGATAATGGCAATGAAACCATTCCGAGTTTATATGACAAGATTTTGCGATCCGGTAGGTGCATCCATGATCTTGTTTGAATCGGTTGCTCATGAAGTTAACAGAGTCTCAAAAAAATCGCCGATGGACCGCAGGCCATTACCCGTAATCATCTGCCGTCCCAGCGAGCGGACGGTTGGGATTGGCAGGATTATTGCCTGGAGTACCTCAAAATGTTGTTATCTTCCATTTCGGTAGCGGCCGGTGGCCGTACAGATGTGTCTGGACACGCGGATAGCATCAGAGAGATCATTCCATTGTATTTCGGTTCCGGAAGATGGTAGGAGAGGATATCGTCGGAAGCAACTACCTCGTAACAATTGGCCATTCTGGCGATGTCTTCGCTCCTGATTCAATGGAAGACGCCTTCCCGGTCAAAGGACAGCCCCCGAAAGTTGGTATGCACGTCCTCTGTGCATCAGAACTCGGTCTGCGAAGAGTCGAGAAGGTCAAGGGAGATACAGATGCAGTAGACCGGATCTCCGAGGTGGTCGTGTTGAAACCAAAGTCATCCTGGAAGATTTCGTCACGGAGCTGGGTTTGGGGAACGATCGCACAGTGATAACGTGAGCGACTCCCCGATGCGCGAATAGGAATGCAGACTCCGAGGTATTCTTGTAAGACTTGTTTTGTCCTCGATGGTGAGAATCATGTGTCGAAATGCATGTCATTTGCTCCGTGACTTCTCTATAAGTCAATTGCATCTAACGCCATGAATGAGTAGCTTCAGTGGTTATTTACCCGATATTCCAGGTCTCTTCGGTGTCGTCGTCCTCATGAGGACCCAAGTGTTGAATCTCTTATCAAACTCCGAAGGATCTCATCAGGTGCTCTTGGCCAGTCAGCCGTCATTCACATACGTGGTACGTGTGCACGTTTTAATTCGGATACTGTCTCTAATGCACTCATTCGTTTGCCCAGATATTGTGGCAGAGCATCTGAACAAGCTGGAGACGCATTGGCATCCACACATTCGTTTGTCTGGACGAACGTCCAAGGACATCATATCTTAGCAACACAAGCATGTTGCTCACTTGCAAGCGTGCCGTTTGCTCCATCAATGAAGATAGTATCACGGGCATTCGCTGATACGTTTCTTGAATCATAGCGCACTCTATCTACTCTGCTCGTCTCGTGATAGAGATGAAGACGATCTGGGGTGTTCAGGCAGGAGGAAGTGCAGATGCTGCAAATTCTCTTGGGATATTCATACCCGTGCAACGCGGTATCAAGCGTGTAACTTTATAGATTCGGAGACAGATGGTATCGCGTCACACCCCGAGGCCTGAGGCCTGAGGGGGAAGTTGAAAAGCTGCACCTGAATGTCAACATGTGAAGACCTTGAAGTCCAAGACCGAATGCTTCTCAAGCGACGGAGCCGCTGCAATAGAGACAGCGCTTGGAGCTTACGTATGTGGGAAAAAAAACTCAAGCGAAGCAGCCGTCATTGGAAGGATGCGTATTCAAGGATCGTCAGTGCTCTCCGCAGACCATGACACTGGCACTTCCAGCCGACGCACGACACTGAAGGGTTCTACGAAGAACTTTATTGTCAATGCGTTGTTGCTACGGCTGAGCGAGACGCGATGGCTAGAGATTGGCCCTCACATGGTCATCTGCAAGCGAGCGTCAATGCCTCTTCTGTGCTGCTCGGCTGCCCAAGTAATTAAACCGCATCCATCGCCACATGCGACCCATTTTGGTAAACCTCACGTACTATGAGGCGCTTTGCATTTCTCTCAGTTTGCCAGCCATTTTTAGGCAAGAAAGCACTTCCGAGTCCGTGCTGTAGAGTTGCTTCCTCTATACCTTCGTCGTGCACTCGATATGATCTCGGACGATAATCTTAATTCATGCCCTACTGGCCTCAGCACCGCCACAACTGATGGAGCCGCAAGACCCTTGCATGTTCGACTTCATGCACTGCATAGGGCGCTTTCATATCAAGTGATCACGCTGTCAGAACAGCTGGAGCGTAGCGAAACGGATGCGAAGGAGGAGATGGACAACTTGAAGGACGCATTGGCACGAAGTAAGATGGAAACTGCCGCCGAGAAGCGTAGAGCGGATGAATATCTCAAACAGGCCCACGATCAGCAAGAACGGCTGGCATCAAATGAGAAGGATGCGAAGGAGCAGGCGGACAGATATAAGGCAAAGTTGGCGCGAGTTATGAGAGAAACGCGGGGAGATAAGCTTAGAGCAGAACGATGCCTCAAAATTGCCACATAACAGCTGACATTCGCAAGGGAGCTTCAAGGTGCGCTGAATCAGGAAAAGGAACGACGCAAGCATTATGAAGAAGAGGCGCGTCAATTGCGGCGAGAGAGAGAAACACTCAGGAAGGAGGTGCGCATCGCACATTTTCACCTCGAAAACAAAACATTGACCGCTGCGAATGTAGCTCGAAAACGCGCGTCGCAAAGACGGCAAATGGACGAAAGAACGTGAAGAAATGCATATGTTGCTGGAGCAGCGTCAAATCGAGCTTCAGGTGGCGCAGACCTACTTCGATTCCGTGGATACAGTCACAGAGAAGGATCTCATACGCTCCCTCGGCAATCTTAACGCAGAGATATTCCAGACCGTCATGATTATCGCAGACTCATTCACTACCGTCGAGAAGAACGCCTCCAATGAGCAGGTCGCGGGAAGAGCCCTTGGCATCGTCGGCCAGAAAGTCTTCAACGCACTGATGTTCTTTCCAGATCATCAATTGAACCCAGTTCTTCTTGAGGTCGCCCTGCAAGGCACGATAGTTCGTGTCATGGGATGGATCATTGACGCATGGGATATGGAGCACTGGGGTCCGAGCGTGATAGCACGCACCTACGAGCGGATGGTATCATCATCAGGTAAGAGATACGACAGTCTATCAAGAAATAATTCTGAGATCTAGCCTCAGAGAATCAGAGGGTCGCAGCACGATGGCGCATGTTGGCACACAAGTACCAAGAGCCACAACCGGAAACTGGACGGCAATGGGAAGACGTGTTAACAGAGAAGTTACAATTGTGCGTTTCGGCAGTTTTCCTCGTCGCGCGAGGAGAATATGTTCCAGAGAAGGAAGAGGACAACCTACGCATCATTGTGCGCGCTGCGCTCCGCCTTCGGAAGATGGTCCGCGAGGATATTAGCAGCACCGACTATCAGATCACCGTTGGAGCCACAGGAGAGGCGTTTGACCCGGAGCACATGACAGATAACTATGTGATGAAGGGACCCGTCCCGCAAGTAGGAGCTCGTGTGGCCTGCCCGTACGAGCTGGGTCTGCGACGGGTCGACAGGAGAGAGGAGGGCGGAACAACGGTCGTGCGCTCCGTGACGCTCGTAAAGTCAAAGGTGCTGCTAGAAAGCACAATCAATGAGCTGGTAGGGAATCCGACTGTTAACCGGTACGATGTTGATTGAAGCGGCTTGAAGGCGCCTGCAGGAGATAGTCCTCCACACCGCTTGAAACGACGTATAAATAGCTAGATATCTCGCTTTGCATTTTCGAAAATTAACAATTGAGTGCGGCACGAAACAAAGGCCTAGTGGTGGGTATGTCTTAGTGCCTTTGAGGTCGCCAACAATGCGCGAGTGACATGTGAGGTCGGCAGCTGAGCGCGTGCGCTGAAGCGCGCAATTACCAAGTCCCTGCACGAAGAGAATGAACCCACTTTCTCGCAGCAGCTGTGTTGTGACAGAGGCATTCTCTGGCTACAACGTATGCAATCACACAGCCTGCACAGATTTATTTTTCCACGGGAAACCTGATGAAAAAACGGTGAAAATATCTTAAGTCTGGATATGGCAATAGTTTGAAAATTGGGCTGAGACAATTAAATTATGTTACGATTGCTTCACCGAAACATATCGGTAACACATATCTTTGGACTGAAATATCTTCCTTTGGGAAATAGTTTCACTATTGCTGATATGTTTCAGTAAAACAATCGTAACATAATTTAATTGTCTCAGCCCAATTTCTAAACTATTTCCATATCCAGACTAAAGATGTTTTCACCATTTTTGCATCAAAGTTCCTGTGGAAAAATAAATCTATGCAAACTGTGTCATGCGCATGCCAAAACAGGCTCGCTTACGCTCATATTATACCTCGGTGTCTCGAATGTCCGGTAACGAACGTGATCATATCTGTCAGTGTCACATGTAAGCGCCACATGGAAGCGCTAGCTAGTAGTGATCGTGGCTACGCTTGCACGCAAGTTGCAGTCGTCTCACTCGCCCCACTCACGAAGGTAACGGAACGTTCGCTCTCGTTGTGCAAAGCTTAGCGTGTTTGATATACTTGTACGGCGATCGTAGATGCTAAAGTTCATCAGTAGTATCAGGACTGGGAGTGGTGCCAATGCCACATCCTCTCCATCGCAGGTGCCTGTTCAAACCGCAAGCGGATATGCACAGCGGCAGATACAAGGCATGGAGACGGGCGTGCCCGTGCAACACCCAAGCGAACATGCGCACCGACAGGTAAGGGACTCCCAGAACGATGCGCTAGCGCTAAGCTTGGGTGACATTATGCTCAACAGATGCACGATACCGAGAGAGATGTACCTGTACAACGTGGGTCAGAACATGCACATAAAGAGATGCAAGATACTGAAGGGAATGCGCTAGCCCAGATTATGTGCGACAGTTCACATCGTGAGTTGCAGGATTCCCAGAAAGATATACATACACAGACCAACACCGAGCATGCACACCGGCGGATCCACAATCTCGAGGTCAACATACCTACTAGGCGGAGCATTAGCGAGCATGCCAATCGACGGGGCCAGGATCCCGAGAGAGATTTTGCCATAGCGCAATTGAAGTCTGAGTTAGAGCGGTATAAGAGAGAACTCGAGAAGGAAAAGCATAGTGGAGAGCAACTCCGCAAATTTGCCGAACAACAGAGGCAAGCAAGAAAGGACATGCAAGAAGAAGTCGCGTACTGGAAAGGAGAAATGCACCGCTTACGGCAGGGCAGGGATTCAGCTCGAGCAGAGGTGAATATTTCTCAGACTGTTCGGCAGGTCAGCCGCTGATACATGATATCACTCATACGGCCAGCTGAAGCAACTTGAGTTCCAATTCGACCAAGCAATGAAAGAGCGGCAATCTATACAAGCACTATCGGAGCAGCGTCGACTAGAATTGGAGGATGCGCAGAGCTATCTTAACACTGCTGATGAATTCTCGGAACAAGATGTCGTCCGCCTTATCAAGAACTTGAACAGTGAAGTGTTCCAGGTCGTCAGAGCGGTGGCCGATAGCTTTCAGATGTTTGACACTTCGAAGCGAGATGAAAGAGCGGAGAGCGAAGCAGCTGCCAATATAGGACCTTCCATGTTGGAGCTCTTTCAGTCCGTCTCAGATACAGGCGAAACTCTCGCACTGGAAACTGCCCTTCAACACAATCTCGTTCTGCTCATCAATGACGTGATAACACTGTGGAACTTTCGCTATGGTGACAATGTCAGTGTAGTCATGGCGGGTCTGAACCAGAAGATTCTTCGATCAGGTAGATGTGTTGCTCATTCTAGCTTGCGTTGGTAGCTCACACAGGTGACAGAGAGCCAGAGCATAGCTGGACGATGGCGCGCCATCACGCATAGGAACATGCCGAGCCAGCTACCTGATGGCCGGGACTGGCAGGACTATTGCGTGGAGCATAGCACCAGTTTGCTGTCTTCCATATCCATGGCGGCCGGGGGCCGCGTGGATGTATCTGGACAAGCGGATAGCATCCGAGAGATTATTCACGGAGCATTCCGGCTTCGGAAGATGATAGGAGAAAACATTGTCGGAAGCAATTACACTGTGACGATAGGCCAATCCGGCGACGTCTTCACTCCAGATTTCATGGAGGATGCTTTCGCACTTAGAGGGCGACCTCCGAAGACTGGGATGTCCATCCTCTGCGCATCTGAACTCGGCCTGCTACGGCTCGACAAGGTCAAGGCAAGCGCAGACGCAGCAGGAGGGATCTCCGAGGTGGTTATATTGAAACCCAAAGTCGTCCTGGCAGATTTCGTCATGGAGTTGGGTTTGGGGGAACGGTCGCATGGTGATAACCTGAGCGATTCCCCGATGCGCGAATAGGAAAGCAAACTCCGAGCCTTTCTTGTAAGATTCATTTTGTCCTCGATGGTGAGATTCATATGTCGAAATACATGTTATCTGCTCCACGACTTCTATGACTTATTTACAGCTAAGGCCGTGGATTTCTATCAAAGTGATCCCATGAAGTGCTCCCCTCGTAAGTCAGTTGCCATTCACATTCGATAAACGTACACCTTCTGATTCGCATACTGTCTCCAGCGGTATCCAATGTACTTATTCGCATGCGTGGATATTCTGGCAGAGCGCCTGAAAGAATCGTCAGTTGAGGTTCTCGAAAAGGCACATTGGCGTCCAGACGTTCGTTTTCGATGGACAACCATCCAAGGACGTCATACTTTAACAGCCACGCACGTTGCACACTTGCAAGCATGCCGTCCGCTCCGCCAACGAAAATAGTACTATAGTACTATGTGCGTCCGCTCATACGCTTCGTGAATCACAGCGCGCTGTCTCTATCCTGTAGTTTCGCAACTGTGGTGAAGACGATACAGAGTCTTCAGGTGGGAGGACGTACAGATGCTGCAAATTCTCTTGGGAGATCAATGCCCGCGCAACGCGTGAGCGAGCATACGACCACCACTTCCAGCCGATGCACTATACAGAGGGGTTCTAGGAGGAAGTTCACTGCCAATCTGTTGCTGCGAGCGAGATGCGATGGCTGAAGATTGGCCTTCACATAATCATCTACAAGCGAGCTTCAACTTGAGCCTCTTCTCACTCCAGACATGAACGCATTGGTGACACCGTTTTCTCGGTTTAATGTCGCGAAAGAAACTTTACCCTACTAAACTGGGTTTTGAGAAATGAGTTGATTATGTCTAGGGTGTGGTGTCTGTATTGCTCCGCTGCCCAAGTTATTGAACCGCATTCAACGAGCGTCTCGTTGCCACACGATGTCGAATCATGATCTTGATCATGTGGCCGCCACGGGCGACTTAAATAGCACGTATCAGGCGCTTTGCAGTTGTCTTCGTTCGCCCACCCGTTCGAAGGCAAGAAAGCGTTAATACCGTTCGAGTCCGTGCTATAGTGTCTTTTGGTCCATATCTTCGTCGTACACTAAACATGATCGTGGAACCTAATCTCAATGCACACCCTACTGGCCCCAGAGTCACCACAACTGATGGCTCCGCAAGGCCCGTGCGTGTTCGAACTGATGCATTGCATAGGGGACTCGAGGATCAAGTAAGCAGGCTGTCAACACAACTGACACGTACGGAAATGGACGCGAAGGAGGACGTGGACAGCTTGAAACACGCGTTGGCACGAAGTCAGAGGGAAACTGCCGCCGAGAAGCGTAGAGCGGATGAATATCTCAAACAGGCCCGAGACCAGCAAGAACGGCTGGCATTAAACGAGAAGAATGCGAAGGAGCAGGAGGAGAACTATAAAGTGGAGCTGGCGCGAGTTATGAGAGAAACGCAGCGAGAAAAGCTTAGAGCAGAACGATGCTTCAAATTTGCCAGAGACAAGCAGACATTGGCAAAGGAGCTTCAAGATGCGCTGGATCAGGAAAAGGAACGACGTAAGCATCATGAAGAAGAGGCACGTCAATTGCAGCGGGAAAGGGATGCACTCAAGAAGGAGGCGAGTACACTTTCAATTCGAGCGCAATGATTGTATTTAATGCAGACATCAACAGCTTGCTCAATTGCGTCGTCAGTTTGATGGTGCGATGGAAGAGCGCGCTAAGAAGGAGGCGCTACTGGAGACGCGCAGGCTGGAACTTGAAGCTGCGCAAAGCTATTTCAGCAGCGCTGACGCATGTTCCGAGCAAGACGTAGTCCACCTCGTTTCCAACCTAAATGCGGAGATCTTCCAGGTAGTTAGGACAATTTCGGATGCATTTCGAGCGACCAAGCGCCCTACCTTGGACGAAAAAACAAGGAAGACGCTCAAGTCATTAATTGGCTCGTCCATGATGCAGTGCCTATTGTCTTTCCCTCACCGCAATGACACCGTGGTTCTGGAAATGGCTCTTCAATTTGCCATGGTCGCCTTCATCGAGAGAGCCGTATCAGCATGGGATATGAGCATCTGGAAGCATGGCGCGTTCGCAAGTGTATATGATCAGATGCTCGGAGCTGGTAAGCTATCAATTATAGCGCTACCGACATCGTGCTGAGCTCGGTCTATAGAGTGCCAAACAGTAACAGGCAGATGGCGTGCACTGGCGCGTCAGCACGCCCCCGAAAGAGAGCGGTGGAAGGGGATCATAGAAAATGATCTCTCATACTTTTCCACAAGCATACTCTTGGCCGCAGGTGGCAATGGGAGCATTCCACAGTCCGTGAAAGAAAGCCTGGTCGTCATCGCATGTATGGCATCTCAGCTTCGGAAGATGATCGGAGAGGACATCGTTGGAAGTAACTATCAGGTGACGGTCGGCCGTCCGGGAGACGAGTTTTCACCCAACGCGATGGAGGATAGCTGCGCGGTCAAAGGAAAACCTCCCAAGACAGGCGTGCGCGTCTTCTGTCCATCGGAGCTCGGCTTGCGACGCATCGAGAAGGGTGACTCTGGTGCAGCGGACATCCGTGCAGTGACTTTGGTGAGGTCGAAAGTAATCTTGGAGGATTTCGCAGACGAGCTGGGACTGCGGGAGATCTTGCGATGTGCGGATAAGAAGTAGTCATGTGAACCAATACCCTTCATTGGCCTCATCACAATCTCGTCTCCTTAAATACCACCGATGTACGCATCGGCCATGCTTGTTGCTATTCTGATATTAGCGTGATATATAGCGCATGTGAAACGCAAGGATTGTTATGAAAGTCGGTATAGAATGGTAAGTTCTTGCAGCTACGGTAAGTTCTTGCAGCCCCGGGGCAACTTTCGATGTCAAAGCGCAGAGATGAGCATTTTGAAATATGCACGACTTCACGACGCACCCGCGGAGACCGGTCTGCAGAACACTAAGAGCTGCTTCTGTCAGACAATGCCACTTTCGCCTGCATCGATCTCTTATAGACACGATGCCCGTGTTGACCACGCACTACCACCAGATATTAATTAGTAGGTTTAAAAACCCCGATGTCGAGAGGCTCTCGCATGCCCGGATTTTCATTCGAACACTAAAATAATGGGAAGAATACAGTACTTGTCCTGTGCATGTCGATCTAATCTGTCGCAGGCTCGACCTGCAGTACGTGTTCTTGATTGCGTCCAACAAAAAATCACCTCGCCTTTTCCGTACGATTCGAAGCAAATACCAGCCCGGTGACCGTCACAACGCGGCGATGTTACGCGGCAGTCGGAACGAAAGATTGCCGTCATACCCCGAAGCACTCAGGTACGACGTCACACGCACCATGTTCGCGGACGCAATTCACAAATGCTGTCCGATAGGCCGCAGCTGTACGAGAGCCTACATCGTCCGTTAATGCATGACGACACCCTATACCAGTCACCGCGTATATGAAAACAGCCATGATGCTCGAGCTCACCATGATTCACAGCAACAGCATGAAGTCATGCTCGTCGTTGGGACGCAGGTACGCTCATGCTTGGGCATCTGAATGGGGTGCACGCCTCAAGGCGGCAAGGCGATGATGACCGTCGATGCAGAAAAACGTTTCCTGAATTCAAAGAAGCTATCGATGCAGCTCGCCTGGAGATTGTGACGGGGCGCACATCGCACACAGCTCGCGGTTCCAACGTGCGCTCGCTTGTGAGCCTGCAGGACTGTTACGAGCTTCGCAGGATCAGTGGCAACGATGAATCCCTATGCGTTCGCGAGCAGCTGTCGATGAATCTTAGAGAAGAGATGATGGTCAAACTTCGGCATCCATACGACAATGCGAGCAGTGAGCAAGTAATGGCATTACTGCACCAGAACCGTAAAGGGAAGAGCGGAGATCGCAAAAGCCACGTGAATGAACGTCGATATCAGAATGATCGATGCATGCCTGAAATGCGCTAAGCATGCAGCTAGCGCGCGCATCGCTTAAGACTGATAAATTAGGATATTCTCGAGGCCACTGCCCAACGAGGCCGAGAATAGCCCATCACCCGCAGAATTTAGCCATGTAGCCCGCAGCGCTATATCTACTCACTGCCCAGGCCTTCTCACTACGCACCAGGACTCATAACTGTGCCCCCTCGCCCTCCCCCACATCGCCGACCATGGCTCTCACCCAAGCCGTCGCCCAACGCCTCATGTGCGCGTTCTTCAGCATCATATTCTCCTTCGTTCAGTTCTGCTGGTACTTCGCCCAGCAGTACTTCTATCTGCTGTATACGCTGTATCGTGTTGGCTCAGTGGTCGGCGAGACAAGATGGTTATTTGCTGAAGGGACAAGACGCTTCCTCCCTGGCGTTCCTCGTCAACGGAAGACGAGACGAGGCAGGATCACAGCGTCGGACCCGTCGGATGTCGAGAAAATGAGGATGAAGGTATTGAGCCTCGCGCTTGAGCTGGATAAGGCCAAGAGCCAAGCGGAGCAAGAGAAGCAGCGGGCCGAACAGGCAGAAGGACAAGCCGAGATCAGCAAGGCGGAGGTGGAAGGCGCCAAACGCGAGCTGGAAGATGCGAAACAGGAGCTCGAGCGTTCGAAAGATGAGGCAAATCGACGAGCGCAAGAGTTGGAGCAAACCATCGAGTCGCTCAAGCAAGAGGTAAGCAACGTTGTACGCTTCGAGCGACCAGAGGAATGACCTGCACTTGTGCAGCTTGCCCAGGCTCGGCGGAGAGAGGAGACGTATCTCCAGGAACGCGATGCCACGCAAGCGCTCCTTGAGACCCGCCGACTCGAGCTCCAGGCCGCACATACCTACTTCACTGCCGCCGATTCCACATGCGAGACCGACGTCGTCCGCACCCTAAGAACCCTGAACGCCGAGATTTTCCAGGCTGTCAAAGCGATGGCGAACTCTTTCAGCTCCGACTACTCCACGCAGCCGGATGACCATGCAGTCTCGCAGGCGAGGACGGTCGTCGGGCAGGCGATGACGGAGATCCTGTTAACGTTCCAGGATCACCACGAAGACACGATCATGTTAGAGATGGCGCTTCAATCGACCATCACGCTCGTCATTCGGGGAATCGTCGCGGAGTGGGACCTTTCGCACTGGCAGACGAACGGATTTTCCGATGTCTACAGTCAAATGGTCCAGTCGGGTAAGCCTTCTCACACGCCTCCTTCCAAGTATGCGTTTTGAGCGACGAGCTACAGAGAGCCAGAGTGTGGCGGGCCGTTGGCGTGCCCTCACGCGGAAGTATCTTCCCCAGAAATCGCGAGGAGGCAGGGACTGGATAGCCACCTTCAGCAATGGCCTCGCCGCATTTGCCTCCTGCATCCTCATCGTCGCGGGAGGCAACGGTCACATATCGGACCAAATCGCAGATTGCATTAGCACTATCGTGCGCACCGCATTGACGCTCCGCACGATGATCGGCGAGGACATTATCGGGAGCGACTACTTCTTGACTGTGGGCGAAGCTGGGCAGACCTTCGATAAAGCAACCATGGAAGACGGGTTCGCCACGAGGGGGAAGACACCGAAGACAGGCGCGAGAGTCCTATGCCCTTCGGAACTAGGCCTGCGGCGAGTAGAGAGAGACGGTAAGATAGCCAAGGAGGTGACGTTGGTGAAGGCAAAAGTCGTCGTCGACACATTCCTAGAGGAGCTGCAATTCGAGGCATTGCCTCCACCTATAACCAAAAAAGAGGAGCAAGAGCCTGAGTACGATTTCAGAAACCTCGCGCGTAGCGTGTAGCCATAGACCGTGTATGTTTGTTTCAATAGCCACTGTACAATTCTTCATTTGTAGCGTTTGGGGATTGTAGTGGCCAGGAGCCAGGAATTACAACATGAAATGTACCAAGGACTCACGGACGCAGCCCTCCGTCCCGCCCTCTATCGACCACCTGTAGCGACTTGAAATGCCTTCAAGTTCGACCTGCGACGGCTTCTTTCAGTGCTTCTTTAGGTAGTACCGCTTCGAGCGATTTAAAGTAAGAGATCAGCAAGCGCTGACGCTGTCAATTACTCCAACGAAAAGCACTGTAGCAGCACAACCGATGGTCGATACGATAGCAAGAATGTTTTGGGAATATTGTAAGCCGAGTCGAAGGCCACGACAGCGACGATGAAAGCAAAGGGCTGCAGACTTGGCAAGGCTACTCAAGTAGTTTAAGGTTCAGATTCCATCTCCGCCACTTCCGCTACATGTGGCTGGCTGATCAGTTGCTGCCGGTGAACCAACAAATACATGCATTGAAGCCTTGAAGGCATTTCAATGAATACAAAGCTCGCATCAATCACATACATGGACGATACCAACAACACGACTTGGTTAAAAACCTACAAACGATGACACATGAAGACACGGACAAATTGAAATCTGGTTCACGTTCGCCGATCCAGGAGCTATGGCGCATCGCGACAATTCGCGTCAGTATCCCATATCACCATGATGGAACAGGACTCGCCTGCCCAGCGATCCGCGCGACGCTCTTGATCTTCTTGCACTCCTCCTGGACATTATATCCTCGTGGAGTATGCAATGTGCCCTCACGGGCATAGCGCTCGATGTACCTGCATGCCATTTAGCCATGTGCGACTAAGTCGTGATGTAACCATGCTCACCGCAAACACGCCTCCTCCTTGAAGTCGGCGTATAGCCTTCGGTTGTATTTTCTCTGACCAATCACCCGGAGGAGTCAGCATCACCTAGTCGTGCAAAGAGCTCGTGGTAATCACGCACCTCTTCTCTTCGCGCCTCTTCCTCATACGTATGACTCTGATGAATCAAAAAGTGATCCGCGAGGACGTAGAACGACACTCCGCTCAGGTACATCTCGAACAAGCACGCCGCCTTATTCGCCCCATACCCCGTGAAACGCTCGTCGCACCTAAACCTCCTCAGCATTTATGAAACCACGGAAACCCAGGAGGTACTCACCAGCTCACACGTTTGCTTACGATAACATATGGCTCGTACGCGCTCTGATACTGACTCGCACGGTAGACCGCCCCGCTCCCCGGCGCGATCGCGTCGTACCGCGGATAGTCCGTGCTGTTGTGTCCCGGTGCCCAGGACGCGTGAAATGCGGTGATGACCGGCGGGGATGCCCGTGTGAGCTTCAAGAGGCTCTGCAAGTCGTCCCGCACGTCAAGGCACGAGTCTATCATGAGGAGGCGGAGCGCTTACCTCCTTATCCGCCGGAAAGCTCCGCTGGTCCACACCATCGTCCAGGTTCACATATTCAAACGCCGGGACGACAAGTGCTGCGTTGCCGTCACGCAGACGCTGCACGAGCTCCCCGCTTGCGAGGTCCATCGTTATGCCCTCATCCTGCGCAGTGGACACGTTCGCTACACCGGCACGCACGATCGCATCTCGCACGGCACCTCTCCAGTCCGTGCACACCGCAAAGTCCACGTCGAGAATCATCACGAACTCCGTGCGCGCGAACAGCCGCGCGACGTTCCGCCATACGTTGAACTGCCGCCCACCCTCACCTTCGCCTTCGTTCTCTGTGCGACCGCGCGCGGCTGCAGCGAAGGGAGAGAGCGCGAGGTGCACGTCAACATACTGAGCAAAGAGCGGCGAGGAGGTGTAGAGCGTGTGCAGGTGCTGGAGAGCGGTGACGGATGGATGCGAGGCGGGCAACGTGGACAAAGAGGCGTGTGCAGGGAAGGGTATATGGATCGTCACGGAGATAGGCCCTAGAGATGCGCATATAGGCGGTGAAATCGCGTTGGTGAGTATCAGCCGTAGACGCGATGCATATAGCCACTAGCTTTGCATGGCCAGCAATCCATAGCCGCACTGCACATGAATATCTAGTAAAATGGCATACTCCAGCTCAATCGTGCCTGACGACGCGCATATATACAGCAAAATGATACAATTCCGCTTCTCCGTCACAAGATATGCGTGTGCCTACTCACCTTGGTACCTTTCCACCAGCTGCCTGAACACCCTGAACCGGTTCGCAGTGACAAGCGTCGTGATCGTCACATCGCCATCGTCCACTTTCCCGTTCGCCCGGTAGTAGAACGGGATGATGCGCGTCGGGTGCAGCGCGCCCGAAAACGCCTTGGCGAGTAGCGTCTCCTCGCGCACCGCGACCGACGAAGCAAGACCGAGACGTTGTACAAGTGCAGACGTGAAAAAGCGAAAGTTGGAGGAGGAGGGTGAAAGCGATGCAGGCCATAGCGCGTCGGAGATGTCAATTGGGAGCGGGACAGTGTTGAGGTCTTGAGAAGCTGGTAGACCGGATGATTTGGCAAATGGACTGGTAGGCGCTGTGTGCCGAGCCCAGGAGGTGGGAAACCGAGAAATATTAGGGGCTGAGAGCGGAGAATAAGGACTTGACAATATGCAACGAGTGGTGTAGAGCGCAGCGAGTCCGACGTAGACGAGCAGACAGAGCTGGATGGACTTCGCAATGAGGAAGTACAGAGGCATTTTGGACGAAGGAAGAACAGAGTATTGGATGATGATGGAAGGCAAAGGGCGAGAGTAGAGGACAACGGTAGACTCTGGTGGTGGAAGCAAGCCGAGACACAAGTTCACCGGAATCATCGATCGAGTACATCTTCCCCTCACACTGCAGGCATGAAGGCATTTATTCCCGCTGCAAATGCACTGAAAATGTGTTCTAAAGTGTGACCTATGCAACACTATGCCCTAATTAGGCAAATGTATTCCCAAAAAGGCAGTCAATTACAATTTCGTGTCATTAAGTAACGGTCGCAAATGCTTTCATGTCTGCATAGGCAACCAGAAAACGCAAATACCTGCAAATATGTACAAATACGTCAAACGGATGTTCAATTCAAAGTCGCACCTCGACTCGAGGCCCACTATCACTATCCACTCGCTGTTCGTTATGACGACAACTTTGAATATACCTGTTGCCATTGTTGACTTCTTCAGAGATGGCAGTGACCCATTCCTCCACCCAAATGTCCTTCGGGTATCCATCAATCCTGAAGAGGCAACCATTGACGATATTGTTGACGAGGTCGCTAAAGACCAGAAAGTTTCAACTTCATATGTCACCTTATATAAGGTTTGTCAACACCAACATATTTCCACCTGTTGCATGCAATTAATGCCTGCGATAGCCCAAAGAATCACTTACACATTCCCGTGGGAGCTGGCAAACTCTCGAAGAGCTCCTTCATAACAATAATCACAATCTCGAGGTTTTCTGCGAGAATATATCATTCGATGGTGAAGAACGCTATTCGTCCATTGTCGCTCTTCAAGCCTTGTCGATGCCGCGTAGTGCCAAGCTCCCCCTTCTTGTGGCGCGGATCGACAAAGAGGCAGAGAATCAGACGTCGAAGAGAAAGAGGAAGGATCTGGTTGATGATGCAGAAATGGATGAGGGCCGTGATGAGGTATCACCATTGACCAAGCGTACGTCACATTGAACTGTCGTTCTCACCAAACACCCTGATGTCATCGTGCAGGTTTCAAGAAAACGATCAGCACAGGATTACCTAGCCCGTCCGTTGCTGCAGTGCAAACCACTGCCGAAATCGAGGAGGCTAGAGATTTTCCTACGGAGCTTCCTGCAATACAGCGTAAGCTCGCTGCATCATCGTCCAACTGACGGAGTTCTAATCTGATTTCAGGTCGCAATGAATACCTTTCGACTGTCGAAAAACTCGGGAGCGTCTCCGTTAATAGTCCCGCAGACATTGCGAAGATGCACAAACTCTTATTCGACGGCCGGGCTTTGAAAGATGACGGTCAATATGGCCTGCCTGTGGCGCTCTATCATCCGGCCTTGGCTGCTTTGCAACATCAATTCGAGACGCTTGATTTGCAAATCAAGCAGGCTCGGATGCCGAAAGTCAATGAAGGAGAATTACCTGATGGATTCGTCCGACTCGACAGCGAATTATTCAACGCATCCGCGAGGTATTTCACCAAATCGCGCGTCTTTTATCAGAAGGAATGGGATCGGTGGGCATCCGCAGTGAGACCATTTTGTGAATGTATTTTTGGATTGGACGACCTTGAGGAGCAGAAGGTCAACGAGGATGCAGAGGAATCGGAGACAGAGAAAGGAAGTTCGAGCAAGAAGAACAAAGGTGAGAATGATAGCAAGAACAAGGGAAAGATTTCGAGGGGCACGAAATTAGCGGATGCTGTCTGGAAGTACTATCTCGTCCTGGAGCTTAAGAATGAATATGGGGTGGGCGGCAATCCGACCCTTCAGGGCACTTACTGGTATGCGAAAAGCTTATTCGGCCTCAAGGTCCGCAGGTATTCTTCTCTGTGGGTTTCTTGCTCGCTGACGTAGCGGTCGAATAGGAGAAATTCAAAAACACCAAGTTCCCCTATATTATTCTCGGCATCGCGGGCACCGTGCTCGAAGTTTCCATAGCGGTATGCCTGGAGAAGATCCTTGTGGACAAAATCCTTCATTTCGAGATTCACGATGGTGACGACGACGACGAGACGATCACCAAGCTGGCCTTGATTGTTTCGGCACTGAAAGGCTGTGCGCGCGAGCTTGGGATCGAATTTCACCGTCTCGAGAAAGCGACCGCTGGCGACGGCCCACCTGAAAACGAGACGTGGCACTTACCTCGTCCATCCGTCGTTCCTTCCCCGAACTTTCCGATGCCGGCGTTGAAGTTCAAATCGAAGCTAAGCCGAGAGAACAGGGCAATTGTATTGGAACGAGATGAACCGAACATGCGTCCGCTCTTCCTTGCCGACTACACGCACGAAGGATCATCATCAGCGGTGGAGACGGTGGTCAAGTTTCCAGTCACGTACAACAAGGATGCGCATAGGATGCTGGCGGACAAAAACTACGCGCCGAAGCTATACACCGGCGTACCCGTGATCGGTGGACGAGAAATGGTCGTCATGGAGCGCGTGTATGGAAAGCGAATGTGCGACTATCCCCGAAACAGCCTTCCAAACAGCGTATTCGAGGACATCAAAGGAGCTTTAGAGATCTTGCATGATCTCAAGCTCGTGTTCGGTGATCTCCGCGATACAAATATTATGATTGTTGAAGGCGACGGCGAAGGCAAGACTAAAGTCAGGGCAACGCTCATTGACTTCGATTGGGTCGGTGAAGACGGGAGAGCCTCCTATCCAGCTCTGATAAACATGAAACTCGTTGGCACGGAGTATGACTCCGACGTCCGTGCGCGGGGGCTCATGCGAAAGCAGCACGACAAGTCGGCTCTCGATTTCCTCCGTAAGAAGTACCGTGTTAAAGGGATGGAGGAGGGCGAGAAAGCACCGGAATAAGTACGTTTCATGTCTGCTTAGCCTGGTTGCCACAATTCTGTCTTTTCTACCATCATACTTTACTCCCCATCTCGTTCGATAGCAATTCGCATGACGTGAACAGTACATAAACACATGCAACTTTTCCACCTCATCAGCTCTGGCTTATTGCCTCCAGGAAGTCCAAGTTGGCTAATGTCCGGCACGACGATGAATGTGTCTGTGAACACAAATTTGTCACCTGCCTTTGCTGATCTGCCCACAATCTGGCAGGTCTCCCGCCGCCTGACTTTCTGCTCCAGTATGCACGTCCTTCTTTCCCTATATTGCGCACATGAGCTGACCTGCGAAAAGGTGCGTCAAAACATCAATCGCCTCACTACTGCCTACGAACCGTCCCAGCCTTCCCAACTTGTTCATCATCGCCCACAAACTAAGCGCCCGTTTTGGACGCTCTCTGACTTCCTCGACTCGCTTCCCAAGCCGTTCTCATGGCACCTAAGGCTCCGTAGGTCGTTTTTCTCCTCAATCTCAGACGTCGATCGCGCATGTTGACACTATCTTACTCGCAGCGCAGAAGCGCGGGAGGTTGCCGATGGCATGCACGCTATGAACGTTGCCGGGCTCGAGAAGTACATAAACTCCGCACAAAAAGCGCTTGATAACGAGGCAGTGCAGCGCAAACGGTCAAACGCCATACCGAGGAGATTGAGTATTTGCACGACGTGCTCGCTGTCAGACCCGACGGACGAAGAGAAAATAGATCTCCTCGCTTTGAAAGTTTGTGCCTCGCAAACCGTGCGGCGGGATACCTGCTCGAATGATAGACAAGAGCTCAGGAAGGCATTGTTTGACGGGCAGGAAGCTGGCGAACTCGACCCAAGCTACGGCAAAGCGCTGCAGGTACTTCCGCCAGCGAAAGCCCATCAGATCCTCGGAGACCTTGTCGAAGGCTATAGATGTCTTAACTATGGCGTTACGCCAACAAGGCCTTGCCAGGGGCAAAGCCTCAATGACGCACTCTTTGGTGCATACGGCGGGTTCCCGGAAGCGATGAGGTGTTAAATATTACCTGTTCATCCCAATGTACATCTCATGGTGGCGCCTGGCAGCCGAAAGACTTGCGTGCCTTTTGTCGGCATGTGTCGTCAATAAGGACAGAGGCCGACGTTCGAGGGACCTCGTTGATAACGACTCCACCTCAAATTTATGGCCAGGTGTTTAAACGAGTAGTGCTGTTTAAAGGACCGGTTGTATACTGTACCATGGCTCGTCACACCGCAGACATGAAAGCATTTGTTCTTGTTATTAAATGACACTAAATTGTAATTGATTGCCTTTTTGGGAAATGAAGTTGCCTGATTGAAGCATAGCATTGCATAGGTCACACTCTAGAACACATTTTCAGAGCATTTGCAATGGGAACAAATGCCTTCATGTCTGCGGTGTCACCTTCTGTCGCAAGGTGTGCCGCCGGCGATAGCCGGCGCTTCTCGTAGCGGCAACCAGAAAATGCAAATACCTGCAAATATGTATCAATTCAACGCTCGACTCGATGCCCTTATCACCATCCACTCGCTGTTCGTTATGACGACAACTTTGAATATACCTGTTGCCATTGTTGACTTCTTCAGAGATGGCAGTGACCCATTCCTCCACCCAAATGTCCTTCGGGTATCCATCAATCCTGAAGAGGCAACCATTGACGATATTGTTGACGAGGTCGCTAAAGACCAGAAAGTTTCAACTTCATATGTCACCTTATATAAGGTTTGTCAACACCAACATATTTCCACCTGTTGCATGCAATTAATGCCTGCGATAGCCCAAAGAATCACTTACACATTCCCGTGGGAGCTGGCAAACTCTCGAAGAGCTCCTTCATAACAATAATCACAATCTCGAGGTTTTCTGCGAGAATATATCATTCGATGGTGAAGAACGCTATTCGTCCATTGTCGCTCTTCAAGCCTTGTCGATGCCGCGTAGTGCCAAGCTCCCCCTTCTTGTGGCGCGGATCGACAAAGAGGCAGAGAATCAGACGTCGAAGAGAAAGAGGAAGGATCTGGTTGATGATGCAGAAATGGATGAGGGCCGTGATGAGGTATCACCATTGACCAAGCGTACGTCACATTGAACTGTCGTTCTCACCAAACACTCGATGTCATCGTGCAGGTTTCAAGAAAACGATCAACACAGAATTCCCTAGCCCGTCCGTTGCTGCGGAAGCGCAGAATTATTACGATTTCCAGAATGGAGATACTCCTTTTCTTGATGGCCGGTGTGCTTCCGAGCAGCCACTTGTCCCGGCACCGATCGTGATATATGATCCTATCTTCCCTACCTTCATTGCGGACCTCAGTGGCTCGGAGCCAGTGGACGATGACATGATGCGTCGAACGCAGGAGTTTATGGTGTTGGTGTCGGAGATACACGTCGCGGAGAGAGCGCACTATGCCTCCCACTGCGAAGCGCTCAAAGGGATTCTTCAAAGCGCCGTCGAGAGCATTGCCCCTCTCAGTGGGTCAGCATCCGACCACATCATCCCGTACGTCCGAGAAACAGAGACAGCTGCACTCGCTATAGTAGAGGAGAAGGCCGGATTAGGGAAAAGCGGAGATGCTGTCGTTCAGGCTGAATTCTCTTATCGTCTGTACTGGAAGGAACGCAAAGTGCGTGTTGTGCTCCGTCTATGACTCCTCCGTCTCACAATTTTTGCAGCATTTCGCCGATGGCAGTTTTTTACCAACGTTTCTCATCAGTTTGATGGGACCCTATCTGTCCTTCAGCGCCGCCATTTGGACCACTGATATAATTGTGCAGCCTCTCGCCTCGGGGCTTCTCTGGCTTGGTTCCCCTCCATTGATTAGTGACTTCGAGGTCAAACGGATCGCGCGTATGTTTATTGCACTGAGGAAAGGCTTGGAGTCTCTTCGCCACCGATACCAACAACTTCTTTTTCCCCCTCCTGATTTGGGAAAGCGATTTTTCCCGTTGGCATCTTCCTTCCCTTACTCTGGCAAAGTGGTCCACTTCAACTATGAGAAGTATCTCAAGGCGAACGACGCATCATGCCTGGTTTTCTCTGCCACATTGGACGATACAAACAAAATAGTCGACGAGCGACAGGTGGCTGTCAAGCGACTAGTTATCAAATTCGTCGAGCAGTATGGCGAGAAGGTGCATAAACTTCTTGCAGAGAAGGGTCTTGCACCAAAGTTGTATTACTGCGGCGACATCTGGCACAACGACCCTGTGGCAAACAAGGGCTGCGGCCCACGCAAGATGGTCGTGATGGAGTACATAGAGGGTGAACGTGCCACGTTCGCTGACTGTGTCAAACATAAGGAGAGGCTGTCCGAGGCGGTCGACCTCCTCCATCACCAGAAGATGGTCCACGGGGATATTCGATTGCCGAATATCCTGATCTCCGGCTATCCCGATGCACCGCTCAAGCTTCTCGACTTTGACTGGGCTGGCGTTCAGGGAGAAGCGAGATACCCGGGTAGATTATCCACGATCATTCCTCGGGATTGGGATTCGGTGAAAGACTATGGGCTGATTGAATACCGCCATGATAAGTTCATGTTGGAACATCTTCTCGGCCACTCGTAGATGTGAATTCAGCACCATCATTGCCGGATGGGTGTTCATCATTGCTGGATGGATGTTGTCTGTACTGCATTTGTTTTGGAGCTTCGTGTCACTGTTGATTAGCGCCTGATGGGTGCCATCATGTTGTAGATGCATGCAGCTGAAATACCTTCTACATCGTTTCGCTTTCGCCATTTCTGCATAGATTGTAACAGGGAATGCTTGAGACTCTGACAAGAAGGCTCGAGAGAAGCAGTCCTTCGGCGTGGTTCTAGACATGAGGGGAGAATACATTAGTGTCCAAACATCTGTGATATGTGATTCGACAACATCCTGGATGTCATGCGAGCGATATATGACTCTATAAGGAACGTCTGTCTTCCTGTACGAAGGCTGATTTATGAGCCTAATATGACTCCCGGTCTGAATGCTTTGAATCACTGTCCGTTCACTGCTTGTGGGCTTGAATGATGGTGTATCACCTCTCCCATTGGACAGGCTGGGCATAGTCCGCTGCGGTTGCACTGGGTATGTCGGAAAGCATGATGATTGGCTGATACGGCATCGTTTCCGAGGAGATCACACACACTGCGGTGATGGTAGTAACCGCTCTGCGGACAGTTATGTGCACACGCACACTGCGAATGGCTGCAATGAGTCTTGAGCTCCTGTTCGTCCTACAACACGAGAGACGGCAGACGTTTCATCACTCTTTCATGCTTTCAAACTGATACCTGCGCAGGCGCATTCTTTGATCGCTTACGGTCAGATTTTTCATGTTCACAGCGCGAGCAGGCCTTCACTCTCTTCTTTTCCTTCTTTTTTTGTCTCTGGTCTCTTCTTTTCCCGTACGACGTCCGAGGAACTGGACTGCAAGACATGTTGAGGGCGCTCGAATAAGAAAGAGGCATCACTCTTCCCTTGCAGGCGAGGAAAGTGGTCAAACGTGCATATGTCGAGGATCTGCTCCCGGAGAAATAGGATTGGGAGACTGCCAAGACATGTGAGTGGATGCATCACGTCATTCTCAGACACTCCCGCGAACTCGAACTTTTGTAAAGGGTTTATACTGTCTCTGTCCAAATTGGAGACACGACAACCACATTGAACCTCGGTATGTTTTCCATCTGTCAAACTGAGCAGCAGCTCTGATTCCTTATCTCAACAGACACAGGATCGAGTGATCTGTGAGTTATGTCCACCGGCTGTGATACGACCGTGTGTCAGGAATCAATCTCTGTTGCCTATTCAACTTCTGGGATGACCTCTACTGAGGCAAGCGTGGACTTGACGTATGGAGACTCGACCACAGGAACTTATGCTTCAGATCCCATCGGCCTGGACACTGTCACACTGGCCGGACTTTCGACGGACGACCAAATGTTTGCTGCGGTGGACAGCACAGATAATTCTGCTGTCTTGAATGGTGGTGCCGGGATCATAGGTGTAGGGTTCCCGAGCGAGAGGTAAGTATCACTCAGTTGAAGTTCGATGTAGAGATTAACGCGCTTCTCGTGCGCAGCTTCATCGAGACGCAGCTGACAAACGAGCAGGTCAGATAAATTGCCAAAATCAGTTGTATAATGCTCTAACATCCTTCACAGTTCAACAATCCAACAACAACGGATGGCTTTGTCCCCCATATCAGCACATACGGACCTATAGTCTCCGAACTCGTTGCTGCCGGCGAAATCGACCAGCCATTGTTTGCCCTAAGCAATCACGTTTCCTCGCGTGCGCTATAGCTGAGTATCTTAGACAAATTACTTTGCAACGAGACACGGTAGATGTTAGTGGGAAAGGCCAGCTTACCATCGGCGAGCTGCCTGGTGGAGTAGAAATTTGGGGTAGATATTGAGGACCAGGTTGAGCTGCCCTCCGTCGCTGCAGTCAGTTTTGCGGAAGCTTAACATTTACACTGCATCTCGTTCCCTGAAATGTCAGTGCAGTGAAGAGGTCGCATGTGCATCGGACGTTCTCTCTGGGTGTGCTCTTTCTTACGTGGCTTATATCCGTATTAATCATCCTTTTCATCCCGACTCGTCGAGGACTTCCTAATTCTAAATTGTTCATGTTCATTCACATTACTTCATTATTTCAAGATACATTGGTGGCAGAACAAACACGTATTCTGAAGAGATCATGCGATCTGGTGCCACGCTGAAGGCTAGCAATAGCGTGAACCTGTACGACTGACCAAGGCCCAAAATGCTGTTGGCACGACTGCGCTCTGAAGGGCGGGTGTGCACTCTTTATTGACCCATTCAAGTCGTTCTATACAATGATGCTCGTGACCAGGCAGATCAGCAAGCCAGAAGCAGCCAAAAAGAGCACCATCAGTAGAAATGAGGCGCCTTTGAGGTGCAAAAACACAAGTCATGAAGGGAATTCCATGCTGTCATTGGTAAGTGATAAAATCGGGACGCGTACAGAAGGTAGCTCCAATACGGACATCCATCTCATTCCTGCAAACACAGGCCGGCATTGTCCAGGCTCCTGCTAGCATGCTGTGTCTGAATTATAAAGCCAGATCAACCTACCCCGGCGGCAGCTTGAAAACTCAACGGTGCAGAGACGTGCTTCGTCAATTTGTGACCTAACATGAGCAGCTGTATCTTCGCTTCGGTCAGTTTCATTGCGGAACTTGAGACCCCGATTAGCACGGTCTATGTAGAATATCCGCACCCAGTTTTTATACATACGGTTTGTTGGATGTGGCCGACCGATGGCATTTCTGGTGGAACACGCTCAACGGTCGGGAGGGATGAATGCCAAGCAACGGCTGAAACGCGCCGCAAGGCGGTACCTGGAAACGGAGCGGGCGACTACGGGACGGCAAAAAATCGTATAAATACGCAACTGTAGCATGGTACTTCCCAGTCGTTCGTAGCCCTGACCGGCCTCTCACTCCTCGCGCCCACGAGACGGGAAGGCAACGGCTGACTAACACCGAGGCCACATCACCATTTTCTAGACGGTCATCATCACATAATCAACATCTCGGTAGCATAATGCTGTTCTTCACAAGCACCGACATCGGCGTTGTTATCACTGATCATCCAACAGTGGCGATCCTTGGCCGGTCTCGGAACTAAAACCAATATCCTTTCTAAGCATCTGCTATGTAGCGGTTTTGAGGCTCAGGCTTAGAACCTCATATCATGCAGCGTGTGACGTACCAATGCATCCGTTAAACTCAGATACAAGATCCCTGCGTATCCCCTTTGTCAGAAAATCTCTTAAGTTCGTTAGTGCCCTTATCTCCATTTCCTTCCTCGTATCGTGCACTGCGGCAGCTAAAAGTGGAATATGTATCACATTAGGCTTGAAGAACCAACACGAATTGGCGTGTGGCTGATGCCATAAGATGTCAAGGCCGACGGCGGATAGCTGGAATATCATTCTCATGAGAATGTCGCGGGATTCATAAGTATGATGAGACTTACATGTCCGTCATCCAACGCTCTTGTCATCGCCTCTTCATCGACTAACTTCCGTTTCGCGGTGTTGAGGAGGACCGCGCCCTTCTTCAACTTCCGAATCATCGCCTCGTCCACGAGCCTCCCCGCGCGCTCCGTGAACGGCTCATGCACGCTCAAGACGTCCGCTTGGGCAAGCATGTCATCTAACCGCTCCGCTCCATAGTATTCGAACCATTCTGGCGCGCTCACCACCTTTCTCGGGCTGTGATAGAGAACACGCATCGGGAACGCATGCATGGCACGTGCAAGGGGCACGCCGACGGTTCTCGAGCATAGAATTGCGAACGTGCGTGCCGGGAGATCATGCGTGGACGAGATTAGCTCGGGGGTGTTAGAGCCGCTGGAGCATATGTCCCGCTCGGTTTTCCACAAGCGGTGAAATTCGGACGTCAAGGAAATCGCCACCAGATTTGTCAGGATACTATCATCGGACGTATTTGACAAAAATACACCCTTTTCCTTGCAGGCAGCGACGTCGACCTGGTCGTATCCGTCGCCATTGCTAGCAATCCACCTCACGCTTCGCGGCAGAGAGCCGATCAGCTCTCGATCGAATGGACCGATCGCGGAGGTAGAAATGTTTCGCCGGTAAAGGCCTGCTGTCCGTTCGAGAGGTCCGCCGGGCCGCATGCTGGATAGGAAGTCGTCACGAGTAGTGTCTGTGTCCAACCACTAAGTCATACGAGTTGAGATATCTTTGCGTTGGTCTTTGTGGAGAGATATTACATACAACAAGCTCTGCGATACCGTTGAACATGTTCAAAGCCTTCTTTTCAGCCCATACTTCCAGGTGATCTTTACGTGAACATATCAATAGGAGTGGGAAACGGCTTTAAATTGCGCACCGCAAAGCACTATCCGAGGCAGTATTGTAGCACTTCCATGTGCGCGAGCCGCATACCCCCGCGTCTGCTGCCTGAGAACGTTACAGCCGTCTTTGATGAAGTAACCAGTGTGCAGGGATCTTCGCGCACAGTTGATAAAGCTGACGGGTTGGCTCAAAGGTCGAATGACCACCGGCACCAGTGAAATCATCGTATAGCTGCTGAAGCGAAGAATCCGGGTCGTCGACTGCTCTGGTTGTTGCTTGCACGTCCTCAATGACGATGACAACAAGCAGATGAGCCCACAAACGGTTCCCACGGAGTCGGCATAGGCGCTCTCGCGAGCGCCAGGGACGATTTTAAGCTCCCAGGTGCTGAAGTGAACGCCCATGAGATGATGACTGACTTACTTGCTCATGCTTTTCACTCGCGTTAATCGACTCCAATCAATATTCCTGCACTGTACGAGAAGTCATAAAATCGCGAAAATCAATCATATTCTTGGAAATGTCATCAGACAGTGAATTATGCGGGTTCATTCGACGTTTTCGTCAGTCGATTCTTTCAACCTGGAAAATGAGAAGAAGCTATTTCAGGTTCTCCGTCCGGTCTGAAGGATCCCGGCTATAAGTCATCATATCTGAGTCAGAACAAAACTTATACGATGTAGATGTTTAATCAGCACGCCGGTGGACAACCTGGGCATAGAGTACAAAGTGCAAACGACGACAAATCGATACGAGTCGGAGATACGGTCTCCTTGGAAGCTCTCTGCAATTCTCCGTAAACTCAGTCCATTATTGTGAATAATTGAGCGAACATGACATACATATTGGCTGAATGAAAAATGATAAGCGCTGATGGAAGTAACGGCATCAAATTCCAAGTTCCCACACGTTTGGGATCCGCGACCCTGCCAAACCTCCTTGTCGCGACACAGCACGAATACTTATGCGAGATGTTCAAAGCAACCTTCACCGGTCACCATCGATCTGCGATGAAGGAGTCCATGGTTGGTCTACCCTATACGACGTCCAGCGTAGATCACGTTTACACTCGCAGCCATTCTAGCTTGGGCAATCGGGTTCTGAGGCTCATCGTGCTCTGTGCTGCCGCTTTCATATTCGTAAATTGGCACGAATGCTATAGAACACTCCAGTACATCGCTCCCAGCCTCTATGTAGAGCGAACCTCTCTCTGTCTCCAGGCTGCGCCTTTGACTCCCCGAAAGCATGCGGAACTACACGAAATGCTATCTAGTACGCTAGCTACAGATATATTCCTGCAAAGGGCTGTCGACCTGTTGGCTGGCTCTGTGCAGATACCGTAAGTCCTGTGCCACGACTAGCTCTGCACGACGATTATACCTCAATAGGGTATCTTACTAGAACTGAAGTCTACGATGTGATGGGCCCTATCGGCGAAGATTCTCGCTGGGATGTCTTCGGCAGCTTCCACGAATACTTGACCGAGCAGTATCCGAAGATGTCAGTATTCACCCGTTGATCTCGCGATGCGGATCAATATGTGACAGTTGTTCACAGTCACTCGGCGTTGCATCTGACCAAGGTCAATACATACGGATTAGTGTACATGTGGAAAGGCTCCGACGAGTCGCTCAAACCGCTCTTGTTGGCCGCACATCAAGGTAGGAACCTTGTAGCAGGGACATGAGAAGAGTGCTCATTAGTGATATGCTAGATGTCGTGCCGGTCAATCGAGATACGTACGCCGCCTGGCAACATCCCCCCTTTTCCGGTTATTTTGATGGCGAGTGCGAGAGCGTCCGAAACACTCGCGAGACCGTTTCTGATTTTGGCTGTACACCGCAGGGGAGTATGTCTGGGGACGAGGCAGCGTGGACGACAAGAACGGTCTGATCAGCGTTTTGTACGCCTCTGAGCGCTCGCGTTAAGTCATATACTGAGATGGCCATTAGGACTGCAGCGGAACTTCTGCTCGAACATGACTTCAAACCCAGACGCAGCATTGTGCTTGCATTCGGCTTTGACGAGGAAGGAAGCGGAAGACAGGTACGTCGCGCATCGTGGGGCTTACCCGAGGACGCCTGTCGCTAAAGTCCACAGGGTGCATACATGATTGGACAATACCTGCTCTGCACATACGGAGAAGACGCCTTCTCTATGCTGGTCGATGAGGGCGGTCAGCGTTCTCCAGCGTTTGAGCCGCGCCGGGTACTGAATTCCAAGTCGCAGGAGATATCGAGAAGCAATACGGCGGGATCTTCGCGCTCCCCGCCATCACCGAGAAAGGATACCTGGACGTGCTGATCGAGATCAGCGCCCCGGGTGGACACTCGAGCATCCCTCCAGCGCACACGGTCTGTGTAGCTCCCTCGTCGATCCCGTTTCGCAGCTCACGCATGACTTTCAGACGATTGGAATGCTCTCGCGGCTCCTCGTACACTACGAAAACCACGCGCCGCCCGCAAAGCTCAGCCGCTCCTCCCCGATGTATGACCACGCACAATGCCTTGCGGCGCATGCGCCGGATTTGCCTCGCTCGCTGCGAAAGTCCATCAAGAGGTCCCTGTCTTCTGATCGTGCATTGCGCCGCGTACAAGACGAGCTGTTCAAGGATCCAGAGTTCAGGGCGCCCGTGACCACTACGCAGGCTGTGGACATTATCAGCGGTGGAGTCAAGTCGAACGCGCTGCCGGAGAACGCGATGGCCGTTGTCAATCATCGGATCGCAACCGACAGGCGAGTGTTTCTAGCAAATCAAAAATTCAACATTCTTCATGCCGTGCTTACGACCTGCATTGATGCCCGCAGTTCGGTTGCCGCAGTCCAGAACCGTAGCACGGCGATCCTGAAGGCGCTCGCGGAGCACTTCAACCTGTCCTACACAGCCTTCGGCGCACCAATCAACGTACACACGCCCGCCAGCGGAAACCTATCACTCAGTGATGCCTGGAACACAGCTCTGGAGCCTGCACCGATCACTCCGAGTGGCAAGGACGCTGCTCCGTTCCAGCTGCTCGCAGGGACGATCAAGGCGACATACAACGCGCACCGGTCGCTCGATGCGGACGAGAAAGGGATCTCAGTGAGTCCCAGCATGGGATCAGGGAATACTGGTCAGTGCGACGTTGGCTGAACGACGAGGTCGAGTTTGCTGATAGCTCGATGTTCGTATCAGACACTCAGTTCTATTGGAAGTTGACACAACATATATTCCGGTACACGCACTATGATGAAAGTGGCGTCAATGTATCCATGTCTGGCGGTGCCCACACGGTGAATGAAGGTGATTGCGGTGTTGTGTGGTTCGTGTGGCGTTCTTCCTCGTGCTGACGGGTCAATCATGGCAGCGTGCAAAGCGGACAACCTGGTAGAGATGATCCGGTTCTATGTGACCTTGATTCTGAACGCGGATGAAGCTGATAATATATGAAGTGAGAAGAGGTGATTGGGGGTCGAGCAGACACCGTCAGGTACACCCAGCAGGAGAAGGGATAAGATGAATGGCCTCTGTCGTTGGTCACAGAATGATCTTCATGAATGCTCACGAAGATCCTTCGAGTACTGCAAATTGGGCATTTCAAACAGCACTTCTATCATTGAGCCTTTATAATGCATCTGTCAGTGCCCTTCACGGCTATCACAAATAAGAGTGGTATCCTGTACGCCATCCTATTAAAGCCTCGCACGCAACCTCTCGTCCCTGAAAATAACATATTGACATCGATTACTACATCTGCTGTACGCTCTGAATGCGAGCTCACTTGAACTCTGGTATGACATCGCCTCCCTTGCCCTTCTGCAAAAAGTCGAGGAGGTTCGTCAGTGCTCGTATCTCCATCTTCTTTTGCGAGTCACACGTCTCCGTGCCCATATGCGGGAGCAGCGTCGCGTTAGGGAACTCGAGTAGCCGCGGGTTCACATTCGGCTCGTCAGGATAGACGTCCAGCCCGATCGCGCCAAGCTGCAACGTACTCAGTCAGCTGGTAATCGGGACGCAGGATGCAAGAAAAATCCTGAAAACACTCACATGCCCATCTTCGAGCGCCCTGATCATCGCAGCCTCGTCAATCACCTTCCCCCTCGCAGTATTCACGATCACCGCGCCCTTCTTCAGCCCCCTAATCATCTTCTCATTCACGAGCCCCACCGTATCGTCCTTCAACGGCACATGCACGCTGAGCACATTCGCCTGCGCGAGAAACTCATCCATACGGTCATCCCCAAAGAACTCGGCGTACGGCGGTGCGCCCGCGTACGGCCCACGGTTGTGGTAGATAACGCGCATCGGAAACGCGTGCGCGAGCTCTGCGAGACGCGTCCCGATCCCGCCGAGGCCCAGGATCGCGAGCGTGCGCCCGGTGAGGTCGTGCGCCTCTCCCGCGCGATGCGACGACTTCCATGCGCCCTGTCGAAGGGAGCGCTCTGCGCGCGAGTAGCATCGGAGGGCGGAGATCATGAGGTAGAGCGCGGTGGTGGCGGTTGCGTCGTCGACCGCTCCCGGCGTGTTGGACACCCAGATTCCTGAGTTGATGAGAACAACGCGACATTGATAGCGATGGACGACGTACCCTTCGCTTTGCAGTACAGCACGTCGATCTGATCGTAGCCTGCGCCATTGTGGGCTATCCATTTGACTCCGGCGGCCGATAGGGCGTCGATGATCTCCGTGTCAAAAAGCCCGATACGGTCTGCGGAGACGTTGTGTCTGTACAGACCGACGATACCCTCGTACTTTCCTCCGGGCTTTAAACCAGAGAGAAAGTCTGAACGATTCGGCGAACCCATGCGCTGTTAAAACGATCATATCAGCGCTGGAATGTATCCTAACGATGCGATAAGGCGAGAGATCGAGTACTTATATCCTGCGGATCGAGTCCGTGTCTATGGCGTATATGGTTGAGGAATTACTTACCACGACTTCCGCTACTCCCCTAAACATCTCCACACATTCCTCGTGCGCCCACACCAAATCCCCTGCGATCGCGCATGGCTTATGAGCCTAAGGCTTGCGCCAGATAAGATGGCTAGCTTCGATTGCCGCACATACCGCAGATCATAACTCGAGGCATATTGAAGATGTGTTTTCACGCAAAGCAGATGCGTTCGCAAGGGTTGGAAGCAATCCAAGCTCCTGAGCTTTATACGTTTGCCAGAGGTAGATTTCGATAGTTCGGGCCGACTTCCGACAGCGGTGGCGAGGGGGATTGATCGATCATCCTTGTGACCTTGCTGTGACCCGACGCGCGGCCCGAGATCTCGGCACCATTGCTGCTCACGGCAACGATGCGTCCCTGTTTCGAATTCACTAGGAGTGCGTTCTAAATGTACTCATTTCAACTGTGGGATTTATTTGAATGCCCAAGCTGTCTCTAAGCTGTTCGTGAGCTGGCGTTGCTGAGTCTTCGGCTTCTATCAGAGCTTGGCATGAAAACGATGGTCGCGACATCTTCCGTTCAAGCAACGAGACTTATTCTGAGGTGCACAAGGACTCCCTTCGATCTTGGGGCTTGAGCTGATTCGCGGTTCCAGTATTTCTCAAACAGGTTGACAGCGTTCTTTCGAACATGGCATCCAGCCGCATTTGCATTGCACAAGCTCTTCACGAAACACCGCTAGTAACCTGGACGCATAAGGGAAAGATCACCTACTAATAGACTATAGACGACATCAATGCATTCTGCGCAAACTTCTATCGCGGTGATCAGTTATCAAGAAAAGTCACGTTCTTCCACTCTCCTGATCGTCAACGGCACCTGTGGCGTGCGATCGTCGCCGAAGGGCAGACGGACCACGGGCACCTGCAAGCCATTCATCTTCCAGTATATCTCCTTGACATTACCGCTCTCGTCAGGCTCTGAAGGAAGCTCGAGGCTCAATGCGGGTAGGAGGGTCGCGACGACTTGCTCTGTGGGTACAGTCATCAGTCTGGCTTCCATCTGAAAGGAAAACTAAAGGAACTCACTCAGCTCCATCTCCGCAAACTTGAATCCGCTACCGAGGACAGGAAATGAGCCGCTGCAATACTACGCATTCTGAGAGCGCTCACATGCAGGCACGTCCGCCTCCCAAGAAGGTCATCCTATTCCGTTATTCAGCATAAACTCTTCCCAGCTCAAGGCAAAGCTGCCCACATTGATGCATAGACTCCGGGATACTTGATCTTGCTTTCCGAAGGAGCATCTGCCTCATCCTCGTCTTCTCCGAGCATTTTGTCCAGGTCTTGACCTATGCGGATTCGCTCGCTCGATGCAGTGAGCCAGCGCTCCGGGCACCACGCTGAGGCGTCCTCACCCCACACCTCTTTGTTGTGGTTCGCGGCGAGGATGGAGACGATGACGGTCGTACCCTCGGGCAAGGGTATGGACGAGATCCGTTCGCCGGACGAGGAACGTACAGGCTGCTCGAGCGGGAGGACCGTCGCCTGCCTGGTGCTGGACCGATGTCAGCCGTACTTGCGCCACATTTCCGCATCACTTACACACGGCTCATGAGCGACGTCGGCGGGTAGACGCGGAACGTCTCGCGCACGATCGCATCGAGGTACGGCAAGCCCATTAGCGCGTCGTACGGCAGCGCGACATCCTCCCAGCGCTCGCCGGCCACTGCATGCGCCTGCTTCGCCGCGCGCAGCTCGTTCCGCAGGCGCGCCTGCGCGTCCGGGCGCGTCGCGAGGACGTAGAAGAGGCGCGCGATGGCGACGGTGGTCGTCTCGAACGCTGCGAAGATGATGGTGCTGGCCAAGTGCCGCTCAGTCTGGCATCGCTGGCATGGTGCGGCAGTGCTCACTTCATTTGTCCGAGGAGCTCGGCCTCGGTGAGTCGGTCGGCATCTGACGAGGACGAATTCGCCTTCACTGGTTGGGGAGTTCAGCGTGTATGGCGGGTAGCAGAAAGGGACGCACGCAAGATGCTTATGATGTCCCGGCCTTTCATCCGCGGACCGAGATCACCGCCCACAAGTGCACCCTTCGTGGCGCGCCCGTCCATTGCAGCTTTCTTCTCTGCATAAATAGTCTTGCTCACGCTGTCGAGTGTGCCCACAATTTCGCACATCTCACGTAGGGCAGGCATGGGGACCCAGTCGACGAGGGCGTTGCACCAGCGGAGGGGCAGACCACGTACGATGTGCGGGATAAATGGCCGGAGCATGATGATGCGCATCGCTGTCGGGCTTCCATCGTGTAGAGATGCGGTCCACGCGGTTCGCGAATACGGGTGAGATCAGTGCACAATCGTGACACGAAAGGGTAGGCACACCTAAGCTTTCGGATTGCACGTGCATACTATGATGTCGTGCCCGACTCCAGCGTGTTGAAGGTGTAGCCCATGCCCGCTTGACATATGTACTCCAAGGCAGTGCGGGACATCAGTGGAATGATGTTGATCTCTTTCTCGCCTACAGGAGAACATCGTGAGATGTATAAGTTACGTATTCTCTCAAAGCATCTCACCGTCGGGTGGCAATTCTGTTAACAGTGCAGCGAGCAGCTGATCGGCGATTGGTTGGATGATTGGCAGGAGGTCTCGCATATTCGCGAGAGAAAACACAGGATTGAGCATCTTCCTCTGCTTCTTGTGTTGGGTTCCTGTATACACCTACGTTAGATTCCTGAGCAATGGAGGGCGATGGTGGTCACTTGCCGCGTGTGGCGATGATGCCTTCACCGAAAATCAGCTTGTTCGTCCTAGATGGAGAACGAATTGATCAAAGGTATCAGCGTCGAGAAAATCGGAGGGTGTACATTAAGAAGGCGTCTGTTTCATTATATATGTGCTGCTCCTTGACTATAATGTGATGGAGGGTACGAGGGTCCGAGACGTACAACTGCTCTTCCTGCGACAGCTTTTAGCTGCGACTGGATTGACTGCGCGATAAGAAGTCATAGGACAACATACTCCAAGCAGCACATGCACTCGAACAGCGCCACCGTATTGCTCAGACATGTTTAGATTGAACCGGAGACCATCTGGAAGATTTGATGGAAGTTGCCTTCGAGCAGATATCAGCATGGTCATGCCTTTTGTGCAAGTGGAATATCGAGCGACAAGCCCTTGAAGAAATGGTCCTTAGCAGGTCCGGTGATGTCGATGCACTTTCGGATTGTGCGGACCACCCTCCATCTGAGGACGAGCACGACAAGCGGGCCGAAGGCGACGAAGAGCAGGGACTCCATGAGGCAGTTAAGAATGAGGAGGCTCAAGATTATAACTGACCGAGGCCTGGATATCGGATGCCCACATACTGGAAACTTTCAGCTGCTTGTTCATGGGGAAATTCACCGACAAGGCCGTGCGCGACTGAAAGAACACTGAAGGCTTTTTCGGTGCCATCAACCACGAAGCCCGTGGTGCCCGCAGAGTTAGACGCACGATGCAAGATCGTGATCTGAACGCCATCGCTGACGCCGTCAAACCCGAACAGGCTTGACTCACATCCACGCCACAATTGAACTTGACCGCATAATTCATTTGTCGTTCGCACTCTCACACACCGCAGACATGAAGCGATTTGCACACGTGGCAAATGCTTAGCAAATGTCGACAGGTTTTTTGCCTTTGTGATCTCAATTTGCTATGGTTCCTTCCCACATTCTGTATTAAGTATTTGCATATAATATGTTGGAGGCAGAAATTTAAAATCATATATTTTAAGAAATGACACCATTTTCAAACTCACCAAATACATTTAGAATTTGAGTGCTGTTGAATGTAATCATACATTTTTGAATTCCAAACCATCACATGTATAAAATATTCAGTAGCAGATAAAGGTGTAATTACGGTGAATGACTTTCATTCTAGTAATCTTGGTTAGAATGACTTCAGTAGGGAAGTAGAATGTAGGCATCATTACACCTTCGTCTGCTACTGGGTATTTTATACATGTGATGGTTTGGAATCCAAAAATGTATGATTGCATTCAACAGCACTCAAATTCTAAATGTATTTGGTGAGTTTGAAAATGGTGTCATTTCTTAAAATATATGATTTTAAACTTCTGCCTCCAACATATTATATGCAAATACTTAATACAGAATGTGGGAAGGAACCATAGCAAATTGAGATCACAAAGGCAAAAAACCTGTCGACATTTGCTAAGCATTTGCCACGTGTGCAAATCGCTTCATGTCTGCGGTGACAGCATCCTGATTACATACTTGTACATTCCCAGTGGCAAGACAGTGTTTAAAGTTCCTGTGCTTGATAGCTGCACAAGATGCTATCCTGTCTTCCATCCAATTTGGGACACCTGCAGACCAAGGTGCCCGGCGGTGCCCGCGGGCAGTGCCCCATCTCAACAAGTTCATTCGACGGCTCAGATGAACATAATCTTGCGCTGAAAGCAGCAGCGGAATAAATCTGAAAGACCGAATAGTCCAACAGTCACATTGTGCCTTGTAGATCCGCTCCCCACAACACAACTAAGGGACATATACCCCAGTCCCCCCCCGGGCAGTTGCTGCCTTCCAACCAAATCACGTACCTCGCCGGTTGGTAGAAAAGGTCCGAGCTTCTTGTCATGCAGCCAGTTCTGGGCTCAGCATAGAGGAGTTTCTTAATGGATACAGTTCAGCAAAAAATGACATAAGCTGGTGAAAAGTCGATGATCAAGAAATTGTCTCGCAGCAATTTGGCACCTGGAGCTGGATCAAGGTTGCAGCACGAGACTCTAGGAAGACACGAGATTCGCAATTATTGAGTCATCAATGGTCGTGCTGGCATGTTTATGATCATACGTGTGTGAAAATATCATTCGCAGTAGTCTTCGACGCTCAAACGCGTCCGACACGTTCGACTCCTGGGTGCGCAACACCACGTGATCGCGTCATTTTATACAAGGCGCTCATGACTAATAGGCGCCCATTGTTTTAATCCCACTGGTTCAACCCTCTACTGAATGCCGGCCTCGTCACAGCCTTCCAATTGTAGCTTTGATCAGTCTATGATGTACACGTAGCCATGCCAAATTTTCACGTGCGTAACTCGTCTTCCCGGTATTTTCTTGTGTTTGGTGGTGCACAACATTGACAATATTGACTTTCATTCCGATCTGGCTTGCCACTTGACTATGTTGACTCGGCAGCCAGAACGGCATGTGCCTACAGTTCTCGCTACTGGAACGGTACCAGATGAATGACAGTTAGGATGATTACAGGATTGAAGCACTCATGTGATGCCTATTGCTGCTTCATCTAAGCCTCGGCGCACGGACGAGTGAAGCCACATTATTTTTTTCACGCGATGGCAGTCCTTCGAGTATATCGGACGTCCGCTGAAGCGCAACATAACGACAGTGTGATGTACTCGCCATTAGCACAGGGACACTCAGCGGAATGCTATATAGCGCTTGAAGGAAACTTGCTCACGATTACAAGCTGTGTTCTCCCACATGATAACCATGCTTCCGATGACACGAGGTCTCCACTCGAGACTCAGTCTTTCTGCTTCATCTCAAGCCCAAATGTTTTCCTCACTCGACGCCACCCGGGCATCTGGTTCCGCAAAGATTTGGTACATCAGATATGATGACGGACGAGTCTTTGCTCCCACCTCTGTTGTCGTTGATCTCCAAAAAAGCGACCTGGACAACCTGGCCACTGCCATCGGTGACAAGATGCGGCCGCAAGTCTCCGGGGATGCTATTGACTTATGGAAGGTACGTTGCACCTTTCCTGCGACAGAGGGTCCTGCTGAGTGCACTTGTTAGCTCTACCCTGGGATGATCACTGAAGTCAGAAGTCCATCAGAAATCGATGTCCTGAAAAGAACCTTGATCGCTATGCGCAATAATAATCTCAGCTCCATGGCGACCATATTGCAGGATAGATCCTGCTTGGTTCGATCCATTGGTGGCTCTCACGGTCAGGCTGAAGTCATTCTGATCGCGACGATCAACCGACCGCGTACGTGGTAGTCAATCGATTAACACTGGTTTCCTCACTCATGAATGGCATTGTGCTGAATGAGGTACATGAGATGCATTTCGCACCATCATGCATAAGATGTCCCTTTGTCGCATCGCACGATCTCTCTATTGAAAGCATGGCGCATGGGCCAAGGAGAGTAGGGTGTATAAGGTTTTGGCCGAACATTGGATATCTCCTGTTTGACGGTTGATGTTGTCAGAGTCGTCACATACGTAGGACCGTTTCACTCGTTTCCAGCACATATTGATGACCCTAATGAATTGTTGGAGCATACATTAGTGGGACAAGTCCAAGGAAGAGCAATAGCGAGATACCTGTCGTCCGGGAACTGGCGCGGGCAGATCTGCATCAAGTCCAGCTTCCATGAAGTCCTCATCCGGTAAAGCCTTATTGGTTATCCCCTAGTACGTATCTTCCTCCTCGTCCTTGTCGATTTGCTCTTATCTCTTTAACAAGGCACGTAAAATATACGAATAGCAACTGACTTCATTCTATAATGGCGACTTTGCACGCTCCCAGGCTATTTACAGATGATCGATTTCGTATCTTTCGATGCGTCTGACCGGCTCGACATTGTGAAGATATTCATGGCGAAACCTCGGGTTTCGAAGCTGCAGCAAAAAGGGACCCAGTCACCTCAATTTTATTATTGGTCCTGCTGAAATCCCATGACAAGAAACTGGCCAGTTCGCACCACACATGCTCCTGCCAGGTGTGAGGCCGCTGACAGCGATAGAGGAGGCGTGCACTAGTGCGTGTCGCTAATTCCGTCCAGCTCCATCGGACGTCCGCCGCAACTGCGCAATTATTGTGCCTGTGCTACACGGCTCCTTGCTTGCAGCTGTAGCGTCGGTCCTTCCAGTTCGCTTGTGCCTCTGTCGACATGGCCTCGAGCGGTTCGAGTAGCGTGGTGGTCGAGGAGAAGAGTTTAAATGTCTTAGAGGACTCTCCTCCGGTGAACGCCGTTCGTACGAAGGACGGCGAGCTTTTGTCCCCAGATGTGAGGCCGACTGCTGAGCGGCAGCTGGTCCGGCAACTCGACATCAGGCTGATGCCTACGATCATCGTCATTTTTATCATGAACTACATTGATGTGAGTGGTCAAAGCCTGATGGTGTCTCCCAGTGACTGAACCCTTGTATATGATGCGGATAGCGCAGCGCAGTATCGTCGGCAAGGCTCCAAGGGTTGACAGAAGACTTGCATCTCACACGTTTGAGTTTGCGTATGCTGTTCGCGATACATGCTGATCTGTAGATGCAGAAATACAATACTCTACTGTGCTCGCTGTGTTGTGCGCCTCATACGTGCCAGCCCAGATACCTTCGAATATGGTACGTCCTCAGGCTCTCAACCTATAATCCTCGAAGATACTTAGTTGCATACGTAGATTCTGAATCGCATCTCGCGGTACGCTCTTGATCTCTCTAAGATGTCATGTTACTCATGAGTTACCGTCAGTCCGTCGTACTATATTCCGGCATGCGTCATCTTGTGGGGGCTCACGAGCACGATGACAGGAGTAAGATACATTTTGAACGCTTCTGCAAGGCGAAGCATTGAACGTATGGAATTACCTAGATGACACGCAATTACACCGGTATTGTCCTCTGTCGCATCTGCATCGGAATCCCAGAGGTACTTCGTAGCTAATCTGCGCAGTTAGTGTGCTCACTGTTTGCAGGCAGCGTTTTATCCTGGTGCCATGTATCTGCTGTCCCGATGGTATACTCGAAAGGTACGCTCATAAACGCTCAGGAGAACTCATAGATGAGCGCTAGTGACGTATAGGAACTGGCATTTCGTTCCGCCGTCATCTATGGAGGTCTATTGATATCCAACGCCTTTGGTAATGTACGTCCTGGCGGGAGGTTTTCGAAAAGCAGCGACATTAATTAGCATCTTCTATAGCTCATGGCGGCAGGTGTCTTGTCTGGGATGCAAGGAAGACTGGGTATAGCTGCCTGGAGATGGTACGCTACGCTCTATTCAAATGTCGTGATTTGATGAGAATCATTTCTCTCTAGGTTGTTCTTCATTGAAGTTAGTATATGAAGCTCCCGACAGTTCTTCCATCTTGTTTAATTTTTGATTGATCTTGGCAGGGATCCATCTCAATGGCGATTGGCATACTAGCAATGTGAGTCCACATCGTGCATACGCGTGAGACAAGCACACGATCGCCAATTTTTTGCCCAGATTCATTCTACCAGACTATGTGCGCGTTCGTTTTCTCTCGTACCTAGACGAACACTTAATGTGTTTTTCAGCCACATAATACTCGGTGGTTGACTCCAGCTCAACTGAGACTTGCTCAAGTCCGACTTGCAGAGGATGCCGGTGAAGCGGATGAAGATGCTGCTAACGAGTCGTACGTTGTATTAGGCGTAAGTCGAGCCATTGATATCTGATCGGGTCTTGCAACAGAGCTTTCGTCGGATTGAAGCTTGCCTTAAAGGACCCAAAGGTGGCAATCTTCTCGATTATGAACTGCTCTCAGCTCCTCGGATTGGGATTCATCAACTTCTTTCCCACGTACGTGGCATCTTCGATGCAGCAGATCGCCGGCGGTCTCATTGTGATTACATTCGACAGCATCGCTGATACGCTAGGATTTTCCACAACGGTTTCTTTATTGTTATGCGCGTAAGGAGTTCGTTGCAAGTCAGCAGTAAAACAAAAATCTCATAGGAGCACATATCTTGATAGACCACCATGGATTTACGCCACAATCGTGTGCGCTGTGAACGCTTGGAGCGCAGGTCTGCTACTCGCAATGATACCGATCTTTCCTTCAACTCATGCGCTGTCGGAATCAGACAGAACAGGCGAGCGATTCTTTCACCATTGCTGGCCGTGGTGGGGCGTCATCATCGCATACATCATTGGTGCCTCCACCACATCCATTGGGGCACGGTATTTCGGAATGTTCCTGATGGCCGCTGGATACTCTGGCAAGCTATCTCGTTATCGTCATATTGCTTCCACTGAACCCATCGATATCTATAGGATTTGCGTTGACGGCTGTTTGGGTATCCAATGCAATACCACGACCTCCAGCCAAACGTTCTGCAGCCATAGGCATTGTCAACGGTATTGGCAATATGGGAAACCTGTATGTTCACTTACGCTCACCTCACGAACCGCCTGCCCAATCTTATCATGCTTAGCATAAGCTCGTACACATGGCAGTCTCAATGGGGCCCAGACTACCATCCATCTATGTACATCGGGATCTCTACTCTGACCTTCAGCACCATTCTCGCATTTGGTACACGCCGATTTCGTTCTCTCTGTTCAAGTTCTCAGACAGCTGATATTGGCTATAGTCATTCGTTGCATGCTTGTTCATGAGAATAAGAAGTTGAAGCGCGAGGAGGTAGAAGACCTCAAAGGGGCGAGACGTGAAAGAATCGAGGAGGCCGCAAGGCTAGAAGGTCTGACGTTCAAGGAAGCACTTGAGCGCAGAAGGCGCTTCAGATATCTGTACTAAGTCCAATGTTTGTTCCCTTTTCACAATCCACCGCGGTTTTGCCACGCATACGCTTGTAGCAGCTACCTGATGTGGAGTTTCGACTTTGTATCAAGGTCGCTTTATGTGCTCACCTAACAAGGGTATGATATAGGTACCTCATCATACGAACTTTCCGAATGCATGCGAAATGCAGTACGATACTGCGCTGAATGTGTTAACTGCCACGATCGATCACTTCGAGAACTACTCGTACAAACATGACAGTCCATGGAAGACAAATACAAGTCACAAATACACGTCCCTCCGCCTGATAATAGAGGGGCCCACGTAGACGTGGCCGCTACAAGGGTAATCTTATCAGTAGAGGTACCTGAAGCTCCTCCGTCGCTGCATAGCCTCCTCGAATGTGAGGCCTTCCAAGCGTGCTGCATCTTCGATCCGCTGCCGGCCGTCTCCTTTCAGGATTTCCTCTTCTTCCCGCTCCATCTGCTTGTTTTGGTACACCAGGATGCATCGGATCACTAAGCTCATATGTGTTAGTAGGCAGCGCTACGAAGTCATCGTATCCACAAACTCACCGAATGAAAGGAAGGATGCAAATGCAAGCGCGGCGATGCCGATGTACATCGGCTGATGGTATTCGGGGCTCCACTTGGATTGCCATGTATACGATGCAATGCTGAGCCAACAAGGGTAAGGATCACCCGCGAGAATGTGCTAATGCGACTCACAGATTTCCGATGTTCCCGAACCCGTTTACAATTCCGATGGCGGCAGAGCGCTTCGCGGGTGGTCGTGGCACTGCGTTGGAGACCCATACCGCTGTCAAGGCAAATCCTTCGAATAGCGCGGTGAGTACGCTCAAAACAATGTGATCGGAACGGCGGACGTACCTGCGTAACCGCATGCCATCAAAAACATGGAGACGTATCGAGCACCGGTGGCCATTGATGACACAGCAATGATATAGCCGATGATGACGCCCCACCAAGGCCAGCATTGATGGAAGAACCGTTCACCAGTCCTGTCTAGTATGGGATGAGTGATTAGAGCCGTGCTCGATCTGTGAATATAATTCCTTTTTACCTGCATTCCAAGCATTTGCCGCACAGACGATGGTGGCTAAGATCCACGGGGGGCTGGCGTAAGTTAGCAATGGATGCTGGAGTGGGTGCCGTTCATCAGATGAGATACTCACACAGAGAGAAGAAGAGTGATTGTGGTGGAGTATCCCATGGTATCGACGATGCTATACAGCTCTATGAGAAATCGGGTCCTGTGACAGGATCAAGTTGGTGCTCACGTTGGGAAAAAGTTAATGAAACCTAGTCCAAGCAACTGCGAGCAGCACATTAAAGCAAAGACCAGCACTTTTGGATCCCTCAAGGCGAGCTTTAGTCCGACCAAAGCACTACACACGAGCATGGATATGGTCAGCATAAAGGAATTAACTGGTACCATGAGACGTACGACTCATGAACTCCATCCTCATCTGCCTCGCCGGCGTCTTCCGCCAGACGGACCTGAGCAAGCCTGCGCTGTGCCGGAGACAGCCAGCGCGTGTTGTGGGGCTGCACGTTTGATCTATCAGCCTTTTACATCGCTTCGGAAGGAGAATACCGTACATAGTCTGGTAGCAGAAAGCTAAGCAAAAATCAAGACGTTAGCGGACGCAAATATTCGTGAGTAGAACTCACTCTCACATAGCAAGAAGCCCAACGCATACAGTGATCGAGCCCTGCGCAAGTGAGATGGGCGCAATGGTGTATCAAAATTCATCATTACCTCAATGTAGAAGAGCCTGGGCAACAATTCAACATCAACACGAAATAACGAAAATCGGAACTGAGTTTTACCATCTCCAAGCAGCAATTCCGCGTTTGCCTTGCATACCTCCGAGGATTCCAGCAGCGATGAGCTAAATCGTAAATCAGCGTCAAACGGCACGTTCTAATAATCGGCTCACTCACGCTCCCGAATGCGTTAGAGACGAGAAGTCCTCCGTAGATGATTGCGCCTCGGAATGCCAATTCCTTTATTTTCGAGTGTATAGCGGCACAAATTACAGACGCTGCGGTCAACAACTCACCTTGCGGGTGTACCAACGTGAGAGTAGATACATTGCGCCAGGATAGAACGCTGCCTAACAATCGCTGAGCCAACATATGCGGCGGGAGACACAGGTCAACTCACCTCAGGAAGACCAATAAAGACACGACAAAGGATTATGCCAGTATAGTTATGCGTGACCTAATCTCAAGTTAGCGTTACAGCGTTGCTAGTTTCGTAGCAGGCTGACACACCCCGGTCATTGCGCTAGTGAGACCCCACAAGCATACACAAATCGGTATATATAGAGAAGGCCTTTGGTGGACAAGTTTAACACGCAGCAAGCAGGTATCAGGAGATAGTGGGGTACCTTGTGATACGGTTCAGGATCTGTGGATAAAATTATCGAGAAAGGAGCAGTGAATAGGCATAATCGGACATACCATGTTTGAAGGTATCTGCGCGGGAACATATGTCGCATAGAGGATAGCAACGACGGTGTTGTATTGAATACCTGCAAAAAGGCGGCGAGTTGCGTTGTTATAGCCGAGACGACAGGAAACAAAGGCGGACATACCAGTAAGACCCAGATCTTGTGTCAATCCTTGCAATCTAGCAGATGTGATCGCAACGCGCTGACGCCGCATCTTTAGATCGCTAAAGCCTCAGAGATTAAGGTCACTTACATCGATATAATTCATGAGGAAGATTATGATGATCGTCGGGAGAAGTCTTGTGTCCAGAAGGCGCACAAGCTTGCGCTCAGCAGCTGTCCTGACTTCAGGATTTAGCAGCTCTGCATCTTCGGTCTCGGCGGATTCGATCGGGGACTTCTGCTCAACGAGGGCAGTCTCCTTCTCGTCGATGCCAGCGCTGTCCGAGTCTTTTGTGGACATGGCGAAATGTTGGTGTTGCAATCCAAGGGAAGCGAATCCGACGTAAGCTAGCTCAAATGGCTCTGCCTCATATGCCTACGCGGGTATCCGACGGAAAAGCCAGCGGATGCTTCAAGAAATAGCGCGTGATCAATCTTCTTCACGAGGAAGCCAGTTCTTACGAAAAGCACCACAATACAGCGATGTAACATGACCTCTCTGTGTCACCACGAGGCTACGATTAGGTCAAGAGTCGCCTGGATAGTGGGGGACGTGACCTGTCGTAACAGATCCTGCTGCGCGTAATAGAGATACCGGGGTAAAGGGCTCTACCTTATTGGAGGCTGATGCATCTCCAACGCAGGCACCACTATAAACCGGAGGATAAATGTGACTTCGTCAAGATCGATGAAGAATGCGAAGCTGCAGCTAAACACGGAGGAAACTGATGTGAAAAGTTACTCCGCATAAAAGGAGTGTCAGGGACAGTGGAGACTTCGCCATCCATTGAGTTGAGCTTCTCGTCAAACTTGAAGCGCCACATTACCTCCGTGCAAAGTCTAGACCCGCCAGATCGGTTGTTCAAAGATAGAGATAGAAGACGGTCATCTGGCCAATTCATCGAGCTAGTGCCGAGTAAAAGCCAATTATGAGCACCGAGCCTTGACGTTGACGCGACCATGTGTACGCAAAATGAGGAGAAACGTGGGAAAATGCGGGGCGGACCGAATGACCCGGGACCTTGAGCAACAATCATTCGGCTGAGCAGCGAAGGCTTCAGGCTGTGAACAATGAAATCTGCAGGATTGCAACTTGCCTTTCCTAACTTACTTTAAATAAAAATTTCAGGCCATGCTTCTTGTCACTATCAACATACAGACCCCGAACTTCTGATGGAAATTTCACGGCATCGCGTTGTGCTATAAGCGCACAAAGACGAGTCTCAGTCGGGGGCATCAAGAACAATGGATGCCTTACGCAACGCATAGTTCCTCCGAAGCGGACGATGCATATGTAAGCCTGTCAATTCGCAGTATACAAATTGCGCTTTGGAATTCCAGCACTCTGCAATGCATGGTGGCCGAATGGCACAGGGGATCTTCCTGACCTTTGCTCGTGAGATCCCGGTGGCCATGACTAGATGATGTGCGTGTTGCTCCTTTGGCAGTCAGAGGTTGAAGTGCTGCGAAGCCACCCCCTCGATGTGAGAGACAGATCGATAGTCGAGATTTACTTTCACTATTCTGCACTAGAAGTCCTCGATGTAAATAGCAATGGTACGTGTGAACGGCCCTGAGCTGCACCTTTGAGTTGAGCCAATAGTCATTAGGCGGCTTGATCGCTGCCGGTTCAGGTTATTTTGTCAAGTCGCCCAATTCAAACTGCTACCGATGAGAATGAAGTGATCAGCGCAGGAACGTGCTCGAAGGGCACTAATTTTGCAGCGTCTGATTTCAGCAAATGAAACATCCAACCCATCGATCCCACCGCCTTAGATCCAAGGGGTGTCCAATCTTACACATTCCAAAAGCGCAGATCACCTACATCAGCTCAAAGGGATTGCAAAGCGAGGTCGACCCCCCTGCACAGCATTTTCCAACGTTTGCCATTCAAGACCTTCCAGCTCATCCTTCGAGAAGCAGATTGAACCTCCTACTAATCCTCTCAATCAATGGCGATAAACATCAAACCGCCGGTTTCCCCTCAGTCATGCGGCAAGCACCTGCTGACTGCTCCAATTCGCGAGATGGGCTCACCTCTTTTAGGCTCGGAAAATCGGATATCCGTATGGCACCGTCCAATAGGCTCGTCACCTCAGTTTAGTGCAGCCGCCTTCTGCAGCATCTGCGGCAGAGTCTTGCTTATATCGCGCGATACATGAAGGCGAATCGTCGGCAGTATGAAGAAACAGCGTCTTGGATCTCTTGTGGGGCGACTACGTTTCATCAAATAGGCGGAGTCGTGAGGCTACAAGCAAAGGGAAGAAAGGGACATCACAAATCCATCACAAATCGCTGGAAAGCGCACTCACTTAATATTTGGCACTAAGGTCGAGCGTCTTCGAGACCTTTGAGCATGGGTCAGGGATGAGCGCAAATGCGAGCACCTGTGGTTCAATAGAATTGTTCACCATTTTTGTCCAACACAGAGAAAAGCTTCGCTACAGCAAATGGCTGTCAGCATGAAAGCGTTAGCATGCCATCATGTGTATCCTCGGAATCCAGGAAATGTTCATGAATGGCGATCCAGATTTCTAGACTGCCATCAGAATTAGTTACGCATCATCAGATGGCTGCAGATGAGGACCGGTCAGTCAAGTCTAAAGGCTGTTGTCTTTCGCACTGACTCGCCAGGTAGTCATTCGGAAACAGGCAAACCGATCAGGTGTACACCATCCAACATAGAATAGTACTGGTATTCATCCAAGCCTCCGAGTCGGAGTGCTGTTCCTTCCCGCGAAATCTATGAGCAAACTCCTCCCTATTCACTGTCACTGCGACTATGCAACGTACCCATTATGTTCCCAACAATGGCTAACTTTTCGTATTCCGTCTGTGCCTGTTAATACAATAAAAAGTGAAGAAGAACATACAGCCACCTTACGACGAGAAGTAAGTCTTGCGAACGAGATCCCGGGGTCCCATTTAATCGGATGACGATTCATAAAAACGTATAAACATAGCCGAACTATAGTACACCAGCCATTACCCGTGTCTGCATGTGCCTGTGTACAGCAATAAGTAAGCAACAAGGCAATGCAGAGAACGATAGAACCCCCAAACGCTGAAACAGTCCATCACGAATCATCATTCGCACTCGTTGCCCTCACTACCTGCTCCTCAAGTATCCTCATCTCAAACGCCTGCTTGAACGGCTCATACAGCCGCTTCGGCAGCGCAAACACAACGCGCTCAAAAGTATCCTTAAACCTTGCATCGCCCCCGTCCTGCGCGTCTCCGCACACGAGCAGCTCCGCCCATACGCTCGCGACGACATCGACGCGGTTCTGGCTAGATCCGCAGCCAAACGCACCAAGGACAAGCACCCGGTCGCCCTTCTCCTCCAATAGTGCGAGAGTGCGCGCCATACGTTCCTTCATTGCGCTGCGGATCCCGTCTTCGAACAACTGCTCCTCTGACGGCAAGATGAGGTGCTTCGCGCGCACTGCCGCCGCATTGACGGGCACGGCCGAGATCACGTTCACCGCGTACGGCGCGATGAACTCCCCATCAACCGCGTCGTCCGCGCCGGCGCGAAGCTCCATTCCCCATAGAGACAGCCGATCGTCCACGTCACGACGGAATACGACAACACCCGGCGAGTACACCATTGAATGGTCATGTAGGCCGCTCCCGTCCTCGATCCAGTGCTTCCTATGCTCCTTGTAGAACTCTTGCGCGACTGGGGCGCCGAGGCTCGCGACAAGTGAGCTCAACCGCGCGATCGTCTCCTCCTGCTCGTCTCCACCATGTAGGAACCCTCCACCAGGCCGTTTTGAAGACGCGAACGAGAGCACGCCGAGCGATGTCCGCGGAAACGTTTCCTGGTTCTGGGTGGCGTACGATAAGCGCCGCGCCGCTGTGAGCGTCGAACTACGTGTAAAATCAATAGCGGTCTTCGTCCCGGTAGTTATATTTGGTGTGTTGCCGAGAGGCCGCCGCTGTGCCCAGCTAGCGAGCAAATCGGAATAATGTGGATAGAACGACGTGCCTTGCCGGCTGAGCTCGATCTGGACGGCGATGTCGTGAGCTATGCGGACAACAGAGCTTGTGTTTCCCGAGCCTTCTTGAACTTGAGCTAGAGCAGCAGAATCATTAGAGATACGGCGCTCCTCGACGTACTGGCCGGCCCCGAGCACAATCGCCTGCGTTTCTGCTGCCATTGTCGCCCAACGCTCACGTTTGGCCTTCTGCGCCGCCAACGTTAGTAGTGCAGAGAACCTCCTCCTCTTCGGTACAGTCTTGGAGCTCTCTATGGGCCGTGGCTGCTGCCTGTTCTTCTGCTGCTTGGTCCGGATCTGTTGTCTCTTCAGGTATCGCCTCTTCGCCTCCAAATACTCGGCAGGCGTGGATGGAGTGCCTTCTCGTCTCTGGGGACGTTTGCTGTTGTTCTTGCGGTTTCGCATGGTAGAATAGTCGATGTCGGTGAGGATGGTGGTGGAAAACAATGAGACAGATAGCACGGGCGAGCCCTCGAGCTCCGATTATGTCACCTTTGAGTCACGTGCATCTCGGCGGCTTATTGCCTGTGCCACAAAGTTGTGGCAATGCGCTGCTGAGCCGCCCTTTGTTGTCCGTTGCGGCAAGCTGCAGTTTCTCAATTATCAGCGGCGACCGTGCGCACGTTGCGTAGAAATTTGCAGAGCAATCTCATGTGTGTTCATATCATTCGTGATCGTTCACGATGTGCACAGCAACATCGCATATCAAATGATAAAGTTGTAGTGGCAGAGTTTGCATACTGTTTCAACTGCATACTTAGTATGTTCATGAAGGACTGCCATTTTCGTTCCCCGGTAAGCCAACTCACAATAGTTCCCCCATCGTTGATGTAATCAGACAGTGTACAAGTTGTATTGCATCATCTAGGGATGTAGCGGGAGACATAGTCGTGCGATCTAAATGCAGCACATTACTCACAAATGGCAAGCAAATCATTCTACCTGCAGCCTCCATAGCCTTCCTCCTCACCGTGCCTTCCTCCTCACCGTGCCTTCCTCCTCACCGTGCCTTCCTCCCCTCCTCGACATCGACATGCGCGCCGACCACCTCGCTCTCGAACTGGAATCGCCCAGAGTTCTCAAGACGCCGGACCAACACGTCGCCAAAAGCAGTCGCGGGGGTGAGGATCCCGCCCCATTGTGCAAGCGGCGGCAGAGCAGGCCGCTCGAGCAGCAGCGCCAGTGCCGACTCCGAGATCATGACTGTGACACACACAGACATCATACGCTATCGCACGAGGTGAGCGAGAGCTGTCACGCACTGGCAGTCAGAAGGTACCCCGGATCTCCCCGGCCACGCATCACAGTCTTGACCTCGATCGGAGACGTGCTCGTACCTGGGGCAGAGGTCGTATAGTTGGTCGCCTCGATGAAGCCCTTCTCCATCGCTCTGCAACAGTCATGAGACCGTGGCGAGCAGGCCGCGCAGGCGGACACCTACTTCTCCAATGGGCCCTCTCCCAGTAGCGACACAACCCGTTTGAATAACCACTGCGCCTGCAAAGGATCAGCCACCTGCACTCATCGCGTGGAACGAGCGCGCTCACTGGCGGCAGCAGGAACAACGTCGCCTGGAGCGCATAGAATGTGATACTTGTGAACAGTGCGACCGCCCTGCTCGCCGCGCCGTCAAGCACAATGCACTCTTCGTATGTCAAAGCTGGGCCGTAGCTGAGCGCAGCGTCTTCACGTGGCTGGAATTTGAGCGGCATTGCGGCCAGCTGGTGGAGGCCCCACGTTCGCTGGACGATAGCGCGATCGGGCTGTGCACCAGGGTACGGCAGCGCGTACTCGGACGGGGAGGTGTGCGGGACGGAATAGCAGAGACTAGGCCGTGGACTCGGAGTGCCCTGAATGCCTGCCGCATGAAAGGCCACGAGTCAGTACGAAGTATGAAATACCGGTTAGAAAATGTGCTATATGCACCGGTGCTGAGGGAGTAGTCTGCAAATCCTTCGGAAGTGATGTTCGTGGGGATGTCGAAGGTGCTGGATATAGTCGAGAGCGTGCCACCCGAGATGCCTCCCAGCATGCGGTAGACGGTTAGGGACCTGCCGATTCCTGCGTGTGGTCCTGCTGCTTCCTTCATTGTTTTGTTGGAGAGAAAAACCAGGAGGTCAGCAGGGACAGAGTCGTGTGCGCATGAAGGCACGATGATCGCCTTGCTCTTTGTTGCGACGTAATCCCAACTGCGGGAGGTACGAAGTGAGTGACAAGGCCAGGGAGAAGATGACGGATTGTCAATTGTGCTATTGTCCACAAAGCGACGTGAATACGCGATCGTATGCCGCGTCTCGGACACAATGAAGCAGCATTCGGTGCATATCCTGCCAAGCTGTCGTTCCCGTACTCACCGAATGATCATCTTGCGTGTGAAATGAGACTCGCCACACAAGTCGACGTAGTGCCTCCCATGCAGTGCGCATGCTCTTTTTATGATCAGCGACAGATCGTGGCACCGAAGTCGACATATACCTGACCACCTCGGACCCCAGTTTCCAGTACGGACCCACAGCGCTGATGACAACCTTGGCGCCCTTGACGGCCTCTTCCACCTGACTGCGCTGCATAACGTCAACGTGATATGTTTTCACACTGTCGTCGAGCCCGAGGGTGCATTTGAGCTCCTCGAGCTTGTACTTGGATCGTGCAGCAATTCCGACGGTGAATGATGACCGGTCGGGGTGATTTACGAGATATCGGGTGATCAGACGGCCTGTAAAGCCTACAGTACACGGCGTGATATACCTTGACCATAAGATTATTCATGAAATGCTCGACGTACCTGTCGCGCCTAACACAAGAACATCGGATTCAGCCATAGTGGCGTCTCAAGTGCTACAATTTCAGTTCTCCTCGTCCAAGGTGACTTCGTTGAGCATATCCTAGCTTCAGGCTCCTAGTAGAGCAGTATGGCTGCGCGTGCGAGCTCTGTGGATGTCACGATGAACGAGAACTTGGGCTATGCCGACCTCGTAGCTGCACGGCAAGTAGGCGCCTGTGATCAGTAACACTCGTAGTGCACGTGACCGTTACGCGTAACGCACCACTATTGTGGTGGCAGTCTGTGTCCCGATATCTCTTTAGCTCCTGCCATCTCGACTTATAGCTGCTGGAGATCTTTGAGGGTACACTGTACATCGTAGCCCTGCATACAGCAATGCCCGAAACTCGTGTTCGAAGCCGCAGCAGAAGCAGGAATCGGTTGAGCCGAGAACTTTCTCGAGAGGATTATCGCAGGCACTCCAGGTCGAGGGACAGGCTACGAGATGAAGGGGGAGCTATCGACAGAGAAAAGAGAGGTCATGGCGGAGGGCGAAGACATCGGTCTGGCTCGCGCTCTCTCAGTCCGCAGCGACGGAGGCATTCTCGGTCCAGCTCAAGATCACGGCGTGCGAAGGACGACCGCGACCGGAGACGAGGAAGGTCGGCCTCACGCTCGCGTTCTCCTCGGCGAGACAAGGAGAAGCAGAGACATCGGTCCCGTGAAAGACGCAAGCATTCAAGATCCCGCTCTCATTCAAGGTCCAGCTCATCGTCTAGCTCGTCTGAGCAGAGGCGGCATAAGCACAAGAAGGAAAAGAAGGAAAAGAAGAAGCGGAAAGATGAGAAAAAAGTCTTTGTTCCTTTATGAGCTCCCCTTGCGAACCTACTGACACTGTCGATGTGGATTAGAAGAAAAAACTAGGTGCTGTAAGCCACCAATGGGGAAAGTATGGCCTCATAAACGAGAGCGAGTGAGTCTTAAACATGCTGCGGGAGCTGGAAAGATTACAATTCTTGCACAGTCTATATCCAAAGGAGCAGGAATTTAGGGCCTGGCTCGTAGAGGAACGCAAGATCAACCCTGAAACAATATCTAAGGAGCAAACTAAGAAAGAATTTGCTGTCTTCGTCGAGGACTATAACACCGGTAGGCATGGTGTTTCCCAACCTATGGCTGACTCTGAAGAGCCTCCTTCCAGCAACCCTTCCGCACGAGAAGTTTTATAACATGGAAGCTTACGAACGACGGATGACTGCGCTGCGAGCGGGCGAGTTCGTTCCTCCGCCAGACGATGCGTACGACCCGAACGCCGACCTGCGCGCACTAGAGAGTACGCATCGCCGACGCACGGTTGAGCGCGAGACGTACATGAGCAAGGAGCAACTTCAAGAGCTGCGCAGGGTGCAGAACGAGCGGATCGAGGTACGTCAAGTTGGCATTTCCTCAAAACAGTCGTCTTACGCTTCTGAAGGCTGGGAAGATGAAGCTGCTTGGTATGGAAGTGAAGCAGAATATGGGCGTCCGTATGGATGGAAGCATGTTTGACGGTTAGGGCCAGGGGGTTGATTGTAACATTAATACTCTGTATCACTATCATTGTACATGTATGTGCAAGACGCCGTCAATCGTTTCTGCTGTCCGGTTCGTGGTTCCCGCTCGAGCGATACCAATATTGATGCTCGCGTGCTTTGTACATCTCGATCGGCTTGAGTAACAATATTTCCCTCCACGATCCACGACAGTTGCCCACGACTCCGTTTCACAGAATCTTAAGCGCTCGATAACAGAAGCGCCCATAGCTTCCCCTAAGCTCTCAACTGCCAGCTTGAAACTGTTTGCCGTCCGACTTTCACCTCGCCTCAATCATCCTGCACCGCTGAGAAAAATATATCGGCGTGCTTTACAAAGTTGCGCCTACTGGATAACCGCGCTGTCGCAAGGTGCGCAACCAGACATTTCGTTTCAACTGAAGAGCCTGACGCGCTGCATCTGTTCGCGCCAATAACGAAAGCGGTCCCGCCACTCTGAATCTTCTTGGTTCTCACAATCAGATCTCGGCTTCCAGATTTATTGCATCAGTTTCTTCAAGTGTGGTAACCCGCTGTCAAAATGACTAGACCCGAAGCCCTGCCCGTTGAACTTCTCCTCAACATCGTTCAATATCTTCCTTTACAAGCAATCTACCAACTGCGACTTGTGTCTAAGTTCTGGAGCAGCCTCATCGCCGAGAACGAATCGACCGTATATCGTCGCGCGGCTGTCATGCACAACTATGCCTCCTCCACGGATTCTACGCCATCGGATGTCAGCATTTCAAACACAGATTATCCATTCGATCGCGCTGGAGATTGGAAGAGCTACTGTGAGTCTGCAGCCGGCTTTAAAAGAACTTGGACTCACCAATAATCTTGTCCTTTCAGGCCGGCAATGTCTAGCACTGGATAGAAATTGGGCTGGACTGGGAACCGTTGCGACAAAGTTATACTGCAATTCAAATTCGGACGTGCACCGCATCAAGATCGATGAGGCCCGAGGGTTGCTCATCACTTCCCACCGCAAAGGTGGGATCATGATCACCGATCTCCAGACCGATGAGCTGCTCTGGGGTCTATCTGTCGTGAGCCCTCATCTCAAGCGACTGAAGCACTGAGCTGATTGTAATTGAGAAGACGTATGCTCGCGCGTTTGCTCACATAGAGTATGACAACGGGTTCCTCATCTTCGACCGTTTCCCTGAAGGTAAGGAAGTATGGCGGCTCACCTCGGATTGCCAAACTTCGGAGGCCGTTTGTACCGCCTCGCCTCCCGAGGAGTCTCAGCAAATCGCTTTCGAGGAAGCAGAGCGCCGCTTCTCCCGCTCGCGCCGTGGCCATTTCAAGCCGTGGGCATTGCTCCGGTCTCACACACCTACAACTGCATTCCGCTTCGTGTATCCCACGCTCTCCCTAATCGGGATTCACTCAGTGTATATCTGGGATGTATCGTCCGGCGTGCTCCTGCGTACGGTGACTCTCGATGCGCCCACACTCGGTGTACAGCCCTCATTTGGATCGACCAGGTACGTGGACGTCAACAGGCGCCATGTCTTGGTGTGCTCGAAGGCGTTGTGCGTGTTCAATGTGGACGGCGGTGCTTGCATTCTCCGTGTGCCGTCCACTGAGGGTCCAGTGGCGAAGACACGGATCATCCTCGATCCGTCTGGCTCTGCCAATTCGAATGGCATCGTTGTGCCTCACAAGCTATCTATCACTGGTAATTCGGCAACTAGGCCAGCTGCGGAGCAGTTCATTGCAGGTGAGTTTCAGCATTGCGTTTGCATTTGCGGTATGTTTATCAAGGGTGCTGCAGCCCACTTCTCAAGAGATGGTCGCCATCTCGTCGGATTGCTACACACCAACAAGCTCGTTCTCATTTGCGATTTTGAGCGAGTCGCACGCGGAGAGATCCCGCTAGCCGATGCTGCCTTGGAGATTGAGATGGCTGGTCCGCTCCTCTTTAAAGTCGGACGACCTCACCATGGAGTCTACCTTTCATTCGAGCATGGGCGTGTTTGTGCTGTTACCGTACGTCAAGCAAATAAGCGTCCACGTCTCGTATCTGATCTCTTTACGCGTATAGACGGCGGGTTTGTTCATCTTCACGCTGGATGCCACGAAACACGGTCTGTTCGATCTCGAGGCGCCTTCCGTAAGCACCAAGCTGGGGCTCATCGGGGACTATACTTCTGTTCCTTTGGAAACATCGTTCCCGCACATCGCGGCTTGCTTCGTGCCAGGTGTAGACGATTACGATGCCCTATCAAACGTGAGCTGCCTGCAGATGACAGCGACGCGGTTGTACATGACGTACCAGAGGGACAAGCTCCCGGACGATGGAGATGATCGCGTGGAGGCTGGTGCAGATCTCTGGCCCGAAGGCTCTGTAGAGCCCCCTGATACGTCACCTGTTGAAGAAACCCAGGATGGCCTCGAAGACGTTTCCCCAGACGCCCTGGCATCTAGTGTACAGTACATAGAAGCGGATCAGGATCATCCTCAGCTGGCGGAAGATGCATTGTGGCTGGATTATGGCGTCGGATTGGATGCAGAGGATACTTTGAATGATGATGAGGAATATGATGAGGAATATGAGGCCGCTGAGGATGTGATGGACGAGATATATGAGGACGCAGATGACTTTTATGATGAAGATGGCGAGGATGATGATTGGGATGAGGATGATGACGATGTCGATTGGCCGGTCCCTGTACGTGATGAAGTTGTGGTATATTGTGTAGACTTTAAGCCGTCTCCTGCCTGAATCTGGCGTGATACGTCTACGTTTAATTGTCCATAACTTGTCTTATGATTTCGCTCTATATTGAATATGTTCACATGAACGCTTTTCGATTGTATGAGGGTGCCAAAAATTTTATCACGGCATGAGGGAGCTCCTTTCTTCAATACGTTAGCGTCCGCATGTTCAAGTAGCACAAGGTGGCTCTTACCATCAGGCTGATTTCATCCGGGTTCAGCAGGCGTCATTCGAGCAATGAAACATGGCACCCTTCAAGGACGTAGTTTTCAGTGGAGTTTTGTGCACCCTACCCACCAGAACATCCAGTATGGATGATTCGTTCTTGATGCATTGCTTTGGACCCAGTTATGGGATTTGCGCCGCATGTCATCTGATCAGACGCAACCTTAGGTTACGACACGACCGTTTAGAATGCGTGCTAGGCTTTCCCTACGTGTGAAAAGGTGAGAGACGTAGCCACATCGTGCCCTGGAACAGTGGTCATTGTGGACACCTCGACTATGTCCAATCGCGACGCGATTTCGGCTTGAAACTTGCTATGAAGCCCATGAAGGCGGCCGGTGCGGAGGTAATGTATTTCGCGCAGCAGAAATATCCGGAGTATAGTCTACGTGGGCAACAATCGGCGCACATGCGTTAGGACATAAGTTTTACTTGGCGTTGGCGTAGCGCTTCCAATCCGGAGTTGATCCATGGACTAGCTTGGAGACACCAGTGATGTAGTAAAGAACGAATGAATTCCCGACTCAGATATAGCATGTTCTCCGAATTGTGTATTGTCTACAGCCAGAATCCACTGATCAAAAGAAAACTGTCAACTACGAAAACGCATGAAGTAAGATGCAGACCTTTGAAGACCCAAGACAGAACAGCACATCGATTGATGGACTGGACTCATTAATCGCATTTTCCGTCAATTCGGGCTGATGCAATACCACATATGGATTTGGAGAAGGATAGACACGCCCACATTTCAAGGACGGGCAGGAATGCACAGATGTGAGTATTTCTAATTGAGCGCGGACGAGATCCGTGTATCAAACCCAGCCGTTCGTCACAGAGATTGCTTCAGACTGCACAGCTGTGTCAGCGGAGAGCAAGAGAATTCCGAGCGCCGAGTTTGATATGAAAATATTTTGATCATGCTAGCGGATCATCCGAGCGCGTCCTCGAAGCGTTCTGTTGATCGCCCGTTGCCTCAGACTGTAGTAATCAAGCAAGTGTAATTAGTACGGGAAGAGACTAGATAACGCAAGTCTCTGACACACGAATGCTGTGATACGGTCATGAAATTACCTGAACCTCAACATGGGCCACCGATAGAGTGCCTGTACGCGCTTTTAGTATATGTAAGACCTGGATTCCGTGCGTCATCAATGGCAGACTCGATGGAATAAACGAAGCACATGAAACTAAATTTGATTTTGACAACTGGCAGCCTGGGGGTGGAGACGAGTCAGAAGAAAATCATGCCTTGAGCACTTTCATTCTTGCCTTTTGTCTTGTTGGACATGCTAAGGCTGTTCGGCCAGTCGTTGTTGAGGTACCTCTCGCGAGACTATGATTCCATCTTTATCAGTCAGGGCCGGTAAAACACGAACATGGTGTCCTGACTCCTTCGCATGCGCGAGCTTGATAAATAAAGGTGCCTTGAGTCCACCGTGACGGCGCTCCTTAGCTCTTCTTCTATGTCTCACGGAAGTGCAATTTAAAGTGAACCAATCCGATGACATTATGCCACTGCAGGATCGAATAATGCCACATCGTTCATCTTTTCATCTGGGAACGGCTGCAAATTGACTCCGCACGGTCTCGTTAGCGCTGTGTAAAAAATTCTGCAGCAATTGAATAACATGAAGATGAGAATGTCAAGTAACACTTGCAGTACAGCGCAGTGAAAAAGAGATGCTAGACTCAGACTCGCGGTGATGAGGCATAGCTGTTCAATAATGTTCAATGTTCAAAAGCAAATTATGATCACGTGCGCGACGCGTCTCATTAATGGGCGCCTAGGATGGTCGGTCGGCCACGACTTTGCATAGCCCGAGTGCCTCAGCGCTGTCCGCGCGTCGCTCACAACAGTCTGACAATCTCGTTCTTCTGCTCGAAAATTTGCATCTCAACATCAAATTAGGTTCTCGAGACGGTATTGTTGATCTGAGCTGCATAGACTCGGCCATGACTGATATCCTGGTGTTAGGCGCGACCGGTGAGTGGGGAGTGGGAGGTCATGATTATGGCAGCTACGTTAATTGTCGCTTCTAACATCCAACTTGTTTTGTACCAGGCTTTACAGGTCGCCTCATCACGCGACACCTCGTTAACCACCCCGAACGGACATCATTCACCCTCGGACTTGCTGGAAGGTCCGAGTCCAAGCTCGAGGAACTCAAGCGCAGCCTCGGACTGGACCAAAGTGTCAAGCTGTATCAAATAGATGTCACGGAGCGTAACCAGATCGAAGATGCAGTCAAGAGCGCGAAGGTCATTATCAGTGCCGTCGGACCGTATTGGAGATTGGGTGCGGAGGTAGTCAGGTACGAGTTGGCTTCTGTTTCGCGACTCATAGCTCATGCTCCAAAGAGCGTGCGTATTACATGGGAAGCACTACGTTGATCTATGCGGAGAGTCGCACTTTACTCGCCACATGATTCTGCGGTGAGTATCAAGCAGCAGGCGTAGATGCATTTTATGACAAGAACTCAACAAACTCGATATGTTCTGCCATTCAGCTGGGACTACGTCGCGACCAAGACCAAAGCAATCATTGTCTCATCATGCGGACTCGACTCTGTCCCAGCCGATCTCCTGGTCTACCTCGCGAACAAGACTGTTAAAGCCGCTGCTGGACCTCACGCTGGGCTGGGCAAGTCTCTGACCGTCTATCGCGTAGCAGGAGGTGTCTCCGGTGGAACATTATCGACAATTTCCAGCACGTTCGACATCCCGTCGCCCATCATTTCGGAAGCTTTAGCGGACTATTCACTGAGCACTGGTGCGCATAACACCTATTCATGCATGGTTAAAAGCATCTAAAGTGAGTTTTTCCTATGCGTCGATAGGTATTCAAGGCGTTCCAAGTGCGCGGACCAGCCTATATTACCCCGTGCCGTATGCGTCCCCTCCCGAGTACGGGATGGTCTATCCAATGGCACAACCAAACATCGCGATTGTGCAGCGGACATGGGGCCTCCATCAGCTTGCGACGATGAAGCTTAAGTTCCACTTGCAGGAGGAGGAGGCGCGGAGCTACGGGCCAGCGCTTTCGTACCAGGAGTGCGTCGTTTTTGACAGCACGTCCAGTAAGCCGTACGCGTTGCTCGCGAGTCTGGCATACTATGTGTCCTTGGCGATGCTGTTCTTTTTGCCTCCGGTGGGTGGTACATATTGTTCGCATTGCACACGAGGCAGAAAATCGATCTGCTGGTAGGTTCGATGGTTGTTCCAGCGGGTGGTGACGCAGCCCGGGGATGGTCCTTCTAATGAGTACGTGCGAGTCCGTAGGATTTTCCTGCGGCATCCTCATCAACTTTACAGAACGATGGAGAAGGGTTTCCTCGAAGCAATCAACTACACATCATCCGCACCCAGCGTTGATACGCCTCGAGTTGAGATCAAGACTGTTATGCGCGGTCAAGGAGACCCAGGATACCTGCTTACCGCCGGTGCGCAACTGATCACACTCGCTTCTCGCGATCATGTAATGACATACGATCCGCAGTCATGATCTCCGAGTCGGCGTTAGCACTGCTGCTCGATCAGACCGCTCTGCCGCCGCTGGCGCGGGAGGGCGGCGTCCTCACTCCCGCGAGCGCACTCGGCGATGTATTGATCAGGCGTCTAGAAAAGTCTGGGCATTTCCAGTTCGAGAGCCAGATGGTTGGTGCGCAGATCGAAGAGGGAAGGAAGGGGCGGTGAGAAGGATAGATGCTATTGACCGCTGGTGGAATTGTCTGCTACCCGTTCGTGAGTGCGTTTGCTATGTTTGGATCATACATCTATGCCTTCTGCTAGATTCATGGACGATGCAATGGGATTTATACAGTGTTCGGTGAGTTTCTCCAAGGGGTCAGTTGCGACATCGATTAACGGTACCCATGCTTATTAGACTTGTGATGTTATGTGATTTGATATGATTAGCAAGCTATGCTAAGTTTTCAGAACGACAATTACTCACGAGAGTGTCTCGGGAGCTTGACATTGTGTAAATCAACTTGATATCTATTCCGATGCTGCAATTGCTGGCAATAGCATTCTATCAGTATACCCTCTAGTCGGCATCTGACTTACACTTTGGCCATATGTTACTGTGATTCGCTTCACTGGCAACCGATGTGACCACGGGCATCTCCTGGGACACCGAGATCATGGCTTGCATATTGTCCTGCAGTGCGTGTTCAAACGCTGAGGATGTGACCATTGGCGGCTTATTGAGTCACTCATGAGCCGGGGATATACAGTGCATAGGAAGAGTTGGTGATGCTCCGACACGTATCATGTTCTATTTTTTCGACTGGTCTGACTTGGTTCGCAGGTACACCGATGACAGGTCCTCCCGGAAAAAATAAGGACGACCACGCCTTTCGAAAGCATTGTGACATTGAGAAGACTTTCTTACGCAAATGGACATTTCAAACGACATTCTCAATTTCTCAACGTAATCCAACTACCCCTACACAACTGAAACACCCTCCATTGTCTGTTCACGCATGCTCTGTCCTTGGTGCCTATTGCCCTGCGGGGACGATCTAAGCTTCTGTGCAGCCTAATGTGCCAGTCAGCATAGAGAACGCCAAGTAATGGAGAAGAATACCTAGGCGTAGCAAGAGTCGTGGTAGTTCTCACGGCCCTCGCTCGGGTCGGTGCAGCAGCGGCTGAACGCACCGAAGCTGTCGCCGACATTGCAGTAGGTGGGTTCTTCCCATTTGCCACTCGTCTCGAGGCAGCAAACATGGGAAACATCATTGGCAGCTCCTCCATCGGGGTAGACGCAGTAGCAGCGGTAGGCTACGGCCTTCTGCGCTACGAACACGAGCACGAGCGCGGTGCGTACGAATGCCGAAAACGTAGTCATGGTGTTCAAATTCCTGCTATCTGGAAAAACACGCCGGTGAGCGAGATGTCGCAGAATGAGAGACAATAGCTGGACTGACTTGTAGGTGATGAGATACTTGTCGATTGGGACCTGGTGGGAAGTCATCGCAAGGCGAGCCTTTATATGATTTTTCGCGTCTTTGGCCTGCGTTGCACCCCCTCCCCCCTGAAACCCATGGGTTCATGATAAAGAGGTGCGACTTTGCTTTCCTTCGATGGTGCATATCTTGGACCCGCGTGTAGCTTGGAACCCAATGAAACACGAAAGCTCCGCTTAACGTGTTCCATTCCATAAAACGCTGCTCTTCGCTGCAATGCGATTATCGGCCTTGACTAAAAACACGGTCATGAGCGGCGAATATGAGCGTATGTCGAGGCTTCTTCCGCGCTCATATCTCGGTTGGTCTCGTCCATACTTTGCCTTCGCATTTCATGCTCCTACCTTACTCGAACAGTGAGCGTGTCGTAGGTTGAGGATGCACGTACCGTGAGCCACTTCTGCTGTGCTAAAACCGTTGGGTTTGACACCCATTGATGATCATGCTATGGAAGGCAAGCGGAACGATCGAAATCAGGCAACTGGTACGGTTCAGAAATAGTTGCAGCCATTATTCTTCCGTCACCACGTCCCTCGAATTTTTTTTCCGTAAACGTATTTCTGTCGTTCCATTGCATTAGGCGCTGCCTGATAGTGTTGGCGCGGCCACGACCCTGGATGCCCTCACCGTGAGAGGTGCAAGCGCTAATAATGGCGCTAATCAGATCAGCCGACCACTCCGAATCTGTCGAGGACACGCACGTTGGACATCATGCCATCACAAGTCTGCCAGCACCGAGGAGCTCATCGGAAGCGAATGGCATACGATAGGCGCAGGGAAGGCTCAGCCGTAAGCCGTGCTGTTTCTATCAAGCAAACCTTTTTTTTGACGCGACATGGCATGGCTTATCAGTCCTTGGTCCATAGCCTGCAAAAATGAGCAAAGTATATTTGCGACGAAACGCGGTATGGCAGACATGGATCGACCTACTGTTATAGAGTGACTTACTGGCAGTCAGTAATGCTGTGCGTCCTATTCGTTTTCATTTTCCGTAGTGTAGCAAGACTGATTGGCAAAGTGCCGCCAGTCATATCGTGTATCAAATTGAAGGTTGCTCGCTCTGGTCTTCGACAGATTCGCCGTGATAATGATGCACATTCGCTGTTCTGTAGACAAGCTCCATGGTGACCCCGCGGTCCCGGCCAGGCTCCTCACTACTGCTTCCAATCCGAAGCAAAATTCGCTCAATATACTGTCCTTCCAGACCCTTGCCTGCCGCTCAGCGTGCCTCCCTTACGCCGCCTCTATTCGTCCTTCCTATGAATAGTAGGTCGTCTCCCGTGCCTGGCCGGTGCATGCGATATGTGCCCCAGTACCCGGTGCTGCACGTCCGATGCTTGCTTCTTGTCCGTCAAAAGACAAGAGACACCCGACTCCATATACTGAAAGAAATGTGACTCTGAAATTTCCGAAATGATTGTTCTGTCTCCGCGCGGCCGTTGACGGATGCTAAAGACAAGAACGCCTCGGAAACCACCCTCCTTCTGTTCCTATCAGCGAGCCGGCGGCTTGGAATACGTGCATGGCAGCGTTTCCGGATACCGCACGATTTCGCACCCCGTTTCATGCCCGCGTGGCCTCGACCCATGACCAGTATCCAGGGCAGAATGGTGCCTCGCACGAGAACATCGAGAAGGCGCAAGTTTCGTTCACGATGCATGAAGTCCGCCTCTTTTTCCCCAATCTATTGACTCTTGCAGCGTTGTTCCCCACCTGGTGGTGCCCACGAAGCTGTGTGACGAGCTTGTCGACGTGGGTAGAAATGCTCAATGTTGGGGTCTATTGCACCTATCGATATACGCTTTTGCTAAACTAGTCAATTTAGGTGCTCTCTGCGGCCAATGCCCGTGACGTGTCTCTGCTAGGAAGAATGATACTCTCGAACGTGTTTTGTCTGTAGGAATACTCTTTCACGGTGACTAACGGTGCCTTGAATATACATGAATATACATTATGACAGCCGACTCGGAGCTGCGGCCGAGTATGATGACCCTTATTGTATGATGGAGCCGAAGCAAGGGGTAATTTCAAATGGACATTTCCAGTTGCATGGTTATGCAAGGTATGTTTTCATCTGTTAGTGACGATCTGCCACTGGACCGAGCGAGATTGCCTTTCAAGTCCAAGACCGACCGGCGAGCTATTTCAATTAAGCTTCTATTTTTAAGGTTCCGGCACAAATGAGCGGCGGATTCGATCGCATCTTCTCCGTCTCCGCGACTGTGGCTTTTACTTTCGCTGTGATCTCCAATTGCTCTTTTGCTCTCCGCGCTTCTCTGGCGTGCCTGCTTGAGGGCGACGCGGGTGACGCCCAGCCTTTTCCCACGGTGGGTGTCCACTGTCGAGCCAACGTATTCTTCCCTTCCTCATCGACGTCCGCCACCAAACAAGCGTGCTGAGGAGGCCCGAGTAAATGTGGCCGAGCCCATTTTCGGCCCTCGTGCCAGCCAGCCATCATGCTCGCTTTCAATTCTGGCCCCCCTGCGGAGTCGCGTCCACGGTCCGCACGTGAAGCCTCATGCTGTAGCAGATGTCTCTACTGGGAAGAGGCCGGTAGCTCCCCTTCTTCATCACGCACTCGGTTACGGAGAGCTGTCAGAATCATCAGGAGTCATGACAGTCCTTGTCGACCACAGCACGCTTCTGGACAAGGGGCCAGTACTATACCATGCAGGTGGAGGTCCCTGGAGGCTAGAAGGATGCCCCATGGCCGATATTGCCCTTTTCAGTCGGCCGAAATCTCGTCATTTTCAGGCGGTACAGTTCTACCGTGTTGCGCGGCGCACAGTTCAATAAGGTTTCCGGAATGACCGCGGTACGTTATCTACGAGAGAGCGAAATTTTGCACCTGACTCAATTGTTCACACTGTTATGATGTCCACGAACATGTCATGATGGGTCCTGATTTGATTCCAATCAATCAAGTTAGACTTGCGACCTCGATTACATAGTCTGATTTAGATGCCTGCAACCTGTACACCCTGCAAAGCATCTGCATCGTAGTCCGACATTGCCAAGTTTCAAGAGGATTGCAACATTAGCTCATGACGCGAACGCGTCTGTAGCGCGGGGCATCTTCGGGTAGGACTCGTCGCGTGAAAGTCCTTGAAGGCTCCGGAAGACCTTCATCAGGAAAACTAAAATCCGGCCTTTATCCGCTTGCCGTCACCGAAAAGGACAGTGAGTCCGAGAAAGTCTCCGGATCTCGATTGCAAGTTGTTTTGCCTCCGAGTTGAGAGCTTCTTATCGTGTGTTTATCGACTTTTACAAATCAAAATCAGCGAGAACAAGTCGAAAAGGGAGTTCTTGAGCCACAAGTCGATTTTAGTTTCCTGACGTTGCTACATTTCAGTGCCATGTGGACACCACAGAATACCATTTGTATGGGCCTCACCGCGCTACTTTGATTACCTGCATATGTCAGATACTCTCATGCCTTATCGCTGTCAGTCTCGCCCTCGGCGAAGGTGGATCACGCTTTGCCGGGCGCGCGGAGGCGGGGAAAGTCCGCTCCATCGGTCTGGATGCCCGCCGACTGCTCAGTTCGCCCCATTCAGAGTACCCGCAGATGCGGACGCGAGCACGACAGCAATAACATCGCGCGCGAACGAAATTCTTGCGGAAGACGCTGACACCCCGCCGTAAAGACCATATCTGCGACATCGGGATTGTGCGGAGAACAGGAGAGTCATAATTATACATTTCACTGTGTCTTGTATAGCGACACTTACGGATACAGTTTTTCAGTGCCATCGGACCGTATTGGTCATCGGTACAGAGGTCGGTTGCTGTTTCATGACTCATTCACCACATGATTCTGCGGTGAGCATCGATTGACGGGCGTAGATACCTGTGACATTGTCTCATCATGCGGATTCGACTCTGTCGCAGCCGATTTTCCAGCCTAACTCACTAACCAAACCATGAAGGCCGCTGCTGGACCTAACGCTTGTCTGGGATAGTCCCTAACCATCTATCGGTTAGCGGGAGGCGTCTCATGTGGCACATTATCGATATTCTCCAGCACTTCGACTTCCCGTCGCACATCATTTCGGGGGTTTTCGCGGACTACACTGAGCACAGATGAGCATGACACCTATCCTTGAGCGGCCAAAAGCGTCTACAATAAGTTTTTATTTCTATGCGTGAGTAAGTACCCAAAATGTTCCGAGCGCGCAGCCCAGTCTATGTTACCCCGTGCCGCATACATCCCCTCCTGAGTACGGGATGGCTCTCCCATGGTCAAACATCGCGATCGTCCAGCGGACATCATGATCCCTCCATCAGCTGACGACTAGCAGTTTAGGGTAGGAAGACGAGGCAGGAGCTACGGTCCAGCACTTTCGTATCAGGAGTGCGTCGTTTTTTACAGCACCTCTAGTAAGCCGTACGCGCTGCTCGCGAGTCTGGTGGCATACTATGTGTCGTTGGCAATGCTGTTTATTCTGCCTCCGGTGAGTGGCATATAGCGGCCATGATCTCAGGAGTCAGAGTCGGACGCTAGCGCTGCTGCTCGAGCAGCCTGCTCTGCCGCCGCTGGTGTGGGAGGGCTGTGTCCTTACCTCCGCGAGCGCGCTCGCAGACGTGCTGATCGGGCGCCTCGAGAAGCCTTCGCGTCTCCAGTCCGACAGCCAATTGGTTGATGCGTAGGTGACTGGAAGACTGAAGGAAGGTCGGTGAGAACGAGAGATGTTGTTAACTGCTGGGGAAATTGTCTGTTAACCGTTCGTGAATGCGTATGATATGTTTGGATCATGCATCTATGCCTTCTGCTAGATTCGTAGACGACGCAATGGGACTTATACAATATTCGGTGAGTTTCCCAGAGGCAATTGCGACGCCTGTCAACAACGTCTATGCAAAGTAGACTTGTGATATCATTTAGATTGATCTCATCTGCAAGCTATGCTAACTTTGCAGAAGGAAAATTACTCACGAGAGTATCTCGGTGTTTCACGCTATACAAATCAAGCAAACCAAATTCACATTTATTCCAATGCTCCGATTGCTGATAACAGCCTGTATCAATCTACTCTTTGGCCGGCATCCGACTTGCACCATGGCCACGCGTCAATGTGATTGACTGAACTGACACTGACCGATGCGATTGACACGGACGTCTCCTGAACACACCGAGATCATACCGTGATCTCGGTGTGAATAGCGTCCTGCGTTGCATATTTAGATGTTGAGGATGTGACCATTGGCGGCTTATTTAGTCACTCTGGACGTTTCAGCGATTACGATGAAGCAGGTGTATCAATCACTGACTTAATGCCGCACAGTCCACATACCTTCATGAGACGGGGATATACAATGCATAGGAAGAGTTGGTGATGCTCCGACATGTATCATGTTCTATTTTGTTCGACTGGTCTGACTTGGTCCACAGGTTCACCGATGACAGCTCCTTCTCGGGAAAAATATGGACGACCGCACCTTTCGAAAGCATTGTGACATTGAGAAGACTTTCTTCTGCAAATTCACATTCCAAACGACGTTTTCAATTTCTCAACGTAATCCAACTACCCGTACACAGCTGAACCTTCCATCGTCTGTTCACGCATGCTCTGTCCTCGATGCCTATTGCCTGCGGGGACGATCTAAGCTTCTGTGCAGCCTAGTGTGCCAGTCAGCATAGAGAACGGCAATTAATGGACAAGAGTACCTAGGCGTAGCAAGAGTCATGGTAGTTCTCGCGGCCCTCGCTCGGGTCGGTGCAGCAGCGGCTGAACGAACCGAAGTCAGCGCCGACGTTACAGTAGGTGGGTCCTTCCCATTCGCCGCCCGTCTGGACGCAGCAAATCTCGGAAACAGTATTGGCAGATCCTCCATCGGGGTAGACGCAGTAGCAGCGGTAGGCTACGGCCTTCTGCGCTACGAACACGAGCACGAGCGCGGTGCGGACGAATGTCGAAAACGTAGTCATGGCGTTCAAATTCCTGCTATCTGCAAAACACGTCGGTGAGCGAGATGTCGCTGGATGAGATACAATAGCTGGACTGACGTATAGGCGATGAGATACTTGTCGGTTGGGACCTGGTGGGAGGTCATCCCAAGGCGGGCCTTTATATATTTTCGGGTCCTTGGCCTCCGTTGCGCCCCCTAAAACCCATGGGTTCATGATGGAGCAGTGCAACTTTGCTATCGTTCGATGGTGGCCGGTGCATGTCCTGGACCCGCGTGCAGCCAGGAACCCAACGAAACACGAAAGCTCCGCTTGACGTGTTCCATTCCAACACACGCTGCATGCGATCACCGGCCTTGACTAAAAACACTGTCATGAGCGGCAGATATGAGGGTATGTCGAGACTTCTCCCGCGCTCATGTCTCGATTGGTGTCGTCCATAATTTTATGCTGCTACCTTGCTCGAAGAGTGAGCATGTCGTAGTAGGTTGAAGATGCACGTACCGTGAGCCACTTCCTCTATGCTGGAAAGATTGGGTTCGACACCCAATGGTAAACCTGCGATGAAAAGCATGCTGGCACTATCCAGAAATATCTGCAGCCATTAATGTTCATCAGAAAAAACAAATCCAACTTTTATCCGCTTGCGGTCACAAAAAAAGACTGTGAATCCGCCGAGAAAGGATCTCGATCTCCTTTTCTCCGGGTTGAGAGCTTCTTATGGTGTGCTTATTCGCCTCTACAAGTCAAAATCAACATCACGAAGTTTCTCGAGCCACAGGTCGATTTGATTCTTCGCAACCACGTTCCTGTTAGCCACAGCCCTATCAGACGCCTCACCGTGAGAGTCCCGTGAAATGCAAGCGCTGGTAATGGCGCCAACCAGATCAGCCGACCGCTCTGAATGTTTCGAGGACACGCCCGTTGAACATCATGCCATCTCAGGTCTGCCGGCCCCGAAAAGGTCACAGAAGTGAATTCCATGGGGCAGAATCAAGGAAGCTTCCTCAGCCGTAAGCGGGGGGTGTTCGCATATAGCAAACCTTTTTTTGTTTTCTCTTTTGTTTCGCATCACTGATGAGCTCTTAGTCCACTGCCTACAGAAATTCAACGGGGGTATGTTGCAACAAGACGCGTTGGTGATGTGGTCATGGACCACCTTGGACTTCACGCTCATTGTGGAGTAATTCATAGGTGTTGAACCAAGCTGTACATCCTATATACCTTCAATCCGGAGTGCAGCAAGAGAAATTTCCAAAGTATCGCATGCCACATCGTGCATCAAATTGCAGCTTGCTCGTGCTGATCTTCGACAGATTCGCCACGATACTGATGTACATCTTTTGCTCTGTAGACAAGCCCCATGGTGACCCCCGGCACCAACAGTACCCGGCAGTCCCGGCCAGACCCCCCCCGCACTGTTAATTCCACTCCGAAGCAAAATTCGCTCAATATACTTTCCTTCCCGACCCTTGCCTGCTGCTCAGCGTGCCCCTCTTGTGCCGCCTCTATTCGTCTTTCCTATGTATAGGTTGGCTCCCATGCCTGGTCAGTGCGTCCGGTATGTGTCACAATACCCACGCTGTTGAGCTCGCTTCTTGTCCATCAGAAGAGAAGAGAGCCAGAATTCATAGAATGACAAATATATCACTCTGGAAATTCCGAAATGCTCGTTCTCTCCATGCAGTCGTTGATGGATGATGAAGACAAGAACACCTTAGAAGCTAACCTCATTCTGTTTGTATTCGCGAGCTGGCGGATTGGATACGTAAATGACAGCCTTCCCAGAGGCTGCATGATCATGTATTGCATTTCATGCCCGTCTGGCCTCAGCTCATGATCGATATCAGGGCAGAATGACGCTTCGCATGACAACGTCGCGAAGGCGCAAGTTTCACTCACAATGCATGAGTCCTTCTCTTTTCCCCTATCTATTGACAGCAGTGTCGTTGTCCTACTGGCGGTGCCCACAATGGCGTATGACGAGCTTGTCTGTGTGCGTAGAAATCCAAATTATCGGGAATCTACTGCATCGATCCGTATCCGCTTGTGCTGAAGTAGTCGATCTAGGTGCTCTCCGTGGCCAATGCCCGTGACGTGGTGACTTTGCTGGCTGGGAAGAACGATACTCTAGAACGCGTCTTCAATCTGGAGGCAGAGTGTTTCACCGTTCACGGTGATGAAGCCGATGCAAGGGAGAATTTGACACATTCAAATGGAAGCATGGGTCGGGGAGGAGTGGGTGTATTCAATTGCTCATGACAATATGCCATGTTCTGGACCGAGCGAGGTTGCCCTTCAAGTCCAAGACCGACTGGCGAGGTTCCTCAATCAAATTCTGTTCTTGGATTCCGCCGGCACAAATAAGAGGTTTGGTTGCATCTCCTAAATCTCCGTGACTGTAGCTTATACTTTCGCAGAGGTATTCGATGACCTTTTTCGCTCACCGCGCTTTCTCCTGCATGCGTTCATGGGAGCACCTGCGGGTTGCGCCCAGCCTCTTCCCACGGGGAGGGGGGAGTATCGAGCCAACGTATACTCATGTAGCGCCCCTTGCTCCTCGATGTCCGCCGCCGAACAAACCCGCTCAGGTGACCCCAGTAAGTCTGGCCGAACCGATTGCCACCATCATGCCAACCAGCCGTCGTCCTCGCTTCATCCCTGGCCGCTGCGTCGCATCCGCGGTCCACGCGTAAAGCCTCCCATGCTGCAGCTGATCTTTACTGGGAAGAGGACGGTAGCTCCCCGCCCTTTTATGACGTGTTCGGTTAAGGCAAGCTGTCAGAATACTCAGGAGTCATGTCATGACAGGCCTTGTCAACCACAGCACGCTGCCGGATAAGGGCCTAGGTAGTACTATACTACCCCTCGCAGGGAGGATCTCGGGAGGCTAGAAGGATGGCCCATGGCCAAAAATCACTGTTGTTAGTCGGGAAAGTTCTGTCACACCCAGGCGGTACAGTTGAAATCGTGTTCCGCGGCGCATAGTTCAGTAAGATCTTCGGAATGACGGCGGTACGTTATCTTACGAGATAGCGGAATCCACAAGTTTTTGCACCTGACTAAATTGTTCTCACAGATGTTCGACGTCTCAAAGCGGGCATCGCAGACTTTCAAGATTGTATTCAATGGTTCGAGTCTATCCTTTTTGCGATATGCACGAATATATGATTATTGGGCTCTGAGTTGATTCCGATAATTGAGTCAAAGTCACATCCTCGATCATATAGCCTGATTGACATTCCTGCAACCTCTACATCCTGCAAAGCAACTGCATCGCAGTGCGACATTTCCAATTTTCAAGACGGTCGCAACATCAGTCCATGCTACGAACGCATCTATAACGCGGCGCATTCTCAGACGGGACTCGTCAGGTGCAAGTCTGTGAAGACGCTGGAAGACTTTCTTCGTCAAAAGATTCAAATCCGGTTCTTCCCCGCTTGCTGTCACCCACAAGGACAGTGAGTCCGAGGAATTGTACAAACCAAAATCAGCGAAAAGTCTGAAAGGAGGTTCTTGGGCCACAAGTCGATGCATTTTTTGATGTTGCTACATCATTTCGGTGCCATGTGGACACCACAGAACATCATTTATATGGGCCGCGTCGCACTATCTTGCTCTTATGCCGTATTGCTGTCGGATTCGCCCTCGGCTAAGGAGAGTCACACTTTGCCGGGTGCGCGGGGCGGGGAAATTCCGCTCCGTGGGTCTGGACGCTTTCTGACCGCTCGGTTCGTTCTATTCGAAGAACCCGCAGATGCGGACGCGAGCACGATGGCACTGATGTCTCACGCGAACAAAATTCTTGCGGCAGACGCAGACGCTGAGTCATGAAGGAGAGTCGCAATGATACATTTTACGGTGTCTCGTATAGCGATACTTACGGATACGTATTGCTTCCGTGCCGTCGGACCGTATTGGAGATCGGGTTCGGAGATGGTTTGATGCGCGTCGATTGCTGTTTCACGACTCATCCGGCAACTTGGGATTCACTCGCCACACGATCCTGCGGTGAGCATCTATTGACAAGCGTAGATACCTAGAATGAGCATTTATTGTCTCATCATGTGAATTTAATTCTGTCCCAGCCTATTTCCCGCCCTAACTCACTAAGCAAATCATGAAGGTCGCTGCTGGATCTCTCTCCGCGCTGGACAAGTCCTGACCGTCTATCGCTTAACGAGAGGCGCCTCGGGTGGCACTAAGCACCGGTATGCATGACACTTATCTATGAACGGCTAAGAGCATCTAAACTGAGTTTTGTCTATGTGCCGATAGGTATCCAAGATGTTCCGAGCGCGCAGCCCAGTCTATGTTACCCCGTGCCGCCGCATGCATTCCCTCTCAGGTACGGCATGGCCTATCCCATGGCATGATTCGGCGTGTTTCACAGAGAAGTCAGCTGCGACATCATTTGACACTGTCCGTGCTCATTATACCTGCGGTTTTATGTGGATTGATTTGATCAGCAAGCTATGCTCAGTTTCTACAACGACAATTACTCACGAGAGGAAACTTTGACGTTGTGCAAATCAACTTGATATCTATTCTGATGCTGGTAACAGTCGCCTTTTGTTACATATTCTAGTCGGCATCTGACTTATACCTTGGTCATATGTGATTGCGATTCGGTTCCTTGGTAACCGATGTGACCACGGACATCTCCTGGACACACCGAAATTATGGCGTGCATAGCGCCCTGCTTTGTGTCGCTTATATGTTGACGTTGCGACGGCTGCAGGGCTATACACTCACTCTGGCTGTTGCAGCAATTGCGATAAAGCAGCAGGTGAATCAATCACTGACATTGCGACACACACTTCACATACCTTTCATCGGAAGGAGATACACAACGAATACTACGAAGAGCTGCTGGTGCTGTGCTAGTTGTTCGACTGTCATGTTTGCATTACAGATAATCCGACGACAAGTCCCTTCCTGGGAGAAATATGGAACGGTCGCACCTTTCGAAGCTGTTGTAACATTGAGAAGACTTTGTTACTCAAGTGAAGAGTTCAGACGACATATTTCAATTTCTGAACGCGAAACAACGGCCCATATCCGACTGAAACACCCTCCATAATCGGTTCATCCATGCTCTGGCTTTCATCCCTAGCACCCTGCCGAGACTATCTAACTTTCTCTACAGCCTAACAGTGTGTGAGTCAACATACAGAACGCCAAGTCATGCGCAACGTTACCTAGAGCGGGAGATTGTAGCAAGAGTCATGGTAGTTCTGGCGGTTCTCGCTCGGGTCGACGCAGCAAGCGCTGAACGAAGTGTAGTCACTTCCGACATCGCAGTAGACGGGTCCTTCCCATATGCCACCGGTCCTGGCGCAGCAACTCTCGGAAACACTATTAGCAGATCCTCCATCGGGGTAGATGCAGTAGCACTCGTAGGCGAGCGCGTTCTGTGCTACGAGCACGAGCACGAGCGCGGTGCGTACGAATGCCGAAAACGTAGTCATGGCGTTCAAATTCTTGCTGTCTGAATGATCAGTGAGCTAGATGTCGCAGAATGAGAGACGATAGCTGGACTGACTTGTGAGTGATGAGATACTTGTCGATTGGGGACTGGAGGGAGGTTATCGCAAGTCGAGCCTTTATATGATTTTCGGGTCTTTGGCCTGCATTAGCCCCCTGAAACCCATTGTTCACGATGGAGCATTGCGACTTTGTGATCGCTCGACTCGGATGGTGCATGTCCTGGCCATATTTCGCCCACGTGCCGCTTGGAACCCGATGAAAGCTCCGCTCGACGTGTTTCATTCCAGGCACGGTGCTCTTCCCTACAATGCGATCATCGGCCTTGACTCAAAAAGGGCATGGAAAGATGGATATGAATGAATGTCGAGACTTCTCCCGCACTCGCGTCTCGTTTGGCGACGTCCATACTTCGTCTTCCTCCTTTGTGCTGCTATCTTGCTCGAAAAGTGAGCATGTCGTAGGTTGAGGGTGTAAGCCACTAACCCTGCACGATAAGGATGAGTTCGACACCTATTAGTGCATCATGCAATGGAAAAGAAGCGAGCCCATCGAAATCAGGCAGCTGGTACGGTCCCAAAATTGCTGCAACCATTATTCTGCCGTAACCATGTCCCTCGAATTTTCTGTGAACGGCTTTTGGTCATTCCATTGTACTATCAAACGCTGCCTGTTAGTGCTGGAGTACCACGACCCTGCATGCCGTCACCGTGAGTTCACCGTGAAAAGCGCGAGCGCTGATGATAGCGCCAATCAGATTAGCCGACCACTCGGAATCTTTCGAGTTCACGCACGTTGGACACCATGCCATCGCAGGTCTGCCGACCCCGAGGAACTCATCGGAAGCGAATGGCATGGGATAGGCGCCAGGAAGCTAAGCCGTGATGTTTCTGTCAAGCAAATCATTGTTGACACGACATGGCATCGCTCAACAGCTCTTCAAGGTCCACGGCCTGCAAAAAATTAGCAAAGGGACTTTTCGACGAAAACCGACGTGGTGGTCATGGACCGCCTTACTCATTATAGAGTGATTCACTGTGTCCTATTCATCATCATTTTTTTGAGTGCAGAAAGAGTGATTTGCAAACTGTCGGCGCCTATCATATCATTTATCAAATTGCAGGTTGCTGGCGCTAGTCTTGGTCCGGTTTGCATAATTCTGTTCTATCCTGTAGACAAGACCGATGACAGCTCTTGGAACCTACGAGCCCATGATCACGGCCAGGCTCAAAGACCGACTCCCTCTCCCAAGCACGATCACTTACTAGGAAGCAAGTTCTCGACCCCGAAGCTTGCTTCTTGTCCGTCAGAAGAGAAGATACGCCAGACTCCATAGATTGACAAAAATATGACTCTGAAAATTCCAAAATGCTCGTTCTGTCTCCATGCGGTCGTCGATGGATGCTGAAGACATGAATGATTGGAAGCTGTTCTCATTTTGTTCATATCCGCGAGCTGGCAGGTGCATGGTAGCCCTTTCAGAGACCGCATGACCTTGTACCCCAATTCATGCCCGTATGTCCTCAACTCATGTCCAGCATCAAGGCAGAATACTAACGCCTCACATGAGAACATCCGAAAGGCACACCTGGTGGTGCCCACAATGGTGTGCGACGAGCTTCTTAGTGTGCATATAAATGCCCATTGTCGGGGACCTATTGCATCTACCCGTATACGCTTTTGCTGTACTAGTCAATTTAGATGTTCTCTGCGACAAATGCCCACGACGTGCCTCTGCTCGGAAGAAAGGTACTCTCGACCGTGTTTTCGTCGGCAAGCCTCCTGCGAAGTGTTCTTCACGGTGACCAACGGTGTCTTGAATATGCATCGTGACAGCTGACTCGAAGCTGAGGCCGAGTATGATGACCCTTATTGTACGGTGGGCCCGATAAAAGGGAGAAAGCGACATATTCAAATGGAGGTTTCCAATTGCATCGTTACCCGAGGTACCTTTTCGTTTGTCCGTGACAATCTGCCGTGCTCTGGACCGCGAGATTGCAAGTTCAAGACCGACTGGCGATTTATTGTAAACAAGCTTCTATTTTTCTGGATTCCGGCTCGATTGAATCTCCTCCATCTCCGCGACTTTCGCTTCCTCTTTTCGCTGTGATATCCGATCACTTTTTTTTCACTCTCCGCGCTATTTCTGGAGCGCCTGCCTGAGGGGGTAACTGTGGATGACGCCCAGCCTTTTTTCACGGTGGATGTCGAGCCAACATGTTCCAAACAAGCATACTGAGGTCCGAGGAGGCACAAGTCCGAAATGTGGCCGAATCCATGACCCGCCATCCTGTTTACCCCCCTTCGTCCTCGCTTGCATCTCTGGTGCCCTTCGTCGCGTCCGCGGTCCGCACGTGAAGCCTCCCATGCCGCAGCTGATCTCTACTAGGAAGAGACCTGGTAGCTTCCCTTCTTCATTACGCGCTCGGTCCAGGAGAGCTGTCAGAAACATCAGGAGTCATGGCATTCCTTGTCGACCACAGCACGCTTCTGGACAAGACCCACAAGAGGCTAGTACTGTCCCTGCAGGGGAGATCTCTGGAGGCTAGAAGAATGAACAATATCACCCTTATCAGTCAGGTACGATCTGTCATGACCAGGAGATGCATTTGAACCCGTGTTACGCGGCGCATAGTCCAAAGAGCTTTCCGGAACGACGGCGGTACGTTATCCTACGAGAGGGCGCAATCCACGATCTTTGGCACCAGACCCCAATGTCCATACATCTGATCAACGCGTCAAAACCAGTGCCGCAGACTTCCAAAGCTTTGTTCAAAGGTCCGCGCCTATTCTCCTTGTGATGCCCATGGACATGTCACATTGGGCTCTGTTTTGATTTTGATAATCAAGTTAGACTCATGATCATGACCTCGATTATATAGCCTGATTTACATGCCTGCAACCTTCATGTCCTGAAGAACATCTGTATCATAGTCCGACATTGCCAAGTTTCAGGAGGTCGCAACATCAACGTTAACTCATGCTGCGAACGCGTCTATGGCGCGGCGAATCCTCGGATCCGCCGCGTCGCGTGAAAGTCTTCGAAGGCTCTGGAAGATAGCATCAGGAAAACTCAAATCGACTTGTGGCTCGAGAACGTTCTTTTTGACTTGTTCTTGCTGGTATTGGCCTGTGCAAGCGGATAAGTTCACGATAAGAAGCTTCCAAACCAGAAAAAAGGTTCAAAACAAGAAGGTCCTGAGGCTTTCTCGAGCTTACTGTCCTTTTTGGTGACCGCAAGCGGATAAAAGTGTCCTAAGCCGGATTTGATTTTTCCTGATGCTAGAGACCTGCCATATTTCTGCGCCATGTGGACACCGCAGAACATCATTTGTATGGGCCGCACCGCGCTATATCGACTGCCTGCGATGATGCCGTACGGCCGTCAGTCTCGTGGATGATGGGTAGCCTAGTCGAAAACTATCATCTGACGATAGTCGCACACAGCGGTACCGAGTGCTGAGATTATGAACTTGAAATTTGTGCTGACTCTCCCATCAAAGTCGCCCCGTCTTTCTCACTGCCTCTATGCGACTGCCGTCATGGCCTCAAATTCCGCATCCCTACCTCACCAACCTTCGAATGGCTCAGGGGATATGCTACGAATCCCCAAGAAAGAAGGGACAGTCAAGGACATATCCGATAAGCCTATGGATGAGCCCGAGGAGCTGCCGCCGCGTTTTGCTGCGTTGAAAAGAGACATCTGTACGAATCCGGCAGCAATGGAGAAGACATGGCGCAGTGTGTTGAAGGAGCTCGAGGGCGCCGTTGCGGAGATCGAGCAGAAAGGAGCAGATGTTGGTATATTCCAGAGCAGTCTGTTTCTGGGGTTGATTCACAGCGCTTCGCGCGGCAGGTCATCCCACAGGTCGCCTACTCGGACATTGTACGTGGCCTGTCCGATGAGCAAATCAAGGACATCAAGCACCGCGGCGTGGTAATTGTCAAGGGCGGAGTTCCTTGCGATGTGCGTTTCAGGCCGCGCGGCATTCACTGCCATGTAATTTCTGACAGCTTCGGAATCTAGGAGGCATTAGTGTGGAAGGAGTCTATCACAGATTACATCGCGAGGAACAAGGAGCACGTCACAGGTAGGCCCTTGGACAAGCCGATCCGCACGTGCAGTCACGAAAATTGCGCGATTATGGCACACAGGTACTCCCCCCGAAAAGATAGTCTTTTACGAGCTGTACAACTCGCTCGCACAAGTCCGCGCACGGACGCATCCCGCGCTGCTCGGCACGCAGAAAGCGCTCCTTTCCCTCTGGCACGCTTCTCCGCCTCCCATCCCCTCGCTCGCACATACCGTCAGCCTTCGCACGCCAATCTCGTACTTCGACCGTCTGCGTATGCGACCGCCAGGCCCGTCCGTGTTCACGCTCGGCCCGCACATCGACGGGGGCGGGATCGAGCGCTGGGAAGACCCGGGCTTCCGCGCGTGTTTTCGCGCGATACTCGCAGACGCAGACGGCGAAGGATGGCGCACGCACGATCCGTTTGACGCGAGCCCACGGCTGGGTGCGCGACAGGACCTGTACAACGCTGCGTGAGTGCCTGCCTACAACCTCGGCACAGTCCCGTCGCTTGTGTCTGACATGCCCGCGCAGGAATCAATGCACCGTCTTCCGTCCCTGGCAGGGCTGGACGGCGCTCTCGACCGCATCGCAGAACGAGGGCACGTTGCGGGTGCTTCCGTTGCTCTCGCTGGCGACCGCGTACATCATGCTCCGGCCGTTCTTCCGCCCAGCCACTTCCTCGGCGGATGAATGGGAGCTCGACCTAACGAGCAGCGCGTTCCCTGGCAGCCGCCCGGGAAGAACGCAGTATCTGAGCGGCGTGACGCACCCACATCTGAAGCTTGCGAAGACGATCGTGAGCATCCCAAAGGTTGAACCCGGAGATCAAGTCTACTGTGCGTTCGCCGGGCACGCGAATCGGGAGGACTGCTGATGCATTTTACCAGGGCACTGCGACCTTGTTCACGCAGTTGAGAACGAGCACAACGGCAGGGAGGATTCTTCCGTGATATACATACCTGCCACACCTCTCACAGAGTACAAGTGAGTCTTCCGCCTTCCTCATCAGGATCGTTGGGTAGATTAGTTGAGCGCAACGGTTTCACAGCGCCAGATACCTCCGCACTCAACGTGAGACTTTCCTCGCTGGCCTTCCCGCCCCGTGAGTCGGACCTCGCTTCATTAAACCCTCTTTCATCTCTTACTCAAGCTGGTTCATTCATACCCATAGGGATTTCCCCATCGGCGAAGGCGAGTCGCGCTTTGTCGGGCGCGCGGGGACGGGGGACGTCCGCTCCATGGGTCTGGATGCCCGCCGAGTGCTTGGCTTCGCCCCATTCGAAGTACCCACAGATGCAGACGCGAGCGAGACGGCACTGATAGAGCGCGCGAACGAAATTCTTGCGGCCGACGCGGACGCCGCGAAATGAAGGCCAGATCTGTGGCATCGGGATCGTGTGAAGAGCAGAATAGTCGTGACGATGCATTTCACTGTGTCTCGTGTAGCGATACCTATCGATACATTCTTACTCGCAGGTTGTGATGGCTGAAGAACGATGGCTCAATTACTCGCCGGTAATCTCAACTTCCATTCTTGCTTGCCCACCTCCGGTTTGGCAACTTTTTCAAGCGGGTCGACGTGCCTCTGCTTTTCGTACTCTTGCATCCGCGCTGCCCAGCTGTCCTCGGTCTCGCCCTCGGCGCCAGATGCCTTTGTCCATACCTCATCTAGTGCAGCTCGAAGCGCGCACTCAAACTCGCTCAGCTCGTCCTGCAACGCCCGGCCCTCAGCCCGATGTTCCTCTGTGAACTGCAATAGATGAGGGATGATGTTCGCCGCGTCAGCTGGCGATGGATGGATTATTAGTACAGGCACAACGGACAACACGCATGAGTCAAGGGCACCTTGCGTGGTGTTGAACCGCCCCACAAGTTTAGTGACGGACTTGAGCAAATATTCCTCTTCGTCCACTGTGCCTTTCCGTCCTGAACCAACCTTTCGCTCGAGCTTCCTCTTCGACCGTGAGCTTCGTCTAGGGAATTGTCAAATTCAATATTTCTGACACATATCGGGAAGACTGATACTGACTTCGAAGACGTGCGAGAAACGCTACTCGGTGCTTGCGTGTATCGCGTAAACGCGGTCGGCGCCATCGATACGTCCGTCATGACATCCACATTGTGCAGATCTATATCTTCGACACCATAGAATGCGTCTGAGAGGTAATCAATCAGCTCATGCACGATCGAAAATGTGGTCTACTGGACGCACCCGGCTCTTCTGTCTTTTTAATACGGAGTTCGCGTATACGTTGCACCTGTTTTCGTAGCTGGTCTTTCATCTCGTTCAGATCTTCAGTGATCTGCGCCCTGCAATCAAGGATTCCCGGATAGATGATCTCTTCAAGGAGTTCCGGTCGAGAACTCAGTACGAGCTGAGGATTTGATGAGATCTTTCTTTACAGCAACAACCACCATTGAACTCACAATACGACGAGCATCGGAGAAGTAGCTCCCCTCCACGAGAGCCTTAATAGCCTCTTTTGTGTCATGAGCGTAGTCCAGCAGTACTCGTGCTGCATCAGAGTATCGTTTCTTTGAGGACAGATCCTCTGCAACGCGATACGCCAGCTCAGAAATGCCTTCCTTTGAGATTTTCTCCTGCAATGCCAGCTCAAATAGGTCTTGCCAATCGAGCGACTTCTCATAGGCGATCATGGCCTTCTCATTCCGACCGGATTGCCGGAATACTGAAATAATGTGTCAGCCACTATCTCGGACAAGAGAACATTGTCCCATACCGAAAGCCGCTTCTTTGAACTCTCTGCGTTCAAAGAGCCATTCGCCGTAGACACTAAGAACATCCTGTAAAGGATGAGTGAGCTTACTGCTCACTCCTATCATGAAGCAGTGATATACCTGGTACCGATCTGTATCTCGCCAGATAGCTAATGCATCTTCGTATAGCTTGTGTTTCTCGACATATTGCATTGCTTCGTCAAACCGTTCCGAGCCTGTTTCCTGATTAATTATACACCAAGAAACACGGATGATCGTCGATCCGTACCTGCTCGACTGAGATTTCGCAACGCCTTGCTGTGCCGCTTCAGGTGATCGTCTATCCGGAACCTCTGATAGAAATGATCGAGGGCACGCAGCTCACGAAGGAAAGGAAGATACTCTCGAGGATCCTATGTGATGCATGAGACGGCGCTTACAGCGAGAGCAACAAGGCGACTCACCTTTTGCGCGTGCTGTGCAATCATGAGCACCAGTGAGAAGTCGTACATGCCGAGAGCAGTGTCAAAAAGTCTATCAGCATCTACAAGGAAGATGATATATTTGACGGCATCCTCCACAAGTTGCGGCTCGCTATCTGCATACAAGAAATCGATGAGCAATGATACTGTCGCGAACTCATCATCTCTTCCGCGTACCTCGCAAGCGCAGAAGAAGCGATAACGCTGCTTCGTGGTCAGGCGGTCTCTTGACCACGTCAGCGGTGAGAATAGAGCTGATGTATTTCTTCATATCTCTCTTTTCCAGGACAGCGCGAATGCCATCGCACAATTCCCCAATCAGATCGGTAGGCAAAGAACCTTGACTGAGACTCCGTGAGGCTCCAGTACCACATAACAACCTGAATTCACTGACCCGAGGCTTGTCAAAAAAAGGTTTATATAGTCGACGTCGTCCACCTGTTCGACAAAGGACTCAAGGTGGATTTTGAATGCATCGCGATTATGATCAACGATAACGTTCAGGTCAATCCGATGCTTGCGGCATGCTAGGAATGCCTTGCCGTATCGATGCCTATTGGAGGAAAACCAGTCAGGCGAATGACGCATCGCACATGATGTTTGCTCACTGATCGATGTCTTGTCGTACGATCTCCATAACAAGCGGCCGTGGATTAACCGTCTCCAAGTTCCCGCGAGGCATCTGGAGCACTAAGCTCATCGTGCTGGGCACAGCAGTGACAATCCTCGAACCTCGTTCCACTCTCCTCTTTTCCCACTCTGGCAGCGACGCAGCGCCCGAATCGTCGGACGACGGACGGCATAGCGGGACGAGTTCACGAAGAGGTGCAAACTGCGCGACATGGGCAGTACTGGTGAATATCAAAAAGCCCGAGGCAACGGTGAAGGACGTGGCATTCGAGGCCAAGCCGCGTGCAGTACCTCCTTCCGTGACGACGCTCAGCTTGCCATTATTAGTCAGGCCGATGAACAGCACTGAGCTACTAGCTTGGTCCTTGCTCAATGCTCCCATATCCGGGACAAGAACCTGCATTGCAGTGAAACAGAACTCTGGGAAGGATGCCACAGGCGAGGGTGACTGTGCCTCAAGATCAACTGGCTCAACCGTCAGGCTCTCCTCACTTAGAGATCAATGTATATCTGACGTACCGTAGAAAAGGTCGCCGCTTGGTGACTGCCATACAACCCCTTCTTCCGCATTGATTAACCTGCCGTTGCGATCCGGCATTGCAATCTCTACCTTGTCCACAGCAGTGCCACCTTGGACTGTGGCCATATAGATACCATCAGGTCCATCCTCACTCAAGTACGATGTCAGCACAGCGAGATGAACCACTTCATCCTGACCCTCTGTCGGAGCGACCTCGTTCCGAGCACGCCAAATGAACACCTGACGAGAGGGCCTGGCAACTGCTCCCATATCCTTATTGACCAGGATACCTCCCCATAGATGGGTCGGATCCATGACTTTGCCACAGCCGGGCCCGATGCGAGTGCGCAAGTCCACGAGCTCGACGTGACCAGACTCCCAGAGAATAGCGAGTAGGTCTCGCATAGGAGAGAACGAGGCGTGGATAGGTGCTGGCAGGCGTCTCATGCCGGACGAAAGAGATAGTCCCGGCAGCGTTGACAAGGTAAGTGCGCAGGACGACATAGGAGGAGGGACGTTCTGACTCCGGAAAGCTGTTAGTAGGATGCTGGCTGCAGATGACATCACAAGTTGAGCATCTGAACCAGATTATAGAGGGAATCACACACCTCCATCTGAAACAGCGACTGATCCAGTGTCTTTTGGGGGACTTGCGGCTGACGAATATATCTCCCATGCGTACGTACGCTGAAAGACTTCTGCTGAGGTGAGCATCAGTTAATTCAGTCTGAACGCGACAATCCCTGTCGAGAGACGTACAAGACGTCGTCAAGATGATCTTCAAGGGGTCTTCAGGATGCCATCTGATGGACGTAAACCGTCCATGTTCACCAGATGAAGTGGAAGGGGCTGGAATCTCTTGCTTGAGATACCTATCTTACCCCATTGTCAACCAAACTAGGTGGACTGGGGCGGAATGTGAAGGGACTACAGTGCATACTCACCAATGATAGTTGCCAATTGTCCACAGTTGCACTGTAAACATACGTGTGAGACCGATTTACGGCAATAGGAACACCACACGATAGTGAAGCCACGCACCAACATCGCCTTCTTCACCTTCGATCCACACGCTCAGCACGTTTGAATCTGCGCTCCACCCTACCTCCTTGACCCTGTAACCCCATCTCCCGACCAAGCCAATCTCCGAGTCAAATGGCCCGTTCAGCCTCGCTTCCGTCTCGCGCAAGCTGAACTCGCCGTGTCTCAAGCCATTCCTCTCGAAAAACACCACGTCATGCCGTCCTTCACGTCCTTTTGCTAGCCCGTCGACCGAACCAAAGCGCTGCGTGCCGACCATGAGGTTTCCCGAGGGTCGCCATGAAAGCGTATGTTCTAACCCTGCAATGGGTTCAGCGGTACTAGAGAGGGTCCCTTCGCGGCTGTAAATGCGGAGGATGCGGCGCTGACACGTGTTTTCTCCCTATCGCGAAAAGCCACGTTCAGACGTTCGCAAGTGGAAAGGAAGGAATTTAAAGACTAGGTAGTTTGACAATGTACGCACCAAGGGCGGTAACACAGTTGATACCACGAAGAATGCTCCGTCTCCTCGCCAACTAATACGTGGCTTATGGTCGTCATCCGGACTCATTCCGACGGTGGACACGTCAAGCCCGGCATGAGCTGCACTTTTCCCCAACGAACCGTGGAATTGGGTATGCTTCGCGCCCCAACCCAGCGTAATAGGAGCATCTGCGGCATATTGTATGCAGCGGTATGCGCAGAAGTCTAATAGGGCAGCGTACCTTCTCCGAATTCGGGTGGATGAAGCGGTCCCTCGCAAAGCAAGTCAAACATCGCACTCATCAAGATCAACTTATCGTCTCCTGTGCACAGAACAGGATATGGATGAAGCTCAGACATTCGCGTTACATGGCGACGCATACAGTCACTGACCGGTCACTAAAACCAAGAGCGAATCATCGGGCCCCCATTCTGCGGCCAGTATCCCAGCATCAACTGATCCGACAACATCAAACTGCACAATATCAAATGATCAGACAGAGATGGCGCGGAGCTTCCACGGCCAGTCAATGCAATGTACCAACCTGTGGCTCGACGTCGTCCACTTGTAGCGTTGCAATGTCGCCAGTGTGAGTGATCAGCACAAGCGTGCGTGAGTCTGGGAGCAATCGCAGGCTTGTGACTTCAGGTGCACTGTCAGTCGCCTGTGTAGGTGTGCCAGACCAGGGATTTGACACAATTGCGGTCGGTGAGAATACGGCGAGACGTGCCGTAGCCTGGCAAATAATTGTAATAGAGTTTGAGTCATTATCATTCAGCATACCTGACTGTTCTCAACGGCTATAGATCCTACTCTCCAGATTTCTATGTCAGCGTTTGCAGCTCCCCTTCTCGACTCGGACGCGATATAAATGGCATCTTGATCGGGACCAACAGCGACCGTGCTGATACTATGGTCTTGAGGAGGAGAATCGAAGCCAAGTGGCGGACGGAGCGATGAATGATTTGACCGCCAAAGCGACAAGTTGCGCATGATGAGTAAATCCCTACAGCGAAGATCACATATATTTGAAAGAGATATCGAGTCCCTGTCTTCTAGGAAGCAGCAATGGCCGTCCGAGTAGATCGCAAGTTCAAGTTCAACTGGATTCAAGCCAGATTCCAATCCAAGCACAGATTGGAAAGAGGATCCGCGCGAAGAGTGAATAGCAACTGCCCGTTTTAAAGCTTATATATAGCTCCAGAATACGACAGAGTTTTCAGGATACGAGGCAATGGGAGAGGGTAGAGGGAGGGAAACCATTCATTCACCCAGCTTAGCGTGACATAACCTACGTGATTGCACACGTGACACAACGTGACGGGTCGGAGCGCATCACAGCTCGGTTCCTTCGCAAACTAATGCCCTGGTGTAGGTGAGGATTGAGTCATGCAAATTCAGTACTCAGTGCTCATGGAATAGCTGTAGTTTCTCTCATCGTCAAGACGTATGACGTATATCGCTATTCGCTGCAGCTGATATGTCGGATGAGTCAAACTCTTGACAGCATGTATCCGTGGTCCGGCACATTATGGACGTCCGCTAACTCCATCGCGAAGAGTCTGCCCGGTGCCGAGGATGGAACGCTGGTAGTCGTGTGTAATTCACATCAATGTGTTTGAACTACATGACCGCCATTACCAATGATGTGGTTGCGAAGCTCTGCCTATCAAACCCTAGTACAACCTCAAGCCCTCGAAGTGACCCTCGAGTCTATCCTGGGCCCTCTTTTCCTATACAACGCTGGCCATTCGCATTATTGTATCCTGTTGAAACCGACGACATTTCATCAGCATTGGCATTCTTGGCATTCCATGTCAGAGTCTGATTTGACAGAGATGAAAGCTGTGTGGAGTGTTGAGACCACACGAAGGTGGCCATTCTCATGCGTTATCATACAACCTTCCTTGATTCCCAGGCAAGCATCTCCCCAGCCTTCGAATGGCACTTTGCAGCCATGCCGTTCCCACTCACGTCACCACATTCCCAACCCGACAAATAGTACACAACCGGGGACGATGATGCTTCCTTAATCGAAGAGGAGTGGCTTACCGAACTCTATGAATTTTGTGCTTATCTTATATCTTGCCAACACGACATCCCGTGCGGTTGCCGATGCAATTGGGAGAAGACTATTGAACAGCCATGGAAGGGCCCTTTAATCGGTCCGTAATGACCCCAAAGAGTTTAAGGTTTTGTGATGCGGTTTTGAATAGTCAACATTCTTATGCTTTGACACACGCTATCTGCAGGTTCCTCAAAAAGCTCTCTCAATGAAACAATGTGCGGCTCAAAGACGTGGTCGTGAATGACACTTAACACACTACGTCGTTTTTATAAATCTTTGGCGTGGAAGTGCGTTGCTTGTGCGGGTCAGTCCAAATGATGACATCTTACCGCATTACGAACGAGCGTCCTGATGTTGAGACACTATCTTACCCCGTAAAGAGTCCATGAGCCACCTTCATAGACCCTGGTGTGGTTCATGACAACGTGGTGGATGGCGAAGGCGCCATTCTCTTCAGGACCCCTGGACAGAACGTTACGATTTTCCGTACGCTTGCAATCCTTAGGCCTCTCTTCAAGCACTCGGCGTGGCGCTAAGAGATTGTCGTATTCACGTCGATGGCTGACTCGCTACTTCGCCTTCATCTGTGGGCGTATGTTTGGCATCGATTGGGTTGCCGTTTATCTTCTAAGCTTTAACGTAAACATTCAACAGATAGACTTCAGCATGGGTACCGGTGGAGCCGTGAAAACGGTGAGTATCGAATGCTCTGAGGGCGCCAGTCGATGTTTCATGAGTTGATATTTAATCACGACGTCCTGCTCACACCTTACCTGAAAGGATGAAGCTTCAGTACATAGGCGGAATAGCGTGTGTGGTCTTCGAGCCGGGCGTTATTGTACCAACCGCAACCTCCGATCAGGCTTCGCTCGGATGTTTGTCCCATCCGATTGCCATAGGAATGTCCTAGGAGAAATTTCCCTACACTGCTTCAATTTCAAATGCCGGACAATGCTCGAATTGTCTGAGTAATGCTACTGTATACGAGCCCCTCTTGAGGCCCGTTCATCGCAAACTCTCCTCTCCATCCATATCATCCCGGGACATTCAGATGTATAGCGAAGTACAGTTGAACAACAAATTGGCACACAACCGTCGTCCGATGGCGGCAAGCTATCATCTCTTTACCAGCCCATACCAGCTGATTCGGGTTCTTCATAGGTAATGACGAGTGCCGTGAATCAGCAGCACGATATGGTGCACGCTGTTGAAGGCCAACAGAACGCGAATGCAGAAGAGCACTCGCCCGGCACCGAAAACCTCAACGGCACCGTGGTGGCTGAGACAGCCGTGTCCCTGACACACTCGAATGTCGAACAGACAGAGACGTGAGTACCGCACTGTTTTCTATCCCGAGTTCTGCTTCATGGCCAAACATTGCAGACACACGTTGTCACGAATTTTTGCTCTGCTCGTCACAATCAACGCTTATCCAAAGCATAGCCTGAGCGGTTGCATCAACGATGGTGAGGCGGTACGCACATACCTGGAGACGATACACCACGTTCCTTCGGCGCATATCATGTCTCTCAAGGATGAGCAAGCAACCCGCGACGGCATAGAGAAGGTTTTCAAATCACATCTCATCAATAATACCAGCATCAAGAAGAATGACCTGGTGGTCTTTTTCTTTGCTGGACACGGGGTGAAGGAATACACTGACGAGAGGTGGCCTCGTCAGTATAGAGGCAAGATGGAATGCATCTGCCCTCAAGACGTGGATTATAACCGTGTTCACGGAATACCATCCATCCAACTGAACGCATGGTTTGCAGAACTGGCTTCTGTGAAAGGTGATAACATTGTACGTACCTCTACAGCAATTGAGCCTATCTAACAAGTGACATATGACTGCATTGCCTCTCCAGGTCGCCATTTTTGACTGTTGTCACTCCGGCGACATGTCTCGCGACGATTTTCAATATCGAGAATACGAATTAGAGACGAAGACTTATATTCCAATATATCCTGACGCTCTCATCGACATCAATAAATGGTTTTCCGCGTCCCTCTCCTCGTCCCATTTGCGGGGGGCGAGACAAGTTCTGCCCAATTGCTTTCGGTATGATGGATTGGCATCGCACGTGCTTCTCAGTGCTTGCAGACCCGAGGAGAAGGCGAGAGAAGCACAGTACCGCGGCGCGTTCACAAAAGCTCTTCTCAATAGACTGTACGAAATTGCACAGGGAGAGGGGGAGCCCACCACATACATATCGCTGGTTGCTACTCTACCGACGCCATCGCAGACACAGAACCCACAATGCGGAGGAACCAACGCGGGTCGTCTATTGTGGGTCAATGAGACCCCCTTTGATGTCGATGTCGGCTTCAAGGTAACTGTGACACAGAGCAAGCTCTCTGTCGCTGCAGGGTCCTTAGTCGGTGTCGAAAAAGGCATGAAGTTCGATGTTCAAGTTGCTAGAGAGCCCTCGGAGATGCTTCATGGCTTCACAATTACTACAGTCGGCCCAGCGAGTTCCTCATTCAAAGTCGACACCGCGAAATACACCCTCCCCGAGCTCGAGAAGAAAATAACAATCTTATCTCGAGCAATATTCCCAGACCTTGTGACGATGCGGTTCACATATTATCTAGCAAGGCAGACCTTGCAACTCCCCTCCTCGGCTCCTGAATGTGCCACGCTGCAGAATCGGGACGAGGCTGACATTCAAATCATCGACTTAGATGAATCGACAGGACAGTGGATCCTACAGAATCGACAACCTGTTGTCAACAAGTATGCAGCTTCAGCAGCGTCCGTCGAAGCTCCGTTCAACGATATCTGGAAGACTTGTCAACACATTGCACGCTTCAATTTTCACTTGGGTCGGAAATTCAAGACTCCGCTCCAGGGTGTCAAGATTGAGCTTTACATCCTCAAACGAGGGGGGCCAGAGGATGACAGTTTGAGCATTTACGAAGCGGATGAGCAAATCCTACCCGATTCCTCTCGGAAGGACGTTTCGGCCAGCTGTTTGCCTGAATACACAATAAAGTACAACCCGAAATTCGTCTATGGAATCAAGATTGTGAACGACTCGGAATACGATCTATACCCGTATCTGTTCAACTTTGACCCGTATGAATACTCCATTGAGGTCAGCATTGATCATTTGAAATTCCGTCTAACTTATTGCTCTTGTAGAAATGGTACACTCCCGAGCATCAGGACACGCCGCCGCTGAAGAGGAAAGGCTCAATCGCTGTGGGATACGGTGTGCAGGGCGCACGCAAGGTAGTCGCATTTGATCTCGCTGAAGAGAAATCAACGGAGTCGAGCTTCGTGAAGCTCTATTTCTCGACAACATTTGTTCACACGGAAAGTCTAGAGCAAGTTCCACTCAACAAAGAAGCTGCAGAGCGCAAAGCATTTTTAAAGGAGTTGCCGAATGTAGGAATGTGGGACAGTGATACATTTGTTTTCACCGTTACGAAGGAGACTCAAACGAGTGCTCCACGGTGAGATACAAGGATTGGTGAGATCGCTACTCTGATGTGTTTCAATCTATACTCAACCTATCTCTGGATAGGCTTGCCTCGCACACGTTTATGCGAATTGTCCTATGCCCATTGAATGCTGAGGATGACGACGAATATGGAACTATATGCGACTGTATCAGCAATGGTAACGGAATGCGGAGTTAGACGGCGGCGGAGACGAGAATGACGAATGGCGGACTGAGAACTGCGTCCTCGGGTTAGAGCCGCTATCCCCGTAGGCAGTCTAATGTACCTGCCATACAGCAAACTCTCTTTGCACCATAGCACCGCTGAGTTGCTGCGTCAGTTGGGTATCACGACTGAAGAATGTTATTCCAATCACATCCTGTTGTTCGCGCTGGCAAGTATCGTCATATTTCCCGTCCAGCCTATCATTGCACTATTTAGCAAACTTTAGAGTCTCCCCAGCTATGAGGCTCAAGGCGCATTCATCGGACTGGCATTTTCGGGTTTTCCCTGCATGAATTCCTTCCTGAGATCTTCCCTCACTCATCGTGTATGCCGTATGCCGAGCGGTTGATCATCGACGGATCGTTGACCAGACTTACATATCCAACAGGATGGTCGGGATCTTTCCACTGCATTCGAAGTCGGGATGAATGCTACAACAATAAAAAAGAGCTCAGACAATGTCCTGAGAATATTCACACCTTAATCATTCGCGATCTGGCGAGCTCGCGCCTGTCATTGCATTCCGACGACCGAAAGCCGCATCATCTAACCTAAGCCAGCTAGTCATATTGCTACATGATGAACACCAACACGAGAAACATCCAACAAAGAATAAAGCGCATCAAGCACTCGGAGGCATCAAACCTCCACACACACGCACATCAAGCACAATAAAGATATTCAAACGCAAAGAAGAAGAAAACCAGGCAAGACTCGTAACGATTCGTGTCATGTGAGCGCGCATACCCGCACGCGCTCTCGTATCAATCAATCATCACTCATGATAAGTGATGTAGTTCGTGATTTGCTTTTGCTTTTTCGTCACAGCTCGTCCGTGAGCTGAATCTGGAGCGCGCCCCACGTCGTCGCAGCCGCTGGGCAACCGACGCCGGTACCAATCAAGTTCTGCAGCGTCACAAGACACGCGTCGATCCGCGCGAGCTGCGACGCGGTCGAGTTGTCCGTCGGGAATGTGAGCGCGACGCTCGGGTTGTTGAGCACGTGACCTGCGGCGACGTTCGCGGAAAGCTCCTGCAATCCACGACGGCATCAGTAATGAAATCGGCGTGATGAGTGTGCGGAGGACGTACGGCGATGAAAGAATCGCGGCTTGGTGGGCATGAGCAGGGAATGAGGATCGGCTCGCCACTCGCGTCTGTGAAAAGAACAGAGGGAAAGCCATCAGCTTACCAAACAAGCACCGTCATGAAATCTGCTACTTACTGTCTATTCCATCGCAGCTCCCCGACCCGTTCGGATTCGTGTCCGCCGTGACGCCGAAATCCGGCACGAGGCTCTCGTTGCTCGTCACATTCGACGATGTTGCCGTCGCAGTCGCAGACGCTGCCGAGGTCACAGAGACCGAGAACGAAGACGAGACGAGGGCAGACGAGGAGGCGGAATCGGAGACGGTGCGCGAGGCGGCGAGTGTGCTGCTTACCGCATCACTCGTGGCCGAAGCGGCCGAAGCGTCGGTTACGGTCACGGTCACGTAGACGATGGAACAAGAGCCTGTTGACGCATCGCTGGAGGCTGTCGCAGTCGTGTTGGAGCCCGTGAGGGCAGCTGCGGTGGCGCCGACGGAAATCGTGCTGCTAGATGCAGAGTCAATCGCGCTGGAGGACTTGTGGTGGTGATGTGAGCTGGTACTCGACGCCGCCGCCGCGACACTGGAAGTCGCAGCACTCGCTGCAGAAGTCGATACGCTCGTGGCTGTTGCTGTGCTCGCGATCGTGGATGTACCTGTCGCAGTGCTAGCAGCCGAAACGGAGCTTGATGACGACGAGCCCTCTGCTGCGATCTCTTTCTGAAGCGCAACCCAGGTCGTCGCCGATGCGGGGCATCCGACGCCGGTGCCGTTCAGGTTCTGCAGCGTGACGAGGCAAGCGTTGATGCGCGTGATCTGCGACGCAGTGGAATTGTCCTCCGGGAAGGTGATCGAGACGCTCGGGTTGTTGATTACGTATCCAGCGGCAACGTTCTTGTTGAGCTCCTGCGAGAAGGCAAGGTGGTTCGCGATGGGCGATCGAGGAGACTTTGATGTGGAAGCGTACCTCAATGAATGTATCGAGATCCGGCGGACATTGGCATGGAATGAGAATGGGCTCGCCGTTGGTTCCTACAACGCGTGAGTGGCGCGGTCAATGTAATATCGTTCATGCTCACCGTCAATTCCGTCACAGCTCCTGATTGATAAGATATTATTAGAGAGGAAAAAATCGCGCGTTCCGATAGGAAACGCACGCTGAGCCGTTCGCCTTGATTCCAGCAGTCACTCCAAAGTCGGGAACGAGACTGGAGTCGACATCTCTCCTGAGCACCGGGTAGGAAGTCACAGACAGCAGCACAGCCACAACGAGCAACACAATAGATTGGAACATCGTAAGAACCAGATCCAGTCAGGTGTAATGGAAGAGAACGTGTAGCTCGTCGCTTGCGATGAATGAGTGGAGGCCTAAAATCGGATTACGTCTGGCGCTCAAGGAAGGATACGTCCAGCGCAGGCCACTATGAACAGAAAAGAGAGAGGAGGGGAGGAAGAGAGGAGGGGATGGGGGGGGACTGCAGGGCGGGAGTGGAAAGGGACAAACAAGGAGGCATCGCGCTTTATGCCGCTTGAGGGTACACGCTGAAAAACGTGGACAAAAGATAACAGGCGACAATGGGGAAGCCTTGAGCGCCCCGCGCCACGAACGCGTGTTTTACTTTCAAATGATTGGCTTGTGGAAGCCAAGGCACGCGTTTCCATCGCGACGGCGGCCGCGAGTGCGATATATACCCTCTGATTTCCGACATTTTGCAGTAAACACGACTAAATTTCTGGTGCATAGGTCTGAAGGTTATCCAGCGGTTTGGGCAGATGGGTGAGGATACGGAAGGTCTGGACAGATCGTAAGCAATGAGAGAAGACTGGAACGTGCATGCGTAAATCAAGGGGGCATACAGCTGGCGTACGCGAGTTCGATATACGGTCCGGAGGATCACCACGATGTAGCCTCGAGGCTTGGAGTAGAATCGCCAATCGGGAAATGAACCAAGAAACCTGCATTCGTACATAATGCACCTGGCGAGAAAGCTCAGAGCATCAAAAAGACTTCCGTTGTGGGGACTCTGCGGGCTGCGGATGCGTCCATGGAGATGTTGCCAGCTGGTTTGTGGCCAGAACACGTTGCCTGAGAACTCACCGCGTAAAGTTCATCCCAGGGCGCCATTTAAAAGTCATCGATGAGAGCGCATCAAAATCTTAACGCCGATTCGGTCCCTTCAATCTGAAGTCGTGTTGGATTTCCGGGCGGCCTCGAGTAATGACATGCGGCATCGGCGTTGTCCATTGACTTCAACACATAGATTCCGTCGGGTCAAAGATAGCCGACGTTGCTTCTGCTCTCGTAATACAAAGATTTGAAGGGTCATCGACAGATAGAGCCACCGGTGTTCAGTGTAGGCGCCCGATGGACGTGTCGCACATATTCCACTCTATTCCACTTCAAAGCGATAAAGGACGCTGTTCGTCGCATGTGCAGTGACTCGCGGATCCGCCAACGCCGTTCTCTAGCATCCCCTCGCGAAATATACTACACAGACGGATATGCAGTGTTACTTCACTCGTTTGACGGCAGCAAACTCCTTACCGGGACCGTTGGCAATACTCCGTATTTCTGAATACGCCTGAAAGGCGTTTTGGGCCTTCTTGTGGTCCAACTTGACGCTGTGATACTTGGCCCTGTATAAGGTTTGCTGAGCATACCATTGGTCTATTTGCCTCGTAGTTTCACATAAAACAGCAGCTGCATGCGGCTAGGATAACCCAGGTGCTCAGCCTGCTGTGCCGTCTTTGCGATCTCCTCAACCTCTCTCCTCGTACGTGACAGATACAAGAATGGACGCCATCTCCAACGACCTTCCCAATGGTAAATACTCAGCCCAGGTGAGAGCTGTCGTTGTGCATGGTGTTCTCGGATGCTGAGTTAGATCGCGGCTGCAGGGGATCGTAGTACAGCTCTCACCGCGCCACCGATCAACGTCCACGATGTAGGCTCGCCAATAACTGCTCTTTGATCGCTGCTCATATGTTCGACTTTCTTAGACCAATACAGATGTCGCAACGTCGAGTTCTCATAGCCCGCAGATAGAAGAAGTCAATTTGCAGGTGCGTTTTCACAGAAGAAAATACCCATCAGAAATATAATGATATGATGCACAGGATCCCGGAACGGATAAGCAAGCAGGCTTGTTGTCTTCACAAGGACAGCAGAAGAACGACATCGAGCCGGGTGTGCAGTGAGTCTCATCCTCCCATATTGAAGGTATGTTCACATTGGTGAGGTAACAGATCAAATGGACCGTATGGACGCAGTGATGCAACCAAAATCAATACGAAGTGAGATATCGCCTTTTTATATGTTACTAGGATGCATAACTCACACAAAATCGTGTAGCGATTGTCGCACCTTCGCATTGGTTGTCGCAATCGATAAATACGCATCTGTACGTTCATTGAAAGGTTGCAAAAACGATGCCAGAGGTATAGTGGACTATATGCAAAACAAGCTCGCCGCTCGCAAATCGGACATTCACACATTTTACGACGAAAACGCGAGCCGCGAAAACATTCTATCGGCTTTCAGAACGCAGCTTATCGACAACGAAGAGATAAAGTCGGGAGATCTGATGATTTTCTACTTCGCAGGTCATGACACGAGTCAATATGCTCCGAAGGAATGGGAAGTGCAACCCAAAGGCGAGATAGAGCGTATCTGTCCACAGGATATTGATTTCAAGAGCGTCCATGGCATCCCCTCCTTCACTTTAAATGCGCTTCTAACAGAGTTAGCAGACAAAAAGGGCAATAATAGCCTAAGTGAACGCATGTCTATCGTTTTGCTTGTGGTCACAATGAGCACAGGTTGTCATGATTGACTGCTGCTACACGGGAGAAATGGATCGTAATCCCGACGACATGGTGCGAGGTGTCAAGCCTGTCGAGAACGCACGTCTTCCAGGAGGTATTGACCGTGAAGTACGTACTTACGGGCAACCACTCAATGAAACCGGGACAGCGCAACTGGTCGTGCCTGCGGAGTTTCATTACCAGTCACTCAAATCACACGTGCTGCTGAATGCCTGTCGAAAGCATGAAGAGACAGATGAGCTCCTCTATGCGGAAGGCTTGTACCATGGGTGTTTCACCATCGCTCTAATCGGTGTGTTGAACAAAGACACCGTCGTTATGACGTACGAGAGCCTATTCGACCAGCTTCTCCCTTTGCCGCGCCGGAGACCGAAATGTTACGGAGACAATCGGAATCGTCTGCTATGGAGCACTATCACAAGGGATGCTGAAGGATATCGCATCACAAGGAATAACGATGGCACGTTCGTTGTGCACGCCGGCCAAGTGCATGGCATCCCCGATGGCACGACGTTCGTTGTCAGAGCAAACAATCGATCAGATGACACCAGCCATCTCCGCATCCGCTCAAAGTTCACGGACATCTGCCAGTGCCTTTGCGAGGCTGTCAATGCAGCTTCACTCCGTATCACGTATTCCACCAGGGCTGTTCTCGACGAATTGCAATTCCCTGATGGAATGAAGTCCCATTTCGCTCCATCGCCCGAAACAAATTATCGTCTACCGAATCCATTGCCTAGCATCCTCCAGATTGCACCTTCGCGAGCGGAAGCAAATATAGAGATCATTCCGCTTTCGTCGTCGCCCGATCGGTTCTGCCTGCAGCGACTGACCCCCTTCATAGAAAACGAAAAAGTCCCCGTTCTGCGGAAGATTCATCTTGAATACTCCCGCATCGCGCATATATTCGAGAGAATCATGCGATTCAGCTATCATCTCCACAGGCCATCACCCTCTGAGACCTCCGAACGTCTCTCGATATCAGCGGAGCTCTACAGACTGAGGCAGACTATTAGTCAAGACCATCATGGTGCCGGACGATCAGACAAACCTATTCCAAACGAATCGACGATTCTGTCAGCCCGAAGCTGAGAATAATCATGGCATATTATTCATACAGGAAGCCGTCGTTTCTGACCTACGTTGGTTATATGGTCTGAAGTTGGTGAACAAGTCGGACCAAGATCTGTTCCCATATGTGTTCTATTTCGATCCCAGCGAATACAGCATCGAGGTATGAGCATTCAATCTTCGGGCCACATTCAATGCGACATTACTGACTCACCCCAGCTATGGTACTATCCTCCCTCCGCCACAAAGCCCCCGCCTCTCAAAGCGGATGGCAGCTTAGAGGTTGGGTATGGAGAACATGGAAATGGTGCAAGCATCAAGCTGAGCGTCCCAGAAGGCATGCACACGGATTCGGGATTCATTAAGGTTTTCGTGTCCACTAAGTACGTGGACATGCAGCCTATCGCGCAGCCATCTTCCTTGCACGATGCGAACCCGCCTTCTACGTATGGTCGCGGAGCGGCGATGGCTTTCGCAGGGCCTGTGGGTGCAGATTTGGATCAAGCAAGCTGGAATGTCAGCACGTATATACTGACAGCTACCACTCTGATGTGATCGGCTTTCCTGCTTTCCACAATTCACTGAGGTTATTATGTAAAAATCCAAGGCCTTGCAAATGCAATATCGGCTTCCTCCTCAAAATAAGTATCAAGACACGATGCAGACACATACATCACACATGAAAGGTGGGCAAATACAGCATTTCCTCACTGCTCTTCATCTTCTTCCTCAGCTTCGTCTTCCGACACGTCCAGCCCCGCTTCACGCATCCGACCTTTGTCTCTGCGTCGCTTGCTGTTCAGTTCGTCGAGCAATACAAGCAGATCTTCCTGTTCTTTTTCCACCTCCTGCCGTTTCTGTTTTGCTTCTTGTAATTCTGTCGTTAGCGAGGCGATTTGTGTCTGGAGCTGTTCACGCTGGACCGAATATGAGATTGGTGGACTGACCCTCAAATGGGCACAGTTGAACACTTACGTCGTCTGGAGCTTGTTTTGCCGTCAGTGCCTGGACCTGCGCACGAAGTGCATCGATCTCTGCTGCTTGCGTGCGAATGACGTCCTTGAGCGATGCTACTAACATAGCCGTTTCGCCTTGACCTGAAAGTGGCCGTGAGTAACCGGATCATCGAAAAAATCGCATCGCGATCACATACCAGGCGATGAAGACAGCGCGTTGGGATCTGCCGAAATACCTCTTTGCACGGTATCTAGATGTACAACGGTAAGCCCTCAGAAAATCACACAGTGTCAGTGACAATTATACCGACAATAGTTCGACTTCCAGAAGTCAACGAAGGCCCAGTCAAACCATATTTCTCCTTCCTCGACGTCCGTCTTCGTCCCGCCCGGAGGCCGCACTACGGTATTGGGAGGAGTAGGGATTACGAGAGTATCGGGACCAACCGCCTTGAATCGGTCGTCGTCCCGGAGGTGCGTGATGCGGTTAGCAAGCATGTCGATCCCTAGCCGCGTCAAGATCGGGTATATAGTAGCTCTGTCACAGTTAAGGGGCGATAAACAACGTAAACGCAGGGGAAAGCTTGCATAGACACGCACCTTGTAATCTCGCCCGGTTCTCGATTGAATTCATAGCATACGCCCAGCAAGAATACACACAATCCTGGGATGACAGCATCGGTATCTGCTGTTTGGTTGATTGGGTCGACCAGCTACAGGATTGATGTGATCACGGTTGGACATGTAGCTGAAGACGTTGGCCTACCACTCCCAGTGCCCCAGCCTCCAAGAACTCCCGTACCGCAGCTGGATCCTCCCACAACCACTGAGCCAGCAACGTCAAGTAGCCTACTAGCAACCGATCCCACTCCCTTGCTTCCCGGTTAGGAGTATCGGCTCTGCCCCGTGCGAGGAATGCCAGAGACAGATGCTCACTGAGGATCTGCAAGAGTGTCTGCGGTTCCTCTGCCTCAGGTTCCTCTTCGGGCGGTGCAGGAGGAGGGCCGCCGTCTGCAGGTACGAAGAAACTACCCTGATTTTGCGCAGTGGACCCGGCGACATGAGGAACGATCGAGCGCGCGAGAGTCTTGCAATGTGATGAGGCTCGAAGCAGATGAGCGAAGAGCAAGGTAGCAAAGTGGGTTGATGTGACAGCGGTGATATTCAATGGCGCATTGTGTGGCATAGTGAGCGCATACAGCAACGGCGTGACAGGCGTGTGTTCTATTGGCATTATAAATCTCAGCCCATGGAAAGAATAAGACTGGTGAGAAACTACCTGGCGGAGAAACCATGGATTGAACGATTGCCTCCGCAATCTCTTCCGTCTGCACAAAATTCTATGACGCATCTCAATTATCCTGAATACCAGATACTATCATGTGGAGCAGGTTCGCCCGACTCACCTGGAATACCGCAAGAGCAGCCGATCTCAGCTCCATGCCCTCTTTCGAACGGCGTTCACCCTCGAGTACACCATTATACTCCCCATGCAGAACGAGTTCTACTACCGCATCCAGTGCAGAAGCAGGTTCAAGGCGGTCCCACTCCTCGCCATTTGTCTCCGGTACGGGCATGTAGGGCGTGATGGACAGAGTCGCCAGTGGAAAGCCGGAGAAGTTCGTCGGTAGAAGGCGGAGTGCCTTGACAGACCAAAGTTAGCACACGAAAGCTCAATAACTGAAAGGCGCGAAAACCTGAGACTTGATGGTTGTTGGAAAGTTTGAGGCAAGTCCGATCTCCAGTAGGCACCGATTGAACGCGAATGTCAGAGGGTCCTGCGTATGCTGCAGAAGGCTATCGTCAGTATGCTTCCCAGCAACAATTAAATGGCATGCTGACACTACTCTGGCTGCTTTGTGTCAATATACCCATAATATCAACGACGAGTGCGGTATTGGCCCGCTTTTGACTAACGTCCCATAGCTGCAATGCGAACCCTTGAGGGGGTGGCACGTCCAAAGGGAGTGTGGGAGGGAAGCCAAGCACGGAGAGTAGAAGTGTAGGCATAGGCGTATTACGAAGATAGCTCTGATGCATAGCAATGGATTCAGAGATTCCATGATCGATGGACAGGGAGACAGACCTGATTCGACTGGTTGAACCTCAACAGACCATCGATACAGGAGAGCGCATCATGTACGATGCTTCCACCCTCCACACCGTTTTCAGTTGCAATTATATCGAATAGGCGTTCGAACGCGCCCTCAAACGCGAGGATCTTCTGTATCTCAGGGCTATGAGAGATAAGTGATTGCACCGCGAACAGCGCCTCTGAAGTAAGTTAGTGTCAGAAGCGTATAAAAATGCGTCATGAATGTTGTGGAAGCTCTTTAAGAACTTGAGCGACTGGTACGGGGAAAGCAGTAGGATTTGAGTCATTTACGCGGCAGTGGTGTCACGTGACCGCGT